GACTTAGGACGGGGTGTTCCACTAAAGACGATGTCCCAGACACTAAACCATTGATCTGCCAGTGTAGATTTCTTGTCCACTTTGGAAGCTAGCAGCTTCTCCTGGTCCTCCGTTATGCCTTCGGGCTCGGCAAAATTTCGCATTCGACACTGCTGAGGTCTGCTGTGCTTCCGCTGCTCGTCCAGCTTGTCGAATTCTTGACCGCAAGTGGAGCAGAAGTGTGGCTGCTTATGCTTGCGGCGCAAATGCTGTTTAACGTCTCTAATTCTCTGCAATTCAAGTTTGAGACAGGCCTGATGTCTAATTTTGTCGTGCTTGTAGTATGGGCATGCCAGGCTCAGGCGCCCCATGCTGACGTCTCTGGTCAACGCAGTTCTCGGCCTTTTGTTACCATCCATCGCTTCGTCCTCATCGTCAGTCTCCTGATCAGAGGCCTTCTTCGGGGCATTTTCTGCTCGTCTTTTTTCCGGCCTGCCAGTCGTGCTGCAATGATATTTTGCGTCTTCCTGTACGGGTGCTTGCTTATAGAGCTGCGCTCGTTTCCATTTACAGAATAAAGAAAATGCTGAGCTGGTCAATGGATCGAGTTCTATGTAGAAAGGATGGCTTGTGGGAAGCATCCCTACTTGTGTTTGGTCCGAGTATAAGCTACTCTTCGTGTCTAGGCTGTCCGTAGAAAGCGGTGTCTCTCCAGATGAACCCTCATTCTTTCGACCGCGTGGCGCCGAAGCAGAAATGTCAACCGAGGGTAGAGAACATGCCTTTGAGAACGTGCGCGGTGCTTCTGGAGTTGGCTTCCGTGAAGTCCCGGTATGCGGAGTGGCGGAATTTATCTTTCCAGACGTGTTACGGAGGATATCCTCACAATTGTGATCGAATCTGAGGTTGAAAAGACGAACACCCTGCATGAAACGCTCGGTCTTCTCCAGCTCACGCTCACGGCCAAAGAGCGTCTCAACAAACTCAACACCAGCGTTCTTACCGAGGGAGGCTCCCTTCTTGTTGGCCTTTAGCATGGGAGCCTCGCATGTCTTGAGAAGCTTGCGGAGTTTATTGATCAGGCGCTCGCCCGATTCAATGAAGTCCTCGATAATCTCCCTGTTATCAGCGCCACGAACACGCTCAATAGTCTCATATGCACGCTTGACTTTTCCTGATAACTGGATGAGAAGAAGCCATAACTCGCTAGCCATATCAGATACCGGAGTACCGGATCCATGGTGGTAAACAGTCCAATCATAAATCCATTTTCCGAGGGAATTGGCGTCAAAAACACTTCCAAGCAGCAGGATTGGGTCTTCTGTAGGGTCCCAGTTCTTGAGAGAATATCCCGGAGGGATTTTATGCCTCTTGGCGTCACCTTCAGTAGCCTGCCGAGCTGAGGGAGGACTTTGGCTTCGGCCTGATGTCGATGTTTCTGAGGGTGATCCACTTTCTTGAACCAAGTAATGAGAACCGATGCTAGTGTTGTAATCCTTGATAAAAGTCGTTCCCAACTGGTATCGTTCCGGAGTATTCAAACAAGACTGTTCTGTCACTCGCAGTATCAGATGCTTGCCAAAAAATGGCTACTTGGGCGGCTTACTGAAAGGCTTAGTGGGTGTGGATTGATCGAGAGCTTGTCCGACGTTTTTCATCTCGACAATTGACTACTAGCATGGGTTGGCTACGTGATCTGGTGCTGCAAAGAACCAGAAAGAGGCATGCGCTGAGTTGAAAACCGAACATTGCAATACTGAGATGTGGTTCATCAGGCAAGGAGAGGAAATTGAGGCCTTTGCTGGGGCAGATTATTGGTCAATTTGTTGCCCCACCTGAGGAGGTTGAGCACAAATGTGCTCTTTCTTCCCCGGAGCTGACAGGCTGAGCGCTTATGTAGGCAACAGGCAACCTCGAAATTATATGGAAATTATAACGATTGGCTAAGTGGACTGGGATGATTAAGCGGGCGCCTAGTGGTTTAGGAGCATACCGCAAGGCTTTAGTCTGATTCAAGTTATTCTGGAGAATTATGAGCATCATTGCAAGACTACAACACCTAAAAGGTACGTTGCCGCTGCGGAATCTCTGCAAGCCAAGGATGGCAAGGCTGCAAAGATCAAAAGTAGACAACACAGTAACTATACAAGTCGATATTGCCAATCGGCTGCTGCTGGACCTCGCTTTCGCCAAGGGAGGGCAAAGCCAATGGGGGCTCCTCTGCATCCATTGCCTAAAGCTTTGAGGCATGTAACAGGTAGTGGCGATCTCCATCCACACATAACGCTATGTCACAATACCAAGCCTGATACGAAGTATAGGAGAAAAGTTTACTACTTATGTATTGAATGTCATGCGGAGTAAAAGTGGCTTTGAAAGTGGGAATTTGAGGGCTTGGTGAAAATGAGGTTCAGCGGCAGTCGATGGGATTGCAAACTTCTGTTTGTTAACAGTTCCATAATATATGTCGTTAAGCCTGCCATCCTGAGCCTACTCACCCTGGCTCGCTCAGGTCGCACGACCGTAAAGGCAACGGGCAATTGGACTACGCTTGAGTTAGATACTGGCGTAATACACGCAGTTCAGCAAGTTCAAATCAAATATGCATGATCGCTAAGCTCAGTGGCACGGCTTTGAGAACACTCACAAGGGAAATTAATGGATAACATTCAATTTAAGTCGTCAAGTATGGAAATAAAATCAGTTTGTAGAATAGAATATTCAGGATTGACCCTTCAAGGTCGCGGATAAATAAAAATCATTTTCTTAGACAATTAGCTATCGTTTCTTTCGTAGTTGTGCTCCCATATAAGTCGCCGGCTATATTTCAATGTTCCAAACCTTCCACAGCTATCCAAAGCCATTTTCAAGTTTCATAACAACCTGGAAGTTAAAAAAATGTTCCGAATAATAACTGAATTGGTCACCAGCGTTTCCCTGTGCGCGAAGAAACCAGTTATTCTTCCCCGCAGGGGTGAAGCATTCTTTTCCAAAACCTGCTTTCCCTTGCTGACTCATTTTCGGGCGTCATCACATCACCTTGAAAGGTTTAAATGCCGCCGAGACTCCCCATAAATTTAAGCTTAGACGAACTCGCCGCTTCCTTGGCAGCGAGTGAGTGGCCGGTGAACACCCTCCTTCTCGCAGTTGGTGATGGCTCCCTTGACCCATTTGACTCCATTATAGCTACCTTCCTCATAGACATCGCTCATAAAAGCTCCAACCTGTGTTTGTCTGCCGAGACAACCACGCATGATCTTGCCATATCTTCTAGTCTTGAAGGGGTTATTCACCATGCAGCCAGTATGGCCAGCACTAATAGTTCCCCTGACCATAATGGCTGAGGCGGTAGCCCAAGACCTGGAGACAGCGACGCCTAGTGTGGAAGTAAGGTAACTTTGGATAATAGTAGGGTTGAAACCACCGTTAATAGTAATAGTGTCTGTAACTGTGTAGGTCTCTGTGAGACTGATAGTGACTTCTTTAGCTTGGGCAATCACTACAGGGCTCATTTGGAGGTCCCAATCGTAGAACTGCTCGGTTTTGGTGATGGTAATAGCGTGAATGTCGTCGCAATCGATCTGACGAGAGTCTAGATTGTTGACTTCCTCCTCTGAAGGAGTCTTGAAACTCAGAAGTGAGTGATCAACTTCAGGGACTGAAGCAAGAATTTTCTCAGATGCCAGCATGGCAAAATAGGCTTCCTGGTTGACAACCTCCACTGCGCCAAACGAGTTATTAAAATGCACTAAAAGAAGTATGTGACATATGGTTCACCACAAAGAACACTGCCGAAAGAACACATCATAATTATTGTGACAGGCGAATGGCTTGGTGTTCATATTCATTTGAGGATGTGGAGACAATGAAGCAGACTATGACGGAATATTTTACTCACTGTGATCTCCATCGACAAGAAGAACCTCGCCATTGAGTAGGCCGCGCTCTGGGTCAAATGCGGTGCCGTTCATAGCCCTCGGGGTAAACACCGGGGACGCAACAACAACCGCGGCGAGGCAAAGCATGACGAATCTGAAGGCCATTTTGACGAAGAGAGAGGTTCAAGCGATTTGAGACGTTTAATTCAAATGTAGTGAGCTGCAAACAGATGACGCACTTGCTATATCCTCGTACTCTCCATTGAGTGATCGAAAATTATTCTGCCTTGGTAGGTAGTGACGTGCTTAGACGAATGCACGCAATGGGTAGATTAGCCGTTAGGATCGTCCCAAATTGCCTGTTCGTGTTATTAATATAAGTTTTACGTTTAATCGCGTATGTCATGTAAAATACCTTGAGTCATTGCTCCTTGCCAAGTCTGCTCTGCGAAAGGAACTACAGTGGAATTGGATCCAATTTGACAATCTGGATAACAAACTAGTTGTCAACTTTATAAAAAGAGCCAATATCTGTACGCTCGATTGCCCGTACAACAGGCCAGACTACAGACGACGCATATTAAGCTTAAGTATTGGTTAATCTCATTACGTAGAACTACAACTTGAGTCTCAAAAGGTAACCCACGTGGCAGGTTGGCAAAAGTCAAATGTATCCAGCGAGCATTCCACTTCTCAGATAACGTAACATTTACTCCTCACCACGGCGAGTCAGCCAGTTTTCATTAAGGGAAATGATAACATACCTATTTTTCCCTACTAGGAGGGCAATCTCTCGGTACGACATCGGGATTCGCGCATGGTTTACGATGCCTGACCAGTTGAGAATTCCCCATCACATGTATTACGATCACGGGCAGTAAGCGGAAGGAACTTGGATCAGCCCTTTTGGACACCGACCGATATGCCGAGGCGATTTTGGAATTACCACCCGGCCCCTTCATCCGAGGGATCCAGTTCTGCACTGTTGATCTTCTACTCTCCGTCGATTCGAGGAAGTATATTCAGGGTGCTTCTTTGTCCACTTCTACCAGCACTTCCCATCATACACTTCTCCCTATTTTAGTCGCCATACCACATCCATATTACTTTAATCAAGTCCATTGATCTCAATTGCGTCTAAATATGTTTATCAGCATATCTGCTCTCATCACTGCTCTTCTCGTCAGGTTGGTTGTCTAACAACGTTTCTGGCGGATAAAATCTTGACGCTGACATTTTCCTTCCATCCAGCGTCGAAGCTAAGCTTCATGATTATGGCGCTTGCGTAAGAAACCGTATTATTACGCCTATTGGTGGTACTCCATGGAGTGTCAGCTACAACTGGGATAAAACGTACCAAGTCATGCCTGAAGCAACCAGGTGCGCTTGTGACTATTATCGTCAACGGAACACCGGCACAATGCAGTGGGATACTTGCCCCGACTGTGTTATGGTATGTTCATTTATTTGTCTTAGATATAATGTTTTATAAATGTTAATTCCACCATCAGGAAGGTGATCTTTGCCACTCGGCCGAATGGCACATTGGTGGCGATGAGGTAAGATTGAATATAAAACCAAAATATCGTGTATGAAACTTACGGCTCGTGCTGCTCCAGCTTAATCACTACTGCACCAAGTTTTGTGGTGCCCCTCAATCCGAGGGAAGCAACTCTGACTGAAAGCGTAAGGACAGGTCGTGCGAGGGCAACGTGACGGCTGTGTGACGACTTCATGATATCAAGGGCTTTTTTTTTTAATCGAATTCAGAAAAGACATATTGCGAGTTTGTTTATCTTTTTGTCATGATAATTATTTATTTTCATTACTATTACAAATCTCGGAGAACGTAGATTATGATGCTCTTGGTGCCAGTTTTGTCAGCCCAAAGTTTTTAACACAATAGTGGGCCACTGTGGTGTTACACAAGTGTGCCTCGATATGCCTGCCATCTGACGGCAGTTCGTGGGCCTACGGGAATTGATCATTAGACAAGGTAACACCTATCAACAGGCCTTGATGATCGTCCATGGGTCAAAGAAAGAAATAAAGAAAGAAAAAACCGGCCTGCCAGTCCAGCCTAGCTAATTCCCTAATGATCGTCGATTGGCAGTTGAAATTGGGCCATGGGCCAAAAATGTCTAGAAGAGATGTTCATAGGTAGTGGATAAAACTCTTAGGCTTGGCGGACATTGATTGATTTTCACCCGCTCCCTACTTTAAGGCTGGCAATCCTCTCATGGATGTCACATGTTGAGCCGCTTTTAAGTTGCCTCATTTTGCACACATGCTTGAAAGACATTAGACGCTTAGGGCATTTGATATCATATGGCCAGTTTCTCCCAGCAGCATTTTTGACACCCGTCGCAAGCTTGTAAAGCGAATTGATTCTGTCATTCCGAGTCAGGTTGATCGGTGCAGATGCCACAGGCTTTCCCATGTTTATTTCACTATCACTAGGGAGTAAGAAGGAACTTACATTACTCAGACCCCGTCAATAAGATCTTCACTTACCTATACAAAGGTTTCCTTGACAATGTAACATGAACAAAGTGCTATCATGCATATGGAGAGACAAATTTCTCTTGCAAAGAGGCGCGAGTCACGCTTTTCCCCCTCTCAAAAGATATTTCACACTGTAATATTTCCTTCTATTTCTAGCTGCCTCGCCAATGGAGTAGATACTTTATGTGTTATGTCATCAGTGGTGCAACTCTAACAGGTTTGTATCAATGGTATCTCAAGCGGTTATTCGATTAACTGTAGTCTCATGAGGTGTGGTAACGTATTTCACGTTAGCAGCAGACGAGATTGAAGTGTAGTATTCTGAGGCTTCACTTGATGCTGACTTGCAGCATATAAGTGGGGTCGCGTGATTATTGATGCTGATCTGCACAATGTCCTTTTTTTTCAACTCCTTTGGTCAAGGCTTCCATGGCTATTAATTTCGAGGTGCTGTTTAAAGACAAAAAGACTGACAAGTTTCTATCTCAGTTTCTGGACTTCATAGAACATGAAAACCGAAAGCGAATGCCTACATTCAAAATCTACCAGAACTATAATAGCGTTCGTTGCCTCGGCATTACTTCATTTCTGCAAATGCCATCTTGGTTATTCCTTGAAAAGACTTGGCCAATGAACACAACACGCAACTCTCACCAAGCTTTATTAGACCTATGATGTAACATTAGACCAATGATGTAACCTTAATTATTGGCTTTTGAGGGATATAATAGGCACAATATAGCCACAACATTCGATCATATAGCACTGGCCCTAAACGATCCTATGGAAAGCGCTTCCGTAATTGAATCTTTCACCAACGTCGATCAGAAGTCTTCTGTGAGATCTACCAGATTAGCATACGTAAGAATGGTGGAGTTCCATAACGCTTCATTGTCTGTGAAGCAAATTTCCCAATGGCTCCAGACTTTCTATGTACTGTGCGCTTCGCCAACTCATGTGTAGACTATTTACTGTCACGGGCTACGCCACGACTGTTGTGGGGTGAGGCTGTGCCCGCCCATTGTCACTGATTGAATGTAGCTAGACAGCAGGTGAGCAGGCTGTTAATCGTATCTTTTTGCGTTTATCTCAAAGGGATAGCGCCTCTGTTTTTATAAGTGCTGTAGGCTATTGTACACGACAACCCTAAGCGGATTCTGACGCTCACCGTTACACTCTGATATCTTTCATCCTTATATGGGGATGAGCCGGATATGGAATGATCTATCGTCAAACTTCATCGGCGCTTCAGTGTGTGAGCTTAATGCATTCTTCCATGTCTCTAAGCTCGCACTTGCCTACCTTCATCTTTGGAAAATCAAGGCAGGATTAGTTATGAGAGCTAAACTGGCTGTAAAAGTTTTGATAACAATAATCTCTTGCATCAGCTGATTGGTTGTAGCACATACATCAGAATCTTTTAAGCTTCCATGCACATCCTAGTAGATTTTTTGCCCTTCTTATGGCAGTGGAAAACATGATCCTTTAAAAGTGTTCCATTACAAACCTCATCTTCCATAAGACCATTGTATAATCAACATGCCGATTGATCACAGACAGCTCTAAAAATTCATGACTATGTCCTTGCTGCATTGAACCCCATTTAGGATCAGTTTATGAATGACAGTTGGGTTATAATTCTTTACTTCTGACAGTTGTCCCATTCCCATAAATATCCCAGACACTAACAACGCGAACAACGCGTGTAGTAACCTTATTTCAGAAGAACGTTCAAGACGGGTTGAGGTTGTGAACGAGAAGTGCTCAGCAGGCTGTGTGTTGACCATGAAGTGATTCGGATGTGATATGAAAACAATCAAATCCATGTTCGCCTTTGACTTTAGCCTCAAAAACACTTATCACGACCAGCGGTAAAACTAGCTGAAACTAAAGACATAGTAACTCTAGCCTGAACATATCCATCAGTTTTGAAATTTCCCAGACCATGGGTTTTCGGCAATAAGTGTAAACTTGGGGTTCAATAGACAGATAAGAAAAGAGCAGTGTAGACCAACTTTAGGAGTCCTTGGTTGAAGCCTAGTATTCAAGTAATCCCAAACTATGAGGTAGCTGTAAAACCGACTCTAGTTTCTGACCACACTGCATATTATAAGTGTGACAATTTGCTTCAAACCGTCCGGAAGTCTTCGATCAATATACCGCCCTAGACAGCCCATGGCATACAAAGACCGGTATTAGGATCTGGTATTTTCTTAGGGCCCTTGATACACTCTACATCCTGTCGAGCTCGGCACTCGGCGCCCATGAAGTTCTCCCACGGAACAAACGTAACTCGAGAGTTAGGACCGGCATTACTCCACGCGCGCCACACTACAAACCAGCCTTTGTAAAGCTTGCGGCCCGGCGGACAGGCGGGGCCGCTTACTCCCGTGGCGAAGTTCTTTTCGAGGCTCTCCTTGTCCCATCCTGCGCAGTCTGGACCAATGATGAGACTCACGCCTTGGGATGCGACAGCTTGGGCATCGTTGTCATCCGTAGCACAAACCGATGTATCACACCAGACCTGGAGGCACTCCCTACTACCTGAGTCGTCGCGGTAAGCATCTCGTGGGGCTAGGTTTCCGAGGTCGATCGCAGTCGCTCTGCAGAGTTGGCAGAGGGTGAAATAAATCCAGAGGATACTAGCATCGCATTGTTAGCTAACATGTTGTGTTGAAGAAGAAGAACTTTAGCCCATGACCATTAACTTACGAAACTGAAAGACGTGACATTTTCAAGTCTTTTTATCTGAGTCTAAGTCTTCCAAAGGTTTACTTCGAGGTGGTTTAAGGTGGCTGATTTGTTCTTTTTTTTCAGGCTGTAATGCCCTAATAATTGAAGAACTCACAGCAAGTTTAGAATAAATGGCGTGCAGCCCTTTAAGTACAAAGGCTTAACTTACTTACTATGCCTCATCTTGCTCCAATCGCTTTTTCAGTCGCACTTGCGCTATTTTTTCTCCTCTCTTTTCTGGGTTACTTTCCGAATATTTCTACTAACTTGAAAACATCGTTTCCGAAAACCTGTGTCGATCTGCCACTGTATATAAAAGAGTTTGGACATTCGGGCTTGGAACGAAGTTGTATTAACTGATGGAAAAGGATAATTTCGAGAAGATCACGTCCACCCAAGTTGTTGAGATCTTATTGTGGACGAAGACTTTTTCAGAAAACAACAGATTCAATCAATGCACACGACTCATTTTCTAAAAAAATATGAACGGGGTTACTCTCGAGGCTTCATGTTCCAATGATGATCGGCGGAGCTGTCCGGCGCCAACAGCAACCTTGATGGATCAAGCCGATATAATTCACATGAATACACTTCTCGTTGGGTTCCACCTTTACCCGCTGTCAACCAATGAATAGACATATACGTCCTTGATCTAATCAGATTATCTGATAACAACTCGGATAGACTCGGGACAATGAGGACAGGAGCGCAAATTTATCCAGACAGTTCCCAAAATACCCTCTTTTCCAAGTTGTGGGATGCCTACGGCGTAGCATGCAAGTGGGTTGCAAGCTTCCAGCGTCGTGATGATCTACAGTGACTGAAAACATGCAACGAGAGTTGACTTTTTTATCTCCACGATGCTAGAGTTTGAGAAGTTTTTCTCGTGGAAGGTTGTAGAGCTCAAAAACGCCATATATACATAGGCTGAAGCCGCAGAATGGCCAGCTGCGACTCCAGGTTAATGCAGACTGACAGCTGAGTCACGATTGCAAGTTGCATTTCTTCTTCCTTATTATGTTGCTTTCGCGCATTGCCTTGCTGTTATCTTCAGCGACCGTGCTGGTTGCCCAGACCGTTGACTGGAGGGCGGCTAAGTGTGAGGGTGTTGTTGTCGATGCGAAAGCTTTGCCTAACCGACGATGGGAGGCGGCTAACGCTACGGCGGCTCTCCACGAGATGATCGCCGCGTGGAAGGAGTATGACTCGAAGCCGAACGAGGTCAAATTCGAGTTCAGCGAGTTCGCTTCATGGTTCCTTGGCGGACCTGAGTTATGGCGATGCACGAAGCTGCTTGATGTGCCCTGCTCGACATCATTAACCTGCCAGGATACTAAGTTTCCAGCTGGACATCTCATCTTGAACTCATTTTCCAAGCTCCATCAAGTAAGCCCTTTTCTTTCATAGAATACCTCTTGGTCCCCTCCCTGGAAACTTTGTTTTCAGTCTCTTAGGTCTCTGGATAATTGATAGCTAAGCATACTCAATGGCTGTAGTTTCATCGCCGATACTTCGAGGCCCTCGACCAGGCACAAATGGAAATCCAATCTGAAATGGACCTCTTTGCCGAAAAGTTCTCAGTACCACTGCCGGATGACGGTTCATCGGAAAAGTTCCAAAGAATCATGCTCAACGTCATCTATGGAATGGTCGGCATTGCACAAGCCTATACCAACAATATCTGTAAGCCTTCCCGTCTTATCTGAGATGCTTGGTTGGTTATGGCCTATTTGTCAAAACACTAACAGGCGAAAAAAGTCGTGTACTCTTCCATGTTTCAGGGCTTTTTCGGTTTGACACAAACTATGCGATCCCAAATTACTACAACTAGTAGTTATAGTATCTTTACCAGTTGGGCAATTGGAAAGGATTTTATCCTCCCGTAAGGCCTCCTCCCTATCAGCCGCATTTACCACCCTTGACTAGACGCTGACAAGCTACGTATTTCAGAGGAGATAAACCTAAACCGGCTTATGGAAGGTTGTCTGCTGTAATGGGTGGCATATTCGACAGTTGGAAGGCGTCTGAGGTGGAGTATCTCAGGAGAATTTTCACCCCTAGAGACAACGACACGGTCAACTACTTGGTGGCGGCATTGGACAACGGCCTAATGTCGGCGACTCCAGATGACCTCGACTTCAAGGAAATGTCCAAGGTGATCAAGAAGCTCTTTTATCCCAACCTCATGCTGACTGCCTGGCAAACGGTGCCTTCGGCACGGAGACCCTTTATCTTGTAAGTCCCCGCGCAGTCTTTAGAGGATTAGCTTCATTAACCGACACACCTCTCTAGGAAAACAAACTTGCCTTGCAAGATGAGAAAGAAGGAAAGAAGCAGCGTGCTTTGGCCGATGTTGCCGGCTGACTCGCACGAGAGAGCGGCGACTTGCTACAATGGAAGCCTTTTCTATCTGCTTGACATTAGAAATGAAGGTGTCTCAGTGAGCTTTAGTAATCCTTCTATCGGGGTCAGCGAGAATAATCCCTTTACGGCACTTTTCGGTACAGAAACCATGGACGGCAAGGCATGGGGTGGTGTTACCAAAGAAGACATCGTCGCCGCCGTCTACGGAGGCTGGTTGGCAGGCGGCCGCCAAAACAACAACTTCGACCTCAACTACACTAATATTCAGCCAGAAGAGGGCTCCGAGTTGTGGTTTGGCAACGGTGTCCGGATGCCAGGCTACGTCAAAATGCCTCTTTGCATGAATACTTACACCATCTATGGGAATCTAGCGGTTGGTAAACCTGATGACGACCCTTCGTGGCCTTGTGCTAGCCTGCCCGTTCTCAGGCCCTCTTAGTGGCCAATTAAGTTAGTGTTAGTACCTATGAAAGTCAGTGAGATGCCGGCGGTTGCCATCTCTGTTTATCTTTACCCAATCCATTGTACACTTTGAAGCAAGCCAAGCATTAAGAATTATTTTTTCTTAATGAACTTGGCGCAATTGGTTATGGTATGTGCTCACGAATGCCCCCTAAGCATGCATTTGGTTGATGACGACAGTTTGGGCGCAGCTGCATACAACTTTGGTTTCCTATTCGTCTCCTAACATAGACCATACATACAATTATCACAAGTATCTTTCAGATAATGCTCCATATGCCGTTCTGGTAGTTGATCCAATTGTCGAATCTAAAATACATTCGTCATAAGCGTTTGCCCCCCATGCCCGCCATCTTAGTCCTCTATTAGTAAGACTCGTTTGTATATCACTCTGGTCCGTTACCGGAAAAGCCCAAAAACGCCATGCTCAGCCGTATCATTCCATGCGCACAGTATTATCCGCTGCCAATCGTCGGTGGTAGCAGGCCGATTCGGTTGACTACTTTAGATCGATTCAGCTGTCGCTGTTGCCAAGCACTCTGGCCAGCAGTACATAGAAGAAGACGAGACCACCAGCGACAAGCAGCTTGTTCTGGTTGAGCCAGCCTCGACCGGCATCCCGCTGCTGCACAACGGCATCAACAACGGCCTGGGCTTGGTGACCACTGCCGGCACCGATGCCGAGCTGGGGACCGCATGAAGCCCCTGCTGCAGTGCCAACCCTGTTCCCTGTCGCAATGTCGACCTTGTTCTCTTTCATCCACTCCCAGTTGGCCTTGTCAACCTCGGGCCACTCGGCACGGAACTTGGCGCCGCCGTCACCGGCCTTAATATTGCCTTTTTGTGTGTTGGATTTTGCGTGGGAACCACCGCCGGTAGAGTTCCACCACTTCGTCCGCCCTGCCAGCATTTTCCGCTCGGCCTCGGTGCTCGACACGGAACCTGTCGTCATCTCCTCACTCGTCATGAAAGAAAGAAGGCCGATCAGAATGGTGGAGACCTCCCAGGCGGGGTTGAAAGATTTTGGGTGGAAGTCAGAGATCGAGAGACATAATCTTGTGGAGGGTTGGAAGCGGCCAGATGGAGTGTGCATTCGGATGGCTGGAGGAGCGAAAGGGTAGTTTGGAGGGAAAACAAGGGTGCCCCAGTACTGGCCGCCATGGTATGGTGTGTTTTCGGGACCGGTGATGATGTAGTGCCACCTAGAATATCGTCAGCAGGAGCTGGCGGGGAGATGTAAGGAACATACTCAAGGATATTGGACTCGGAAGGGTGGGCTTCGATATACGGAGGAGGGTTCTCGGAGATGGTCTTGTACTCGCGAGTCAACTGCAGAACCGTCAGTGCCGATCCAGAATGAGAAGGGGGCAGCATGGCGTACCCGCTTCTGCGCTGCCCTACTGGCTGCCATGGTTGAGGAGTGTTTGGAAGGAAACGCTGGAGATCGAGGATGAGGACAAGGCGTGTCTGGATGACAGAAGACGACGTAATCAAGGGCACTCCAGAAGAAGGCTCACGTGGCTTAACGAAGAAAACAAAAAAGAAGGTAGCAAAATATAACACAGATGGGAAAGTTGAAAGTGACAGAAACCGCAGCGTGCCGTGTGGGAGTTGAGTGATGAGTAGACAAATGTACCGTTTGGGATGAAGTTGATGGTTTGGAGAAGAGCAGAGCCGATCGGAAACAAGCAATGTAGTGGAGGATAGTGGACAATGGACGGGTTGGGGAATGCGGCGAGGCTGTGATAGCCGCAGGGTGCATGCGGCAGAAGGTACGTACCATAGGTTCCCCTTCCTCAGCACGGATACCAGTGCCCGGTGACTTCGGCCTGCGTTCAGGATGCCCCACCTATTATGTCACTGCACTTGCCCTGTGCAATGCACTATTTCAGCCACAGAATTTCCACCAAGGAGGGGAGGGGAGTCTGATCGCCACACTTTGAGTGTACGTACTGTGTAGCTTCTTTGCAAGTGTGGCTCGACCTCTGAGCCCCCATCAACCACGTTTCCCCCAATCAGCGTGCTTGGTGCTCATCCCGGTCCGTCCCTTTGTCGCCCGTGCTCCACGCTGCATCTCGAAATTCAACCGAAGCCTACCGACTGGTGTCGTTCCCGGCTTATCGTCGCTCTAAAGCTTCTCTATAGCTCATTTTAGGTCTGACGACACACGTCGCCTGCTCAAAATGGCTTCTCAAACGGGCTCGAGCGGAAGCTCTGTGAGTGTCATTTGCAATAACCTCTCTGCTGCCCTATTTTCGCTAACCACAAACTTCCCACTTCCATAGGCTTCCAACCCTATCAGCAAGCTCAAGACTGGACCCGATGCCCTGCGAAAGGAAGCTGAGTCCTCGGCTGAGTTCGAGAAGCTGCAGGAGGAGGCCAAGATCAGAAGGCTTCAAGCATTGGCAAGCCATTACCGCCCTACGACCTGCGATACTTGTGCTAATGCCGACCCTAGCTCGCGGAGCAGAACTCCCAGCCTATGACCATCAACCGCCTCCAGGTTCATGGCGCTACGAACACTAGAAGAGGCTTCCTCGACCCCATCTTCAAGCCCCTCTTGACTGAAGATGTCAACAGCTCTTCAACTCTTGGCGAGGTGGCTGCTAGATTGGGCGAGGCCAGAGGAAAGCTCGAGAGACTAGGTATGGGCTACTCACTTTAATATTTGACGGTAGATTCTGACTTAGCCAGGCATCTTTCACCCCGAACCCAAGGTCCACATTAACGGCTCCGATCCTTCCGACCCTTCTGCCACCCCCACCGATGTCGACGTTGATATCGTCGTCAAGGAACTGTCTCGTTACAAGTTCAACGCTGGAACCGATGTCGGAAACAGCGAGGGTTCCGCTTACACCTCTCTGCTCTGGCGTAACATTTTTGGTGGTGCCGAGCAGCTTACCGTTAATGCCAGCGCTGGCACCCGAACCCGATCCGCATACAGCGCGAACCTGAGCGCTCCTGTCCACAGCAACCCCGACACGAGAGTTGCCCTGGAGGCATTGGCTTCTGCGACCGATAAGTCATGGGCCGCCCACGAGGAGGTGCTGAAGGGAGGAAATCTGCGCTTCTCTTGGCTCTCCAGCCCCAAGGACATGCACTCGCTCGAATACTCTGCCATCTGGCGTCAAGTCACGGGCCTGCGCGATAATGCTAGCCCGACTGTCCGAGCCGATGCCGGAGACTCTATCAAGAGCTCTATTAAGCACACCTACCAGCGTGACCAGAGAGATAACCCGCAGCTGCCCCAAAGCGGCTACATGCTGCGTTCCGTCTTCGAGCTGGCAGGTGTCGGCACTCTCGGTGGTGACGTCGCCTTTTCCAAGAACGAGCTCGAGGTTGGTGGTGCGGTGCCCATCCCTCTTCCCGGTGTCCAGGGACGCTCTGGTATTTCCATTGGCGGAGGCTTCCGTTTCGGTATGCTCTACCCCCTTCCTCTGGGATTCTCTTCTGGCGGTAAGGCGCAACCTAGCCGCATCAACGATAGATTCCAGCTTGGTGGACCTACCGACGTGAGAGGCTTCCACTATGGCGGCCTCGGGCCCCATGACGGACAGGATGCCGTCGGAGGCGACGTTTTCGCTGCCGGTAGCGTGAACATGCTATTCCCCTTGCCCTACAAGGGTCCTGACTCGGCCCTCCGCTTCCAAGTTTTCGCGAACGGAGGAAGACTCGTGGCGCTGAAGAACAAGGGTAAGGGCTCCTCAGCCGAGGGTCTGGATTCTCGCACTGTCGCAGGGAGCATGTGGAGAGCTCTGAACGACCTGACTACTGGTCTGCCCACGACTGCTGCAGGCGTTGGCTTGGTCTATGCTCACCCTGTCGCTCGCTTTGAGCTTAACTTCAGCCTGCCTCTGGTGTTGAGAAGGGGCGAGCAGGGCACCAAGGGCCTGCAAGTTGGTGTCGGCATCAACTTCTTGTAAAAGTTGATTTCCGCGAACTTACTGTACCATCCCTTCTGGTCGGCATATAGCGAGCCTAAAAGAATTTCTGTATAACTAAAAATACCTACCATAGAAGCTCACCAAATTCAATGTTTCAACAGTCAAAGGCACTGTCCCGGTACAGTCGCTTCAATATGATCTCGCCCCGTCAGACTATCAATTTCGAATAAGAATCAACACATCCCATGCTATTCGGTTGTCCTTACAAGTTGGCTCGGCTCTAGTTGATTCGGTTCGTATTTGCAAAGCCAAGACAAACAAGATGCAACTACACAATGATACGGACAAAACAAGTCCTGGGTTCAGTTCCTGTCAGTGGACACGCTCACGTGGGTCTCAGAATGAAGCCGCGGGTGTGACTTCAAATGGTGCTACTTGTTTCGCGTTAAGCCTTACGAAGTTACTTGTGTTTGCCTATGTCAGTGAACTTCTATTAAGTCCTAACTGGGGACCTGATCTATACAGATCATAACAATCCACAAATGCCGAGGACCTTGGTCCTAAATATCCAACCAATTCCAATGGTATAATGCAACAGTCTGACCTGTGGTGAGTATTACAGGCCCGGTCTCTCTCTCTCTCCCTTCTACAATTTCATGTGGTAAATGTCTCGCTATTGTGGTAGCTCGTGCCTTACGGTTGGTTCTGGAGGTAATTCGGGGGTTGTTGATTGCTGCCCATCCCTTCTCGAATATCCGAGTTTGGCATATGCAGGAGATGCAACCGAGACTGTGGGCGTCGATCTACTGGTATCCAGTGCCAAGTTCGCCGCTTTTGTTCTCTTTTTCTCTCGTAGCAGCAGTATTGTGAGTACGGCGACCGCGATTGTCAGCGGTACACCGATGCCAACACCGATACCTGCCGCTGCGCCAGCGGGGATACGATCGCTAGATTCTGCCGCACTTGAGCAGACGGGAATCGCTGTGCCGCTGGGTCCGCCGCCCGTGGACGTGGGCTCGATACCTAGATCCACGGCCACAGCCGTGTTCAACAAGAGTCTGCCCTTTGGCCGCGGCATCGTAAAGTTGCCTTTGGCACAGTCGTTCCGGCCATTGCACGTCCAGATAGCGCCATCGAAGCAATAATTGACGCCGCTGTGGGACCCTCGAGCTGAGTAGAAATAGTAATTAGTGTAGTTCTGTGCTCGTTCTCCTGCTTGTTTTCTTCAAAATCAAACTTACTACTGTCACGGCAAATTGTTGGACACCCGCTGGCTCGGAATTCCTTATCTGTACAGGAATTGCGGTACATCGTCCACGCATTTGGCTCTAAACAGAGGCCATTGGTGAGACAGTAGTGACTGGAGCTACCGCAGCATGCGACAGCATTATCGTCACCAACCCTGGGGCATGGTATCCCGTCAAGATCACGGGAACCATCAGGAAAGTAGCACTCCTGGCCGACAACTACGGCGGCCAATGTCAAGATAGCGAGAATGCGATGGCTATGTCGTTGCATTGTTGCGACTTTTCCACATGATGAGTAAAATAGAGGGAAGTCAGAGGTCAGCACATTAATCAAATGGTCCAATGTTAAATGGAACAACACCCGCGGAGAACAGCCATGTTGGCCGAGCCTGATTCCTGGCAGTGTCTTGCAATCATGTCCACTCATCGACTGTTGTGTTGCCCGACTAGGGATTTGAAAGTCTTCCAAGCATCTCATAGCCGCTCTGTTTTACTCGCCCAATTCTGCAGCTACCTAGGTATTCCTGCAGATCGCGCTGACATTTGTCTTGGTTACTCATGGCTAACTCGTTGCTGGAGCGAGCCGAGATGCTAGCTCGACCGAATTAGGCACCGGATGAACTAACAGCCTTGGCAGACTGTTAATAATTACGTGTCCCTTGAACTAGTTCCTGCACTGTCAAATGAATAATGAACTGCTTGAAAAACCTGCCTCACTCATACTGTATACGTATAAAGAAGTCTCGGTGGTGCTGTCTGTGGCGAGTCTCACATACTAACTATGTATCTGTTCCAATCAACAGAACCGGTGGGGAACTGCGCTAGAAGCCGAAGCCTCACTTCGCCTTGTAAGGCTCTCTGCATGGTGAACAAGTGTGGCACAGTCGGGCAACCACAGTGGCGTTTGCAACTGATATCCAATTGGTTGGTAAACGACCCTTTGGATGGACTGGGGAAATTTTGTCTGATTAGGGGAATATACACTCAATGCGGGCGGGACTGTCACCTTCGTCACGGTGATGAGGTAACATTATTGTCAAATTCTTTGTTCATTTACCCTCGATCGAACTTCATCAAGTTGGATATCTCGTCATTTGATCGCCGTTGATGAAACTCTTACTCTGTAGTGGCCGATACCGATGCTCACCCTATATCATGGAGGCATGTGACTGCAGGGTAAGCGGGGGAGCGGTATAGTTGCCCCCCGACATATTGAAAGGTTCAACAGCGGTTACCCTGAAATATACCTAGTGAGCGTTGAATGGTCAGAGATACGTTATCCAGCTTTTAGCTCACTTTCTACACCTTGCTCTTCAGACTTCCCACGGGCTTGGATTCAAGCCCTCCAGTACTCAATGAGATTTAATAACAATAGATTTTCTATCCCATGGTGCCTATGAAGTGCTGCTGGGCTACAGGTACATAGGATATGTAGCCATAGCCAATCAGAAACAGACAGTTGAGTTTTTTTCCAGTCCATACCTACAATCCACGAAATTTGGAGAAATATGGACCACTTTGTGGCTCGCAATGTACCTGTAGCCATACAGCCATTGAAGGGATAGTAAGGGAAAAGCAAATAAAACCAAGTGTTGATTCTTCTTGTCTGGCTAGAAAAGTTACTCGATATTATCTCGTCATCTCGTCAATAAGAACTGGCAAGCCCCAGAAGTTGAATACGTCCGATAGCATCATGCATATGAAGAGTACGATTGCTGGGGTTTTGTGCTGTGATTATGACGGAACATTAATCGATTGCCAGAGCTGGCTGGTGTCATTGCTCTCAACATATGAGCTCGCTCGAGCTTCTTGATGGTCTGGGCGCAACAATGGCGTGAGTGTTGAAAAGTCAATTCTTGAAAACGCGGAAGACCATCATTAGACAAGATACAACCAAACCATTTCATCTGAAAATGGAACTACCGTTATCGAAAAGTCCAATTGGACTGTTACTTCGCAATTTCCAGGCCTGTTCCCGGCGTGCCCAACATTGGACGAACAAATCAAAGTCTGCTTTTGCAATTGAAGAAGTTTCAACACTCATACGTGGTGGTAAAAGTAGGCATTGTATTTGCCGATTATTAAGATTTTGGAGAGCCGTACAATTAAAAGCTCTTGGGACTGCATAGGCCCGAATTATCTATCCTGTATGTTTGCCATGTATCATCTCGAAGTACCGATGCCAACGCCGAGTATGCATAACGTAAAACACCTATTGCAACAGCTTCTTGACCAGATCCGCAACCGACTGGATGACGGGGTACTTGGGGAAGGCGGGCTTGTACACCTGAGACTCTATTAGCATGCAGCCACATGAGTTGTCACAACCCAAATAACTTACCGACTGGCATCGAGCGTTGAACTCGTTCGTAGAGCCCTTGATCAACGACAGCTCATCACCGGGAACACCCAGCTTTACGAGCGGGCCCGACTCGGGTGCAACCTTGTCCCACCCGGGTCCGGCAGCAGGGTTCTTGATCCACTCAACGAACCACTTGTGAATAGAGTCGGCCAAGGCCTGCTGCTCCTCAGTGACTCCCGAAAGAGCCTCAAAGCACTCATTACCACCGTGGAAGAAGGGAACTTCAGTGCCGTGAGTGGGCGCAGTGTTGGGGGGTCCGACGACGTTGTCATAGGCGCCGAAGAAACGGTAGACCCAGGTATCCTGCGCCGCACTACGGATGTCCTGCAGGTAGTCTACCGCGCAGTTGAAGCGGGCATCGCCGTACTGAGCGCCGCTGCGAAGGGATTCGGTCTCGTAGTCAGAGGCGTTGTAGGCCTCGATCAAGACAGAATCCTCAATGTGCGCACTGTCTGCGTCAAAGGTGTTGATCCAGGAGCTAAAGTTAGTGTTCTCGCCGCCGTATACGATGCTGAAGATAGTACCCTCACCGTTCGAGGTGCCGGTCAAGAGAGGCACGTGAGAGGCATACTTGCCGGCGGCAAAGCGTGCAGCGTAGTCGGAGTGACGCGTTATGTCGTCAACGACAGGGGTGAACCAGGTGTTGAAGGTCGAGTTGAAGTTGGCAGTCTGGAAGGCGTACAGATCGACCTTGCGGAGGCAGTCCAATTGACCCTCGCCACCAGCGGGGCACCCGACTTCGGCGGCGACGGCATTTAGAGCCTCATTGACCGGCGCGTAACCGGGACCGGAGACGGCATTGGCGCTCATCTGCACGGCACCCTTAAGCCAAGTGTCGGGATGGTTCCAGAGATAATGGTCAACTTGGACACCGCCTGAAGAGTGACCGCCAAATACGATGTGATTGGGGTTTCCTCCGAATGCTGGCCTGGCGTTAGCGACGTGTCACATTAATCGGTAGTTGAGATGGCATCGGAGATAACTTACCCTGAATGTTCTCGTGGATCCAATCAAGAGCCTTCTCGACGTCCAGGATGCTAAAGTTCTGGGACTCATCAGGATTGGAATCCTTCAACTCCGCAGAGTGGGGGGAGGCAAAGATGCTCTCGCGGGTGTTGAAGTTGACATAGACGACGCCATTCCGCGCAAAGTTGCTTCCCTGCAACTGAGGGTTGCTGCTGGAGCCGGTGACCATAGCACCGCCGTACATGTACACAAAGACCTAGACGAGGCTCTGGTTAGTTTTAAAGGGGCAATTATGGGACTAATCTTGTCGGGACACTCACGGGCAGGTCCTTTCCGTTCGGGGGAGACCAGATATTGAGGTTCAGACAATCCTCGCCCTGCTGGGTGAAGGAAGTGCCTGAGATGGCCTGAGGGCATGTTGGGCCGTAAGCCGTCGCGTCAAAGGTTGCTGTGGACTCGGGAACAGCTTGAGGCGCTCGCCATCTGAACAGGGACTGTTAGCACATGTCAATTGATGAAAATCGCAATGATCTGCATACCGGTTCTCCCCGCCCGTAGTGGCCGCAAAAGGGATACCCAGGAAGACCGAGTTATGGGAGTCATCACGGAAGCCATTGAACGTGCCCTGGGGAAGGACGACACTCGTAGGCCGTGTGACGTTGACGCATGCACCTGCCGCCGTGTGAGGGAAGACAGACACAGCTAAGGCCAGGCTTGCGCCCGTCGTGAAGACATCGACAAGTCCCATGATGCACACTTTGTTGACGTTCGGGCGAGGTACGGAAAGGGGTGAAGGGCAACTAGTCCAAGCCGATGGGAGCGTCCATGCAGGTTCATATCAACTACGACCGACGCTCCTTTTACTAAGATCCTTACAGCTGCAGATGTGGGCTGGCACTTAGGTGGCGATAGCTCTTCAGGTGGAGAGCAAAACCACACATATCAAGGGTTTACATCCATGCCAACTCCGCTTAAATGGGACTCCGCTCGCCTCTCATTGCTCTATCCAGCGCGGAAGGGTCATCTTCGGAATACTCATTAAATAGACCAGCCTAGGCAGCCTAGGATCAGGGTCACCTTACCAGTGTCAACGGAACGAAGTCCACAAATTTCTTTGTAAAAAGCTCCACTGCCGGAGTTCTCGGCGTTACCCCCCGCGGTCAAGAGGGGTTCTACTCCGTATGTTAAAGGAATGGCGAGATCTGACAGAGTGCATGGCTCTAAAGAATATGCAAAGCACCTTATTGACCTTGTCGACGCCCACGTTGCAGAACGCAGCTCAGCCACCCCGGCAGTCTCAACCAGCCCTGGCTTTCTCATGGGTTCTCCACCAGGAGAGAGAATTTGGTGATCAATAATATCACGCAACAGGCCAGTCCCCTGCTGATCCCTTCCAACATCCCCTGTTGGGGTCCCTGCTTGACCCCTGTCTCAGCGCCGAAGATGCGGGGCCTGGCCAACGTGTGCCTACACACACTACACTACTGATGCCGCTACTGCATGGAAGGCTCTCAACATCACGAAAAAACCTGATACGACCACTCCACGTCCTCAAAGGCCATTGGGCCCGATCAGCTGGCGCCGATGATTCTTCGGTTCGTGAATTCTGGGTCAAACTAGTTAGTCTTAACCAAATGAGAGCCAAGATTCGCAATTGTGCCCATTCCCGATCACTAGCTCCGGAATTCCCCCTCTCCGCGCAGGCTGGAGGCAAACATGAGCAGATGTGAACACGGATATGTCCTGTACCAAGCACCTCAGCTAGTGTTGCCGCATGCCGTATCCCTACATATTATGAAATGGTAGACAGACGGCGTGAAATGCGCAACCCTGCTGGGTTGAACTGTGACTAGACTGGATTGAAAACAAGCGTGATGCAGTAGGGGTCAGACCAAAATGTCCGTGGCCCAGCTACTTGGTCACAGATCGAGCAATAAGACCTGAGGGACATCCACAACCGTTTACTCATCTGTCTTCCTTGCACAGACAAGACACCGTTGATCTAGGTCGCGATGGCGGAGGGTCTCGGTCAAGTGGTAGGTGGCAGTCCTTGTGCTGCTATCAAGCTTAACCATAGCTGTGAATCTCTCTCTGATTTTTGACGTCATTTTCAGGTCTCATGGTATATCTGTACCGTTGCAGCAGCCATCTTTCTTCTGCTCCGGTTGTGGGTTCGCTTCCGCAGGTTTAAGACTCTCGGTGTTGACGATGGCCTCCTCATCCTGTCGCTATGTTGTCTCATCGGAGACCTAATCATCCAACAGCACATGTGGAATCTCGGCATGTCTGAGATTCCCAAAGCCAGCAGAGAAGAATTTATTCAGATCATGCAGGTAAGTTTATGATCCTTGGCCAACATGTTATGGTCTGTGAAGCTAACCGATGGAACTTGAATGAAGATGATTGTACCAGGATCGATTCTATACGTTACCTCGCTATGGGCCATCAAGATCGCACTCGTATTATTCTACAAAAGAATTGCAGCCCCCGGAACAAAACTGCAGGTCATTTACAACGTCACCATCGTGCTCCTGGTAGCTTCATGGGCCACAATCTTTTTCCACATCATTTTCCAGTGTTACCCCCACAACAAGAGGTGGTCTTTGGACCCCACCTGTAAGTCGACAACAGCACTCTTTGGGCTCTTGGTTTGCAAATAAATAACGTTTTGTAGATCAGTGTAACCCAACGGATGCAGAAATCAACTATTGGTTGACTATCCTTCGTAAGTACCCCTCGAAAATTGACGTTTGGGGTTAAGCTAACCGGTCGCAGTCAATATTGGTTCCGATGTTGTTAGTAAGTAACAAAGTAGAAAGGTTGTCCATTCAGATCCTTGGTTAACATTCAAAAGCCATCAGTTTACCTATTTCAATGGTTTTGAAGTTGCAAATGAAGATGAAGCAAAAGCTCGGCGTGGCTGCCATCTTCGCTCTTGGTTTCTTCGTTATCATAGCCAGCAGTATGTCCCAACCGTTGCAAGTCTACCACGTGAAGCACATACTAACGACAACAGTCATCCGCGCCTACTATTCCAAACGCAACGAGACTATGCTGACCTGCACGGTCTCCATGATCGAAACAGCGGTCGCAATTATCGCCGCATCTCTTCCAGGTTCGTTGACGCCCAGTCACACCCAGCCTGTACTAGATCTGACGTTGCTAACTTACGGCCAGCACTTCGCACCCTCCTCCTCGGCCACACCTCGACTGCCGGAACCAACTCGAACTACGGACATTACGAGCTCTCTTCAGCAGGAATTGACCGTACGCGTCGAACACAGCAAAGTCGTATAACGACCACCGTAGTTGGCGGAACACGCAACAAGGATAATGACTCGGAGGATGAGTTAGTCAAAGAGGGGGGCCGCCTTAGTGCTTCTGGACAAGGCCGCCTGACACCAACAGAGGACAAGCCTAACGCCATCTCTGTGAGCACAACTTTCCAGATGCATCATGGGCTTGATGAGCACAACACGCTACCCAATGGCAAATTCAATCAGTACCCCTAAGGATGGTACTGAGTGGATCTCCCAGCGACTTTTTTTTTTTTCCTTTTCCATATTTTTTATATGCACGTCCTTTGGTCCTGGTCCTGCGACGGATTATCATATGGGATGTGGTTTTCGGCACGCTGCTGAAGCCGTAATCCGATGTTGAGCTCAAATTGTTTTCATTGACGGGGAAAAGCCTTAAAAACTGCCGGTGATATTTGACGTTCCGGCGTGTGAAAAGATGAGGTACACTTGGCGGGGCAGGCGGATCAGTTGATGCAGCATACATGAACAGTAACAAACATGCAAGACTGGAACTAAAGAAGAATAATTATCATAATAGAGAAGATACCCAACAAGCATACAAGTTTCGCTTCCATCTGTATCGTCATTCATCATTAGCCCGCTTATAACTCCAACTGACCAAAGTAAACAAATATTCCACAGAGCCAGGCACTACCTCCAAGCTAGAGCTGCATCAAAGGTTGGCAGTTCCTCGCCTACCGGTTCTGATGTCTCATGGCCGGACGCTTCAGTGGAGATCTGGAGTGGCACTGAGAGGCAAACCTTTGTACCCGAGACTGACGTTTGTAGATGCAGAACATACGTCCGAGCAAGGTAACAGCTGTAGAAAGTCGGGAGAAACATCTTTTGAGTGGTTGGCAGTTGAAGCGGCACTGTGGCGGCTGCCCTCCAAACAGTTGAGCCTTGTCCTTGCACGCTATCCTCGCGAGTCCATGTGATCTGCCCCACATCGGTTGCTGGAAGCTTGATCGATGTGACATATTTCAACTCATGTTTGATGCAACCTGAGTTTCTTGCTTCTCCAAGTTCAGGAAGCGTCTTCATAGACACTGCACTGAACCACGTAAGTGCCTCAAGCTTAAGTTGGGCGACTTTTACCTCTGGAGGTGTGGTAAAGGGAGAATCAGAGACAAAGCTGAAGTCGATCACGGCCGAAGCAGGGACTTCTTCAAGTTGATGCCCAGTGGTACCAAGGTGAAGAGCTCTTGGTTGAGAAGCAGTCACGTCCAAAGAATATTTTTCCATTGAAAGTACTTTCTTGCGAATGGACTTTGACTTTCTGAGAGCATATCGCGTGTCCAAATTGGTGATCCTTAGAGGAGGGTCTTCTGGGAAGGCGGGAATGACCTTGATTGCGCGGCTAGCCTCAGTTGCTTGGCTCAAGTTGGAGGTATGCTTTTGCAGTACACGAGCCAAAACAACGTATTCGACGCTTGCCATGACTGGAGACATGTCGTCTTTCTCCCAGCCACCCATAGTAGGGGGAAGTCGCATGTGGAGATCATGAATATGCCCAGATTCCAAGACGTCGTCGCAAGGGTCTTTGAGGAGTGTTTGAGGGATAGTAAACTCAAAGGGAGCATTATATGTTGTTCCAGCCTTGAACACACGGTCTGCGGGATAAACTTTTTCGTCTATCGGCATGTCCAACCTGAGAAAATCATTGTCAATGACTTTGGGGACAGGTAGCATGTCGATTCGAGTGTGCGAGGTGCCAACGAGTGTGATTTGAAGCCAGTGAAAAGGAATATCAATCTCTGGGCACAATAACACAGACCCAGAGACCGAGGATCCGTTTGTATAGATTTTGGAGATGTAATGATTATCGATGTTGATGTTAAGGCCCATCTTGGATTGAGTCAGCCGTGGATCATGGCTGAATATAGGCACAAAAAGAGATGAAACAGGATGCGCATGCTTAAAGCTGCGAGCTTGCTGAGTGGTTGTGATTGATGACGCTCGCATACTGAAAGAGGAAAGGAGGCGCTGAGTTGGGGGTTGATGAAGACAGAAGCACCCCGAGATTGAGGAGGAGGGGGCGGCGACACCACTTTTTATACCGCAACAACGCTTGTTTTAATTCCCCAAATGTGTCGTAGCAATCAGGTAATGGTTTAAATGATTCGGCTAGCGAAAGTTTTCAATTATTTCTGTGTGCGGGCGGCACGGGAACTTTTTCATTTCAACTCGGCTATACTCAACTTACACGGAAGACGATGGAGTGCCGGTCATGACTTGAGACCTCCGGCCCCCACCACCTCGGGACGGCTTAACGTACACGGTCGGGCCCCGCTTCCGGTCGACAAAGGCGTCGCTAGTACGCCCTTGCCAGCAGGCCCTGACCCCCGCACAAACAGACACTTGGCCCAAGTAAACGTAATTGAAATGAAAACTTTGAAAGAAGGAATTTGCCCGCTCTTTTGGCATGTGTCCCCCGGGGATACCCACCTTTGCGGATTGGCCAAGTTGTGCGCGCTGTTGGAGCGATCAGATGCATTTCAAGTCAATTTGTGTATGATTGATGTCAAGAGTTGCATCATCTATACATTCGATACTGGTTTGCTACTCTCGGATAGTTTATCTTATGGCATAAATTCCTTAACAACAGGTCTATTGTCAAATGTCCCTAAATGCCAAAGTCCCCCTCCACGAAAGACCCGTGAGGACCAAGTCCATAAACTTGCGGCATGTCAGCCCTAGCAATCTCCTCAAAAGTCGTGCCATCGAGAGCAATGAGGATACTGTGCATTCCCTCCCGGTCAATTACAATTGTAAGGACCACGCCATCATCCTCCTTAGTCGCACCTGGTCTCTGCACAAAAACGGGCTCACATGGGCAACTCTCCCCGTTTTTGGGCTGCCAACGCTTAAAAGTTCCGGTCTTCCAGTCAGATTTGGCCAGGCTTCCAAATAACGCAGCTTGCACTACCTTCAACCCGTTTCCGAGCCGACCGATTGGCACAGCCGTTCCCGGAGAGGGCCCGCCGGTGCCAGAAGCGCAGTACACGTAGCGATACCCCGGGACCATGGAAGCGCTCTTGGCAATCCGGGGAAGTTCACAAGCCATTCCCGGAATAAAGGCCGCTACAGTCGCACGACAGACATGATCTGCATCGGCTTGGTCCACGGCGGCCAGCTCATACCGAATGAGGGTCGCGTTTTGTAACGGGCCGGCCGGATCGACGATGTTGCTAAGACTGTAGTCACTATATGGAACGTAGGTACTTTCGTAGCTGCAAAGATCTACGTGAATGTTGATTGCCCCAGTCCTAGGGTCCACATAATCATAACCGTTTACAGAATGGAAGAACATGAAGCCATCCTTTTGTGAATAAGTAGCGACGCTAGGGTATGTGTCAGTTACATGTAGAATCTGTGGTAAAACCCCCTTTATTGCAGGACTAAGTTTAGCAGAAATCCACTCACTGCTTGCCGTCAATTTTATTCAAGACGAAAAATTGAGTTGGGGTATTTGGCTCGAATTGGAGCATATCCACCATAGGCTTTGACGTGTCGCTGACATCCATTTGAACAGGCTGGCATGTTATCAGTCAAGATGTAAAGCCTTTTGTTCAGAAGTCACCAGAATGCTCACATTTCTGATAAACACGACATACTTGTCGGTCATTGCTAAAGAGTGGATGTAACAAGGCTTGCATGGAAGCGGCGTTTTCCATAAAAGCGAGGTAGGCTTGGCTACTATATTGAGCGCAAAGACAGACATGATGCCTTTCTCAGGATCAATTAAATAATTAAAAGTCAGACCCCGCTTTCTGTCCTTTGGCGGGTGAGAACAAATGCCATAACCGGAAAGCTCAGGGTCAATTTGGGCATAAGTAAGCATCCGCTTAGGCTCGAGCGTGCGTGCGTCACAGACTTGAAGTAGGTTGGAGTCCGCTTGCACTAAGACCTAATGTCACTCAAAATTCAGTATCTTTATGCTATAGAAATCAGGTTTCACACTTGAAGTACCTCTTCAGCCTCTGGGTTATTTGCCGCAAGCCCTTTGGAGAGTGGGTTGCTATCAGGTGGAAGGTGAAAACCACGACGAGGGGCGACATTTACGCTGATGTCATCTGGCCCTAAATGACCATCGTGGTGGTATAAAGATTGCTAAATGGAGTGTTAAAACTTCTTGCAGAACCGGCAGCTCTTCACATCACTTACTTGAGCACCTAGCAAGGCCCAACATGGATCTTGCACGTGTTTCAGAGGGGTGTTTGGATTAAGACCAAAAACATTAGTAGAAAGGTAACCATCTTTCTTCGCTCTTTTAACAACTCCCTCGGACGTGTAGCGGCTGGTGTAGTACACGCTCCCGTCCAACATGCGGAACTTATGTAGCATGCCGAGCCCGTCGAAAAAGTGCTGGATGACGGCATTAGGCTTGGAGCCATCTTCAGAAAGAGGGACGGTGAAACGACCTGGACCAACTCTATAAGACGCTTTAGTATGCTTTAAAAGCACATCAGCATCGCAAACTTTTGCTACCTACCTGATAAATGTACCATGAAGCCACGATGGCCACGCTCCTGTGGTTTTGCACTCTATCTCGTTGGGAGTTTCCCGCACGTCACGCAAATATGGAGGCAAATACTTCAGGTCTTCTTCCGGGAGAAAGTACTGATTGTATCCCAAAGCAGGCTTAGATACAGCAACCATGATTGGAAGATTTAGAGAATCACAAATGTATCAAGTTTTTGCTCCCCGGTATTAGAGAATACTAAGAAGTGATAAAGAAATGAATATATAGATAGTTTTAAGTAAAAAAAAAGGTAGATAAACACGGAGCTGTGTTACATCTGCTTTATGTAGCAATATAAGACCAGCAGTGTAGTGTTTACCCCACCTCGTTCCACGAACGGTTTGTATGACAACCCCGCTTCTCCGCAACCCCTCAAACCTCCGAGCCCGATTACGATTTCTCGGTCTTGGACGTGGACACGGGCCGTGTGGGTGAGATGTATCATCCGGGTTTTGGAGGTTCTCTGAGCACTATCCCATAGTTGTCTCTCCGGAACATGGATGGACCGATAGTGTACGAGACATTGCAAACTATATTTAATTGGACGAGTCCAAGAGTGGTTATAGATTGCGATGCGAGCGATGTCAGTTCGGAGTTGTTTTCTGGTGCCAATGCTCGCCGAATCTCTGTAACAGCTCTTCACTTACACCAACTGTTTGAAGGCCAGCTGTGTTGCCAGACAAGTTAATTGATCGTATGGGGAACTCTTCGATAATTATGGGTGTTCCTTATAAGCTTTGACAAAGCTGTTGATCGCTTGCAGCGTCAAAAACATGATATATACAATTGTCTGTTGTCAAAGAGACTGCGGATTCTGCTTGATGTTATTAGATTTTACAACCTGCTCAGTGATACCTTCACTTCAGGGCGCCTCCTGTCTCTTTCATATGAGTAGTTACTGTCGATGTACTTCTGAGGAAGAATCGCAGCTGTAAACTCACGTAACTCGAACATTTGACTTGCCATGAAGTACAATAATCTGTTTTCGACACTTTCTTTGTATCGGATACCAACACAGGCGAAATCAAGCGAGTTCGGGGATTTAAGCATTATCCCCGGGCCCATGACGATATATTGGTACGTACTGTCGGTACTACGTGGTGCTGGGCCACATTTAAGTTTTGGCTATTCCTAACTCCCCGCTCCCAGCTTGTCCATAATCCTAACATCGCCACAACGTCCTCTCTAACTCCCCGCCTCCAAACTCCTTCGTCGTTTAATCGAACGTAATTCAGGCAATCTGACAGGCAGTCAAAGACAAATCTGATGGAGAACGATGCTCTTCCAGTAACAGCAACCCGGAAGCGGAAGCGGAATCCGATCGCTTGCAGTTCTTGTCGGGCCCGGAAATCACGGGTGAGTGAGTGACATCTGATTTGCCCATTGCAATGGACAGGCAGAAAGTATTCCTGCCTAGTGCCGGTGGCTGCTTTTTTTTTTTCTCGGAACCTAGCAACTAACCAGGATTTTCTGTCTACAAGTGTGATGGAGCAAGACCGTCGTGCTCAGCTTGTATCGAACAAACCATCACTTGTGTCTATGCGGTGAATTCTGGTGCAAACACCGCTTTAGTCCCTAAACAGTATGCTTAATTTTCCCCTACAGGTATGTAATGGGTTTAAAACTCTAATACTAATAATGAGCTTAGGTATCTGGAGCACGTAGAAAATAGATTGGCAGATGTTGAAGAAGCGATTAGCCGCCTAAAGGAATTCATTCCAACTGCGGTACTTGAGGATAGGCAGCATGTAATTTACTCGCATGGCGTCTCCTCTCGTCGGAATCATCCTTCAGAAAGCTCCTTCACTGAGAACTCGCTTCATGCAGAAGAAGGAAGTACACACATTGTGTCACCGGATGCAACGGATGGCGTAGGCACTATCGAGTTTACCAACGACGGCACATGGACCTATTTTGGTATGTTTCACAAGATTTACCTACGATTACAGCTGCTGGTCGTCATTCAAGGGTCGCCTAACATGAATTACCCTCCAGGACCAACATCCAACATCGCTTTCACAAGAAACATTCGTCGAACTTTAAATCATTTGCAGCGAACCTCCTCTAGAAAGGTCCGCCACCCAGAGGTCAGGCCACCCCGAGAGGCCCAACAACATAATTTGGCCGTTTCTAGGTCTCATTCACCCATCGACGACTCTTTCGACTCTAGGAGACTAGAAACTCCATCCGAGGCATGCCACCTGCCGCCTAATGTCGAAGTGTCGCGTCTCATCCGTCAATTTTTCTCTGACACAGGCTTGCTCTTTCCATATGTTCATGAAGAAAGCTTTTTAAAAGCATATGTGCAATTCCAATCAATCGGTATGAATAATGCCAGGCGTTCTTGGCTTGCGTTGCTAAACATGATTCTCGCAATGGCAACGAGCACCACCTCCACTAAGAAACTTGGTTTAAGTCATCGACAAGCAATTTCAGAAACTTACTACCAACGCGCCAAAGCCCTATCAATGGGCCAAATGATGTGTAGGGCGAGTGTTGAAGCAGGTACTACAATTACTTGACCCTTCAAATGGTCATCTGGATATCGGAAAATATGGAGAATGAAGAATACCTCATTAACTAGTGCGCAGTTCAGGTCATGTTGTTGATGTCTCTGTACCTTCAAGGAAGCCAAAGGTCAGTACAGACCTGGGCGATACATGGACTTGCTGTCAAAGCTGCTATGGAACTGGGACTCCATTCCGAAATTTCTCTTCAAAGGTTTGACCCCCTTGAAAGAGAGACGAGGATTCGGACGTGGTATGGTTGTATTGTTCTCGACAGGTGTGTGGTTTCTCACCAGTCAACGCCACTTGACGGCTTTTCTGATAGGACGCAGAACATTAAGCATGACATTTGGACGGCCTCCAATAATTCCTCAAAGTTATGTTAGAACGAATTTGCCAAGCCATTCTTTTCACCAGTTATCGGGAGTGGGTGAACTGAGATGGTCCGGTGAAGAAGAGAGTACCCTCTTTTGGAACAAGTCAATGTATTTTGCAATTCCTGGTCCCGTTCCTAGTATTGATACCCGCTGACTGCTTGTTTTGTAACTCTATAGAGCTCTGTACGGAGTTACTGCTGCCGTAATCGACGAGCTCTATGAGAACAACATTGGATCTGGCACAACGATTCCAATAGCAAATGTTTTGTCGACTGTGATTCATATTAGCCAAAGGCTGGCGACTTGGCAAACATCTCTACCGACTTCAATGCAGCTTGTAGACCGAAGCGAGATACTTGAGGTTGTTGATAACCCCTTGTCACTCAAGTTCAGGGTGATCTTGACGCTCCGTTATCACAATCTTCACATACTGTCACATCGGCCTATCCTGGATCGTTGTCTTCAAATCATTCACGAACATCCTCACACGGACCAGGGGTCAGCTCCTCTAAAGCAAGGGTGGTACTTCAGCAAGGAAGCATGTCTCCAATCTGCGGAAAGTATCATTCGTCTCGTTGAGGCATGCAAGGTATCTATTGATGCAAACCCAGCCGTCTCCTTTCTAGGAGCCTGGTGGTTCAGCCTCTACTTTAGTAATTCTACCCCTTGCCCTAGCCGTGGAGCCCGCTGATTTTTTTTTTTCTTTTATAGCTTTCAACGCTGCGTTGGTTGTGATTGCCATAAAGCTCATCGACGAAAGCTTGTCTCCATTATCCCCCGAACCAGCTTGCGCCAATGCAAGCTCACGTGTGGATGACATTCTTAGGAATGCAGTGACTTGCATCTCACGACTTGACAGACAGAATCCGATGGTAGAAAAATGTTCAAATTTCGTTGCGGCTTTGATATTCTTGGTACAGAGTCTTTCAGGTTAGTTCCCTCGACCTTCAATAAAACCCTATACTGACAGTCAAATTCAAAGTTCCAGAGAAAGCCAGTGGATGTCCAATGACTGTACCAAGTGATTTTACATCTACGAATATAGAACCATCTTCCAGTGGGGTGCAAAACGACACAGGAGACGAGTTTTCAAGCTTGATGGACTTTCTTCCACCGAATTTGTATACTATCTCTGGCGTCGATGCGCCATTCGCAGTTTCTGAACTGATGAATGATTTTGTCACGGAAGATCTGTTCTGGTAGTTTATAAATCATATATCAATCACTTTTAGACTTCTCGCATTTTTTAAACGACCTTTGTGTACTTCCTGTCCTGTATCTCGGCCATCGCCAGTGATGATCTATACTAGAAGCAATACTGGGTGTCTTATTCTGGCTAATCCAAGTTTTCAGGAACTTTAACAAGCGCATTCTGATGGAAGCCAATGATGTAAGCCTATGTGTGATGAAGACTCCCTCGAATGGCCTCTGCTGGGACTTGAAAGTAAAGCAACGTGACAAGTATTGAAACGTCGAGAAACATGATCGGTAATAATATGAATTATAGTGTTAATAGATGTGCATCAAATTAGGATACGATACTAGACCAACAAGGAAAAGAGATAACTCCTCGGGTTATTTTACTGTTGCTCTCTCGAGGAGTAAGACGGCGTTTTCTTTGACGACCAGCAACCAATCGAGAAACAAAGTGAAGGAGAAATTGCATTGCAGCGCATGTTATATGTCTATTTTCTTGTGTGCTTCGAAGTGGCATAATTACCTTGCAGCATTTCTAAGAACCCATTCTTCCCCCCTTCTCTCTAGGCCTCCAACAATGCCATGTGCTCTGAGGTGCGGAACTTGCAGTTCCATGTCTTTTCTATACACATTTATATCTTGGGATTCTCTCAAGAGGGCACTCTTATCTTCTGGGGTGATAGCAAGCAGTGCCGGTAGTGGTGATCCTTTCACAATATCAATATCCAAGCCTGCAGTTTGTATGATGATGATGAGAAGCGTCAAGATCGAAAGCCCAACCTGGGCCGCTAGCAACGACAGCCATGGCCAACGTATTTCCACAAATCGCTCATCTTGCCAAGCGCTTCCACTTTCATTTGTCGTGAGTAGCCTGTTGAATGAGAATCAGCTTTGGTTCTAATAGTTTCAAAAGAGAGGGGGTGCTAACGCATTAGTTAATCCGCTAGCTATGTTCTGCGTGAGATTCTTCAGCGTCTCAAACTGGGCATCGTCTAGTTTTTGAGATTCGTTCCTTGGGTTTATGCCAATTTTTGCGCGTGAAAGGGCTGTGGCATAAATTCCCACACCGTTATCGAAGTCGTATGAACCCAAGTCGATGTAGTATCCTTCCATTGTTTTCGAAAGACTTGTTGCAATCTCACTGAGGCCCAGCCCGTCCGCAACATATTGTGCCCCAGGGCTATCCGGCGAGGTCAAATAAGTACCGTTGATTGTCCTGTTATAACTCTTCACGAATACCTCTCCAGTGTTGGGCTTCGTGTATGACGCTACTTTCTGGGTAATTGGTACATTATTTTGAACCGTGACGTTGTAGGTGTTAACACACCAGTGCATCATGATCTCCGTCGCTCGTAGTGTGGGACCATTCAAGACGAAGAAGTTGAAAAGTTTCGCCTCCAAAATCTCGGTGCCGTTATACGATAGACTAGTGCCTGTGGAGATGTTCATGTTGCCATACCCATAGTTGCTTCGTTGCATGTTTACGCCATTGGGGAGAGTAGCGTTCGTGCCGGGCGCAGTAGGGTCGCCGTCAGTTTCTAAGAGGTCAGTAACATCTAGTCCGACTATTAGCTATCCAGTGACTTTAATTAAAACATAAGATTGCTGGTGGCAACAAGACTTGTTGTAGTCTCAAGTAAAGGAACTTACTCTTCATATCCACGCAAACAGCAAGTGAGGTAAAGAGTGGCCACGTGCAGTTATTAGTTTGGCAGCTTGCTTGATGGTACGGCATAACCTCATCCGGCGGCGTATTGAGGCTACGGGGAATGGCTTGGTTTATTGGAAACATAATATCTCCTGTAGCTTGTCAGTTGGGCGAATCTAAGACTTCCAGCCGAGGCTGATGAACGCGCAGTCCTCTGCAGGTAGCTGAGTCTAGAGGGATAGAAGGGCATGGGACAAACTTACTGACTGCATTTTGGTTTGCAGTTGCCCAGAAGTATCCTTCATTTCTCAATGTGAGTGCGCTATCATTCTGCGCTAGGGCAATTGGTCGGGTTGGGTATGTGACAATAGACTGCGTAAGTGTCGAGGTCGCGATCCCCGACACCAGAATGATTGCAGACATAAGACCCACGATTCTGTCACTAATTAGAAACAGTGACTTGTCACCAGAAAACCCGTAATTCAAGTAGACTCCCTCACCTGCCCTTGGTAGTAACCAACAACTTCAAGCTGCCCCATGGGCCTCGACTGGCTTGGTCGAAAATCTGGAAATCCGCCAGAGGCCTTGGGGACTTGTACCAGTTCCATTTGTATTGCGACAAGCCCTCCACTACTGGAAGGACAAATGCTGTGCGGCATACAGTTGATATGAAGGCGATGACAGTGTTAAGTGTGAACCCTGCAGGCCAGTTCGGCAGAGGCTTGCCGTCGTAGGAGCTCAACACCGTAACGAGCGCAACAAGGCACAAAATGCTCACGAGAGACCACACAAGCTCTGGCCACCAACCCTGCAGGATATAAAATATCGAACGTGATCTTTGCGTAGGCAGTCTCCTTTCTCCGGTATTTTCGTCTGTTGTTACCAGTTCATATTCGCTTTCACGCACCCCGAATGTTGCGTTATTATTTGTTCCTTTCGCAAAGGCTTGCTGTGAATTTTCCCTCAGTGAGTTCGACTTCATGTCTGCTGGTTCCCAACTTTGCGCTTGCGTGTCAGCGGAAGCCAGAAGCAAAGCTTCATCGTATCCCAAAGGCGGAATATAGGACGGTACTGGTTTGCGCCGAGTCTGGCGCTCAACGTTGCTCCGGCTTTCTGGGCCCATAGTCACTCTGCTCTTCCGTTGAGACCAAAGCTACGAAATTTGCAATCATAACAAATGTGCCGTAGCTGTATTGGAGGAAGATACCTACCTTGTTCAATTCCGTTGCAAGAGACGTTAGTTTGGGGGCCACCTTTCTTTTAGGCTCTGCCGGGCACCGAAAATATGAGTGTCACTGCAACAGTGAGTGGTTGGTGGTATTGCAGGATAAGCACTACACCTAGTTTGGATAAGCTGTCGAAGGACTGTTTGATCCTTCTCCCTGTAAAGAGTGATTGTCATCGTTGCCTAGATCTCAGTTGCCACTAGCTGCTGCAGTCGCTCGAATTAGCGTATGATGCAGGGGTCGAATTTCCAGTAGCCACTCATCTCAGGACTGAAATTGCTTATTATGCCCCTATCGGAGGGTGTTTAAATTCTACACAGTCAGGATCGACACCGTTCTGTACGATTATCCATAGTTGCTTGGTTAGACTGTGTGGACCTGTCTGGCTTAGCCTATACCCGTTTTTACATGCTATTGTTCCATTGTGCGAATCGCACGATGGCAATGACAGATGCTGTACATAGTAAAGCAGCACCGCCTCAAAGATCCATTCTGCCTAGAATTTATCGTCTTAGCCTTTGCTTTGACCAAAGCGCTAGCGTCTGAGACACCTTCGTATAGCGCTCAAGCTGCCCACCTATGAGGCATCATTTAAGACTACGACATCATGTACTCAATAATAACACCCGACGACTCGTTTGACTTTCAAATGCTACCCAATTCATTCTCAGAATCATTCCAACAGAAATGTCTCAGCGGTATGTTCTGCGTATCTACTTTAAGATGCTAGAAGCTTACCATCTTATCCGCCTTGACGGGAATCTCACCTAAGGAATATTTTACCTGCAAAGGGCTTTTCTGAGTGTGGTTGGCCGCATTCACCTAAGGCTGATAAGATCGGCCTTAGGAAATTGTTGCAGAGTTTGAAGGTATCTGATTCAGGTTTAAGTGATCGTGTAGCTTAAGAGCAAAAGAACACCGAGATTATGGTGAGTTGGTGAAGAAAGCGTCTCATTCTTTTCTTCTTCATTGCTAGTGCTGATTATAGCCGTGGATTCTTTTTTTCCTAATATTTATTTCATGATGATTCGTTTTGTTGCCTTTGGTTCCCCATGCAGCTTACAAGATTATGCAGTTGAACCACTACAGCAACGTATTTTAATTCGCCATTTTGCTGACTATAATCATACAAACCATGCAGCTTCTTAAGCAAGCACAGGAACAGTACATAAGCTGACTGATCATTCCAACCCTTTCACCACGTCTAAACGACGCAGCGTTATCAAAAACCATCCACAACAAATCACAAAAGTGTCATAGCTCGAGTCGCATAGCGACCCGGAGGCAGTAAGCTTAAATCATTCGTCAGCGACCTCTTGTAGGTGTCATCCGCTGAAACATCAGCCGGGAACTTCGGTCAACGTTTCAGGTCGTTTCAAGCACCTCCGCTTCTCGACGCGTACATAAGGAAGTCGAGAGTATTTTGCAATTTCGGATTCATGATAGATGCATTGCCGTTGCTCGCTGAGATTCGCGGCGTCGTCAATCATTGAATGCGTATGATCCAAGACTGAGCTGACATTATTCCCGGTGGTATTTGTTTAATCACGAACTTCATTTTCCGATTGTGGCTTTGAAAATTGTTTGAAACATGTTGGCCGTGAGTTGGAGATGCGAGACAGTTCTTTCGTGTTGAGTATATAACTAATGGAAGACCAGGCTACCATCCTAAGTTTGTCGACTCTTGCAAGCGGCTGTGGACTTACTGGACGTCATATTTTAGGGCCGAGGGACGAGGCATCTTCACTGTGAGTCTCTCGAGACTGAGAATGATGACGAGTACCCACTAAACGACTTTCAGTGTCAGCAGAGCTAGAACGGGGGATCCATTACAGTCTCTGCGTATTCTCAACCCCTATCCGGGGATATTTGCGTACTATGATGGTCGGACCGGGGAGCGATTTCACTCAGATCAACCAAACTGGCTGGACGATGGAGCGTTTACTTTGGGAGTCTCAACGTATTCCGTCATCGAAGGCAACGAAGCCATCATCTTTGACGCACACATTACCCCTGACCACGCGGGGGCAGTGATGCGTCATGTCCAAGGCATGGGTGTCACCAAGATGTCCGTCGTGATCAGCCATTTTCACAACGATCACATCGCAGGAACGGAGGTTTTCTCCAAAGGAGGCGCCACTATTGTCGGCAACGAGAGGACAGCCCGTACAGTTGACCGTAACTCACAGAATCTAGCCACTGACGATCCGCCCATCAAGGCTGTTCCACCGACTGATCTTTACACTGGGACACGGGAGATGAAAGTCGGCAATCTGACCGTCGAGCTTCACAACTTTCAGATTCATACGCCCGACGGCACGGTTATGTATATACCGTCCAAGCAGTTACTCTTCGCGGGCGACACACTTGAGGACACGGCGACATTCATTGCCCAACCAAGGGATCTGCCCACGCATCAGAAAGAGCTTCAGCGAATGTCGGGTTTCCAAATCTCAAAGATTCTTCCAGCACATGGAGAACCTGGGCGGATCGAGGCAGGGGGGTATAACTCGACTTTCATTAATGCAACACTGAGATACATCGCAGCCATGACGGAGGACGTACCACAGCCTGCTGCATGGAACATGCCTCTGTCTCAAGTCGTAGCCGAAGACGTTGCAAAGGGCGATTTGATATATTTCGCTCAGTATGAAGAGGTACACAAGAGCAATGCGCAATCGATTCAAGAGTCTCGTGGTGGCCGGTGAGGATGCAGCTTACTGTCGCACAACCACATGAGCTCATGCGAGGAACTTTATCGATTTTATTTATGAAAGTCTGTGAGTGAAGGGTCAGTGTCGTGAATAATGTACACGATATAAAAAATGCAAACTAGCAAGAGTCAATAAGAGTCTGATAAGTGGACAAATATGCCGTACATAACAAAAAGCCGAGATTCTGCAGGTACCATGCAACCGAATGTTTTCATGTAACATAAAATTGTACAGTGTAATGTAGTGTATGTTTTCGGCATGAGATCTTTATGTCCCAGCTATAACAGCCAGTCTCATCTTCTACAAGTTGTCGTGCTTCAGAAACTTGCAGTCAAAATGGCGTCTGATGGCGAATCGCAACACCTTGATGAAGACTAACCAAGATGCGTCGACATCAAAATAGATGAATCATATTTACAACTATTTGTCATGGATGAATTAAAGCTACGTGACCAAGCAAGCCGTCGGTCCAGAGTGCAACTGATCATCGGAACCGGCCCTCCCCGTCCTTTGTGAACATCCGAGACTTGGTTTGCACAGCCATGTCTAATCTTCAGATTTTACTCTATTGAAGAAACAGAGCTCCATCATCACCTCTAGTATATCTTAGTGCGCCACAGAATCATCACTCGCTAAGAAGTGACGTCGATGAAGCCTAGAAATCCCATCCAACCATGCGGAGCGATGATCTCGCTCGTGACCAGTCCAACGCGGGTTTACTGCGAGATAGCGCGTCACTATGCCAACGCTTGTGAAAGAACTACCGTGCCATCGTCTCACGTGTGGACTATCATGCTAGTTTGACACGTTCTCTAGGAGGAAAGTCTAACCGTTCGTTCGGCAGGGACGTGCAAAATTGCAAAAAGCGAAGGGACCAGTGACGTCGCCCCGTGTGTGTCCTTGCGAGGGGTAAAACACTATTAGACTCAACGTCAACCAGACTCTTAGCCGCGGTAAAGATTTCGCGGAAATTTACAAGTTTATCAAAAAGAGTCTTTCGCTACTCAACTGCCGTTCTCATCAAAATCAGGCCTGCTTCTCCCGATACAACGAGCTTGCCAGAGTTTGACCCGTCGTCTTCCCATTTTATTAAACTTTACTTGGGGAAAACACCTCGTGAGCGAAGATTTCGGACCTGTTGTGTGTGTGTATATGTGTGTGTGAGCTAGGCTGCTGTCCAACCTCCACCATCCACCATGGCTTCTTCTACACGGCCGGGGTCCGACGTTCCGGATATGAATCTGTACAAACTGGACCGGGTTCATCGAACTTTGGAACAGCTGAAAGACAAGCCGATGTGGGATGCCGAGGACACAGGGGGGTTTGATTGCATGCACTATCTAGGCAACGCAGCAATCGATAATGCCGCCAGACAGCTCGGCCTCAAACCCGGAGACCGGGTCTTGGACATAGGGTCTGGGTTTGGCGGGACGGGCAGATACCTTTACCGGCACTACGGGGTCGAAACAACAGGTATCGAGTTACAGGGGGACATCCACGACATTGCGACTACGATTAACAACAAGTCTGGGGCCGCCGGAAGGGTTTCGTCTATTCACGGCAACTTCCTCGAATTGAGTTCCAACCGGATGGGCGTGCCGGTAGACCACATCGTGTCATTCCTCTGTATTCTGCATATCCCCGAGCGCGAGGCGCTCTTCAAGAAAGCGTTGGAAATGTTGAAGGTGGGCGGCGGATTTTACATTGAAGACTTCTTTGCACGGACGGCCTTGGACGACAAGACACTGAGCCTGCTCAGAGAGTCCGTTTCATGCCCCGACTTGCCAGATAGACAGAAATATGAAGCAGAACTAACCAAGGCGGGGTTCGAGGTTGCCGAGTGGGTGGATATATCGGATACCTGGGCCGATTTTGTGCATCATCGAGCCGGACACCCATCCGTGGATACCGACTTGATCACATTTTACAATGCTGTGGATGAAGTATTTGCGTCCGGAAAGGTGGGAGGCGTTAGGATCACCTGTCGTAAAATATAAGATTTTTGTAATATTTTTCATCTTTTCTTTTTTTATAGAGATGTTGTACGTTTATTTTCGTATTGTTCTGCGAAAAAAAAAAAAAAAAAGAAGCAATATGCTACGTAATAACATGGAATCGTCAGTGTGGACAACATAATGGCTCGGCTCTCATACCCGATTAGTGGTCCCCGTGATGGTCAATTAAAAAAGATTAAAAAGGAATTGGCGCTTCCTCTCAGGGCTTGCCACATTCCGCAAGGCAAAAATTCGGGGCTTGGGGCACATTTGGGGGGGAGAGGGATCGGGATTCGGGTCGCATTTACCATGCGATCCGCGGGAAGAAATAAAGTCAAGCACCCGAAGCTAGTGAAGGATAGTTACGTAGAGAAGCAGGAGCCCAGAAGCCTACTCTCCAAAGCACAGATAACTTAAAACTAGGCTAAAGTTTGTTAACGACCAATGAATGGCCCCACCCATGTAGGCTTTTTAAATCGGTAAATTGTATGGAGTCAATGACGGCTAAGTAGGCGCAACGCAGCGCACGCACGGGATGGCGACGGACCAGGGACGAATGGGAGATGCGCCTATGCGAATCACACGGGCGCCCGCGTGGCCGGGGATCTACTCGGAGGATAGTTTTGCAACTGGCGCGCAGCAACTCCCCTTCCTAAACCCTCAATTCTAATTCTCCGTGGAGCTTTAGGAATACAAAAGGGCAAGGTTTGAGGCCTGGTCTCAACAACACGAATCAGGTAACTTGCCACATGGGGAATACTGTCCCAGTTGGGAAAGTCTTTCTTTAAAGCTGTGGCATAGGCCTAGGTTGCTATAGTGGTAGTGTGTGTCTGCATGCACTACACACACTCACTCACACCCACACACTCTCTCTCTTTCTCTCAGTCTCTCTCTCTCACACACACACGCATAACAGGATCTTCGTTAGGGGTACCTCCCTTACGACCCCATCTCGAAAGCGAGGCTGAGTATCTCCCATCTGTTTCTCGGGAATCGGTATCGGTCCGAGGTAGTCGCATAATCACTTGTACAGAAACTCGGCATCCTATGTCAATTTCCTTTCTTTTGTGGGTCTCGAGGTTTCTAATCTCTGTCAGGCAAAAGTCCATTGCCTGACTCAGCCATTTGGCAACCGATAATCAATTGATTGACACCCCGGCCACAGCAGAGGGACATAATACTCGTACACGTACACTAGTAGAGTTCCTTCGGTTAGGTAGGAAGAAGAGCGGGTAAATGAACAGGGGATTAGTGATCTACGACCAAGATACAGGGATGCTGGTCCGGAGGGAAAACTTCCATACTAATTGATACGCGGAGTACTCCGCGTACCATTCTTGGCTAAAGTCTCGTGCTGCTATTATAGTACTTACCGTATGCTTTTGGGTTGTTGGAGTGTTCCGGGAGTCAGTTGTGTTGTGCATAGAAACTTGAGTGAAGGCAGTAACCCGTTTAACTCTTTTCCCTCTTCTCAATCATTTCTGCACACCCCCCAGTTCAACAAAAAGAAAAGGAACGACGATCCTCATGACAATCGGAACACTTGAGGCAAGTCCGGAGCTTCATCTCATGAATGTCACCGTATACGGCAAAGCCGGCCACATTGATATCAGGTTGCCTGTGGAATCTCATAGAGGAAAGTAAAAGAAGGCTAGCGTTCAGGATTAAGCCCAGTGGGGGAGGGTTTCGCAATATTAGTGAGTCACTTGTCACCAAACGCAGTCAATAGTGTGCGTGTTGGTTTGAATGGCGCAATGCACGTCGCGACAAGACGACGAATCGTAAACACTTAAGATCCCAAGCTAGTAATAGCCGGTATCTATACGCAAGGCGGTAAGAACGAGGCACATGAAGGTCGAAGAGGTGTGGCGCTCATTGAGCATATGCGTGTCAGGCGGGGATTGGACGGAAAAGGGAATAGCGCTGGTAAGACTTGGCTGGCAGGGGTTGCGGCTTGGGAATCATGCGAGCAGGGGAAGGGGGAGGAAAGGGAAGTGGGAGGAAGAGTGCTATACAGCAATCTGAGCTTTGGCAAATCTACTGATAACGAGCTCTATGAGGAAAAAAAAACGCAAAGCATCTTGAGCAAGAAACATTGACATGAGACCCTCAGAATGATTAGCGTGTAATCGCAGGGCGTGATCATCATAAAGCCGAAGTGCTTCAGATAGTATGTAAGGTAGCGGCAGTGTTAAAACTAACTAAAAGTAAAATAAAAACAAAAATAAAATAAATAAGTGTTTTGCAGGGCCCGCTTATTCTAAGAAGAGGCAAGTTCGCCTGTGCTTTTCCTTACAGGCAGCGATTATATTGGACGGGTTACAGAGTGTTCTGTTTCGCAATCGAATCATGGACCCCTGGCAGGGTCCGTATTGTGGGATGCTGATATTGAAGGGGAGGAGCTTGACATCGCCTTTCTAGGAGGTCTCGGCTAAAAAATCTTGTGTATGCGTCGTGCTCGGGTCATTCGGAGACCGGGATCCTCTTTTTCTTTTTCGCTCTCGCTTTCAGTAGGCTGTTTACATAATCCACTGTTTGAATGGCGTCATCTTACTGCCAGGCCCTCCCCCCCATACCACATGTCATATAGAACCGGTACACCTTTGGATACGGATAGGTAGACCTGAATACTCCATTCAGCCTTTCGCCACATGTGAATTAGATGGCCTCGTGTTGGTTATACGGCAGCCGCACACCACGGACAGATTGGAAAATGTGAGCAGGACTAGTGACACGCAAAAGATTCTGAACACGAGTATACGAATATCTTTAAGGCCATGCCGGACCTATCGTCCGAAATTACTGTCAGAGATGCGAGTATGAAGAGAATCATGAATGTTGGTGGTTGAAAAGGCAAAAATATTAGATGCAAAAAGTGTAATACATTTCCGTGCATTTTGAGAGACGGGCTTGACATACAATGACAGGCAGAATGAAACCTGGAGGTTCATGGTCATACCAATCTGGAAAAAGAAAGTTTTTGAGACCCGTGCCGCTGGTGACACTAACATGAGATTACGGATACAATCTATACGTAGCGCGTACAGTGACTTGAAAGGAGATGCGGGATGGTGGGCATTCTTGCTTTTTTCGGTAGTATAACCAACCGTAGCGTTTAATTCGTCTGTTCACTGGTTGGCTGCTGGCCGCTTGCGTTTGTGTTTGGGTCGCGGGGCTTGGTGGGATGTGGTGTGCGACGCCAAGAGAGGGCGGTTGTAGCAGATACTCCGCCTAAAGTGTGTACCTTCAGTTTACGGCAAATGGGGCAAAAGCGAGCGAAGAGCAAGGCAAGTGGGAGTAAGTATTAGCAAAAGTCACCGAACGGAATATATAACGCGTGCGAGCGTGGACATGCGGGTGCGTGTGTGCGTATGCGTGTTAGTTTTTAGTGTGCTTGTACGTATGTGCCAGGGGGGGGAGATATGACGGCGCACTCAAGGTACGCCATCCATCCCAAGCCAGTCTATTCGGATGCCTAGAGAAAGTCTTTGGGCCAATTCCCCATAGCAGAAATAAATCTCGTCAAGGCGGGGCGACAATTGGATAATACACAACTCGTCGTGGTTGAAAGATCACAGTTGCCTAAACAGTTGCCTAGAGTCGGAATTGCCGTAGGCGCGGATACATGATAAAGTTGACATGAAAATTAAAAAGAGTCCTATTTTTGATGGCATTAATAAAGGAACTGCGACAGAAAAAGGGTTGATCATTTGTTGGCTTGGAATAGCGACCTGTTGCGAGGGGTCAAAACCAGAAAATACCCCCCAAAAAAACACTTCGATCCGGTGTTTGTCGGTACATAGCAAGATGCCGATCAACTGGACTGGACTTATTCATCCATTTGATTTCAAGGTGTCGTCCCAGCGCTGGCGCTACGCTACGACCTAACAAGGCACAGGGCCAACGACCAGCCAGTGTCAATGTCAGGGGCTGTAATAGTGTGGCAAGCGGGGGGCACTTTACGACGAATGCGACAGAGTACCACGGGGCGAAAATTGCCAGAATAGCAAATACTGGCAACTCAAGTGGCCAATGAGACGGCTTAGTCTGTGCTCTATGACTGTACGATATACCAGTGCCCTAGCCATAGAAAGTCCCTTGGAGGGGTGCAACTCATGGTTGTAGGGACAGGGGTGACGGACACGCGCCAGAACCTTGTCGAATATCCGCACTACCAAATAGCCAATGTACATTGAATTGGGCAAGTATGCGCAGAGATAAGTCCGTGGTTTGCTCGCGTGTGATACGACCGAGTCGCACTTTATGGTTCTCCAGTGTCGGCGGTGCAAATCCATGGGCAAGGCATGCATAATCGTCTACCTGGAATGTCTAAGCGGAGACATCCGTACATGCGGGTTCCGACTATTCGTGTATGAGTGGTCGCTCCGTGCCATGTCGGAAATGGCGTTGCGTATCTGTAATCTAGGTGTAGAATGGGCCAATAGAGATGATGGCAATGTGTAAGAGGAGGAGGCGACGCAGCCCCATTGGCCAAGGCAAAAAATGGAGGTAAGGCCGGGGGCACTTTACGGATACAGTTCATGTCAACTTGAATTCAGTAATGGACGGTCGTAACGTGATAATGGAGGGAATAAGACGAATAGATCCATCATAGTGCATCAGACGCCGTGCGCAGCGCGGGTTACTCCTTCCTCTCCCTTGCTGGGCGACTTGTAATGGGAGTGGAGTGGTAAGCCACGAGGTGTAATTTTAGTGTCTAAACTTTTACCCGAAATGGCTTGGTGCGAAGAAGCCGACAAAAGAGAAGTGTCATAGTCAATCCATTGATGCCGGGAAAAAAAAAATAAAAAGCCAGATAAGGAATACGATGAAGATGCAGCAAGACGACTAAAAGGGGAAAAGAATAAGGAAGAAACGAAAAGGAAACAAAGTCTGTTCAAGAGACCGGTCCCCAAGTACATGGAAAAAAGAGGCCGGACTCTACAGAAAGAGCGCTTCGTTCCAGCAGTTGAACTCTTCCACTCACCGTACGGAATACGTTATAGCCGAGATACACATAGTAGGACAGGCATGTGGATACACACAGCCTGAAGGAGGGATAGATCCACCCTAAGTTGGTGGTACCCACCACTCTCTCCGGCGCTGTATGTGTCTGTACCGGTGGGATTGTCCACTGCACTAGGTAGGTGCTGCCCCCCGAAGTGAAATGGGCAGCTGCCTGTCAGCAAGTGGCAGTTATGGAACCGGCCCCCCCTTCTCTCCCCTGTTCCTGCTCCTGTTTGCCTCGCCTGTCTCTACGAGGAAGCAGCAGGTACCGCACAAGAGGCAAGTACCCTGCGTTTGCAATGGAAAAGAAAGGTACCTTATGCCTTGCACTTGCCTTCCCGGCTTGCCTTGGCCTCCTCGGCTGGTAGGTACGCTTCGTTTGTCAGGAACGCAATAATAGGCCGGTGATAAATCAACGTGACCCAGCCCAGTCTCTAATCTAGGAGCCACCAAATGAGCATTTTCCCCTACTTGGGTGTACTCTCAGTGTCTTTTTTTATTTTTCATTACCAGATTAATCTGATTATCTTTTGCCTAACCGTTCCTTTTGTTGCCTCTCTTTACCTGGCCTCTTTTTTTTTTTTTTTTTTTCTTTCATATCTACCCCTACTTTCCTTATCCATCCCACACACCCCCCTTCCTCATTGCCTCCTTACATCCTATCTCAACTCATCCACAGATTGTTACCTCTACCTCGCCATCCACGCCTAGACCGAAAAGGTACGTACGAACCTGTCTAGCCCATCTTCCTATTCTTGGCTATGGCATGTACCACACATACCATACCAGACCAGCATAACGTTCCATACTTTCTCATACTTTCCTGTGCCTTCCTTACCTGAGGCGTTCAACTTGCCTATCCTGCTACCCGGCGCACTGCGCTGTTTTTTCCTAAAACTGCGGCTTAGCTTAATTTCCCCTGATACCCCCAGCCAACACACTACTTCCACATTCTCTCATCTTTACCACCATCTTTGTTCCCCCGTTGCCCTTTCTCGCCTCCCCCCCACCATCACCACACGTTTTCCTCCATAGACAACTTTTTGTTTTTGACTGTCCATGACCCCCTCCAACTTTCCCTGCTTCTGCCCGGTCTCTTGCTGATCCAAGGAGCCATCTCCAGGCAGACTGAATATCCACCATTCATACAGATACCCGGATACCGTTGTTGTATCTCCCCAATCGAACCTCTTCTTCACCACGACATCATTGAGATCACCTGGGCGACATCTCATAACCGCCGCACTTCTCATCCGGCGCCTTCTTCTCAGTTCAATGAGTTTTTGATTTGCGTCTTGTCACAGACCAGCCTTATCATCAGCTGATCCTACAACTAATTACCACTCAAAGTGGAATACGTGTTGTTCTGCACCCTATCTTTGCCTGCACTCGCGCTGTTGTCCGTTGGACTGGAGTTTGCTACCTCAGATATTGGCACTGTTCATCTCACTTACCCCAGGCAAGACCAAGTCATCATTACGGCTGCAGATCTACCTCTTGGTATGTATACCATCTTAGAGTGCACATTCTGGCAATAGCAGGAGGCCCGAATCCGGTTCTAACCACTGAACAGATATCTGGCGCAGGAAGTTGACAAGTACAGCATTATGGGCATGGCTCGATAAGACTAAACAAAGTCCTGTTTAATTCGAGTAGAAACCAAGTAGATAATCTTCTCGCTGCCGTTGATTACTTATCATCGTTACCATCGTCACAATGGCAAGCCAAATGTCCGCCGGTGATGCGCCACAGGGCGTTCAGTCGAATCTGGAACAAGAGCGAGACCGTTGGTTCACCACACTGGAGGCGGTCAGAAGACGGTTCGAGGCCGAGAAGGAGACCCTCAAATCCAAACTCAACCATGATCAGCAAAGCACTTGTCGTGATTTGGAAGAACAGGCCCGGTTTGCCGAATCGCAAAATCTGCCGAGGCAGGTGCTTGAGCTCTTCCAGAACTACCAAGCGGAAATTCGGACTCGCCGACTCGCTGAGTGCAAGCAAAACTTTGACCTTGCAATGCAAGATTTAAGCAAGCACGAAAAGGATGTATACCATAAACATCACATGGAATTCCCCCTTCCCACTACTTTGCTGGGGCGAGGGGCGGCTACTAACCCCTCCAACTCCTCCACGGCCTTGGCGAATCGACCACAAACTTCGGCATTGCACACACAGGCCGCGCACAACGTGCCGCCTGCCTCGAGAACAACCAACCCAGTCACAAACAACATTAGTTCCGCTCCCATGCCAACGCAACAAAATCAGCACCAATGGCAAGGGTATAGCCAAGCCCCTCGCCACCATTCCCCTCGCATGTCGGGAACTATGAATCAGCCAAACCGGTCAGTGAACCAAGCGGCAGACGGAAACTCAAGGATGCTTCCATCCAACGGACGGACTCCGCTGTTGGGCAACGGAATGCCTTCTTCTAACCCGAACCTGACATCGGCTCCTAATCACGGTTCATCGGCTGGCAGCCCACGGTCAATGAGCCACTCGGTCGACGTTATGCGCGGAGGGCGTGTTCCGATTCCACCAATGACCCAAGCAGCACATATCCTTCGCGACGAGAGGTCGAATATCACAAGAAATGGCGTTCACCTTCAATCCGTCCGGCCAGAGGATTATGCTAGACAGGCCCAGCTTGAGGTTCATCGTCAGTTGAAGCGAAAGTCTGATTCGACCGAGCTCTCGCATTATCATGACTTGGACGCAAAGCGCGCTAGAACGGCAACTCCACAATCCATGGCACCTTTCTCTATCAAATTCCAGGAAATCTATCAAGATGGCAAGGCCGAGTTCAAGCATACCATTGTTAAGTACGAAGACATATTCTACATACTCAAGTAAGTTGAATAACGCACCTCGCCTCTGCAATTTTTTACCTGACAAACCAAATCGCAGATGTGACGAGCATGGTGTCCACTTCAAGCAGAACGCACTTGCAGCTGCGGCTAAGCATCTCCACGGTGCCTCCCATGGCCATCTCAAGAAGGAACATCGTCTAGCGATTCAGAAGCTTGGATTTCATGTTACTGACTGCACTGACGAGCTTGCAAAGATGAACAATGAAGTGGTGCAAAAGGCGTTTGAAAGCGGATACAAGCCCCTTAACCAACTGCACGGCCCCAAGTCTGGTGGCAAGCGGCATTCTTCAGGACACGAGTTCTTCAAAGTGTCGTCAGACTTGTCCTTCACCCCACAGCCACAACCTGTTGACAAGCCAGAACCGAAACCCCAGGACGTGACGAAGTATATCACAAACCCAGAGGCTGGGGAGCTCTACCAGGCGAGGTGGCCAAAGAGCAATAAGATGTATGTGGTAATGGTTTTGGGTTGGACGGACCTCTCAATGTGTGGCTGGGCTGAAAAGTTCTCTGACCTGGCCCTCTATAAGGAGAGGCCAAGACCGAGCTGCTTCAAGTTCAGCCCCGAAGGCATTGCAGGCTGGGCGGAGGGATACGGCGACGGCGAGCCACGTGTCCTTTCCAGAGAGGTTCCTGTCATGTGGTTTGAGACGAACGGAAAAAACCGTCTTGGATGGGTAAACGTCCAGTTGCTGAGACCTTTCCTGCTAGACGATCCGAATCGACCGGCCAACCCGAACCATACCTCGAATCGAGCGCGTCAGTTATATGCAGAAATTCGCGGCTTCAACTCGTTTGAGGATATGCTGTTAGGCAACAAAAGATCTGAGCCAGCCGCGACCGAGGGCCATGTTCCGGCGGACATCGAAGCTCCCTCGCAGCTGCCGTCCTCCGCGTCGGAGTCCGAGTCTTCCCAAGACGTGGAGATGTACGATTTTGTCGGCAATCCTCCCAAGGTAGACGATTCTGAAGACGAGGATTATGTCGAGGCCACGGGTCGTAGAAAGGGATCGGACGAAGAAATGGCAGACGATGAACCATCTACGCCTCAGCCCCTCAGGCGGAGCACTCAGGAGGTGCGCCCCACGTCGCGGCTGAGCGACAGTACTTGGGGACTTGCCAGAACCGGCGCTGCCGCTGGAACGCGCTCATCCAGGAAGGATGAAGTCGATATGAAGGATGCTGCGCAGGAGACACCGTCTAAGAGCCGCGTGTCGACCGAGGCGAAGGAAAGCAACGATCTGGTTGCCAATGGAAGCACTACTGAAATTAACCTGGGCACCTCTCGAAACAACGATGTGGAGGAACCCGAGAACACGTCGACAACGAACGAATCTGCCGCGTCGCGAGACCGTAGACGAGAAGGCGGATCTCGTGATGAGACTATTTCCGTTGCGCCAAACTCGACTGCTGGCCAGGTAGAACGGAGCGGGGCGTCGAAATCACCCAGCTTGGAGAACGAAGTCTCCAAACCCAGCCCGAAATTGCAATTGGCAAACCTCCTCAACAGCACTGGGCCGGACACTTCTAAGGAGAAGTTGTCTCCGACCCGTCCGGAAAGCTCCTCCACATCAACCAAACTAGTTGAGGCACGCCGACCCTTACCTTCTCAAGCGGGCCAAACAGAGTCACGTAGACACCCGCTGCCATCTCATCTCACGGCCCAGGGACGGCGCAGTGCTCAGACACAAGCTACAAACTTACCCAGCCCGGTGGAAAAGCCGATCGAGACGAACAAAGTAACTAGCCGTCATTCTTCGCCAGTAAATGGCATCCATCGACCACCTAGTCAAAGCAAGCACAGTACTGAGATCTCGGGTATCGAGGCTATGCTTAGCCCCAAATTGTCTGTAAACGGTGATGATTCTAGCAAACAGCCGTCACCTACTCTCTCAATGAAAGGCATCAACGAGGCAACAAGCACAGAGACACGTCGAAGCGGAAGCGCAGACAGCAGCACGCGTGACCCGCGGATGAGCATTAGCAATGCTCTGGGTGACCATGAGCGTGAGGCCGCCGCCCGAAGAGCAGCTCAACAGCTAAACGGTGCAAGCGGCCAGATGCCGAGTAATGGCGTTTCGTCAGACAACAGCACACCCAGGGTGATGACGCACGTGAGCCTGGCCAACGACGATCGATGGCGCGCAGTTCGCAGCTCGGAATCGCCTCGCTTTGCGTCGGCTAATATTCGCTCTCCTCTCGTTGACCGTAGCGGGGCGGCTTCCCCAGTCCAGGGATATAAGAAGGAAGCTGACGGATTTTCTATTGATGTGGCTTCTTTCTCAGAGGGAGACAAGAGCTGGACACACCCTGACAAACTTCTCCATTTTGACGTCGAGGATGAAAGCCGCGGGGTTGCTCGATCGAGAGCGGCAGACGGCCTGGAGGCGAAGGTGGATGCGCAGCAGGTCAAGGCAGCAAAGATGGACAAGAAGACATGGACTGTGACGCTCGTTCTCAAGACAGAGGACGGCGAGTCGCTGGAGCAACGATTCGGATTCAAGAGCAACTCGATTACGGGAAGCAGCCGTGGAGCTCAGCCGCAAGCAACAAAGTTTTACAGATGGGTGACGGCGAAGAATGCGGCTATTGAGCACATTGAGTAGAGAATCTCAAGGGAAAGACTGGATTCCATGGCCAAAAGCCACATTTTGGGGGAGCAAATGTCTCAAGTGACAGCAGAACAGTTTTTTCTTTTTTCTTTTTTTTCCTTCTCTTTTTTTTCTATTTCCTATTCTTCTTTTTATCCACTCTTGCCAAGCAAAGTGGTGGCGGCAGCGATGAAGAAAACCGGGTAGTTTGTTATTGCCGTTATTAGGAGTTACCAGGTGTCTCGGGCAGGGGGAAATGGATAAAAGATATGGCAGAGTCTTGTGTTTAAGTCAATGAAGGACTGGATGCTTTGGAGATGAAGCAATTAGGGCAAGCTGCAGTTAGGGAGACATAGCGGGCAAAGCACCCTTATCAGCTTATTTCGGTACTCTATAAGAGCAAGAGAAAAGTTTACTACAAGGCTCTCCTTTCTTGTGACCCGACTTGATGCGTTGAAAGGTGATGTTTGATATGTTTTCAGTTGTCATGGTATTGCTCGGATGAGCTCGGATGCAAGGCATCTCACCGGCCCATGGCATCGGATTGAAAAGAAGCGATAATACTATTATTATATGTGGGTGCTGCAGGTAGTTGGAGAAGCAAGCTGTCCGTCATATTTGCATGTGATTGCCGGGGAACAGGTTTTAGGAGTGGTTGACATGATGGGCGGTAGCCTTAATTACTATGTAGTTGGGGATTAGGTCCCCCTGCCCTGCAGGCGACAGTGACAACAGCGGGGGTTGGGGCCCAAAAGAGCGCCAAAAGAGCGCTGACTGGGGGGGATTAGAATTCACGTGGGACAGAGCCAAGGGCCTAATTTCCCCAGTGTACGGAGTACAGAACACATACTACGTAAGTACAGTAGCTACCTTTTAGTGGTATTCGTGGAGCTCCTCCCCCACCTCGACCCTCGGTTCTTTAGTTGATTGTGGTAAGGTAAGGTAAGGCAAGGCAGGCAGGCGCAGGCAGTGAGCTGGGTTACGCCTTCGTCTCTCTTTCTTCTCATTTTTTACCTGCCTTTTGTCGGTAACTCCTTCTACATCCAACTTCAACATTCTTTCCATTTCAAAACCCAACAAAACAACTTCAACAACATAAAAGAAAGAAAGAAAAAGAAAGAAAAAACACCACCTCCAAACCAAATTTGCGAGTTTCTTGAGCTGGGCTTTCCTTTCCCCCCGTATCAGCTTCTCTCTCTCTCTCTCTCTTCCCTCTCCGCGTCCAATGCCGACGATACGGACAATCACGAGCTGAGCTGTGGCCGACTGCGACATTCGCTTCTCCAGCGACCGACGCGGCCGAAACCGATGACGTTGAGATCCACCACCTCGACTCGCCGAAAGCGCATGCGCATCTATCGACGGCCTCCCGTTTCTCCTCCTTCGCCGTCTCTTCTTCGTCTCGTCCATCATCATCATCCTCGTCGCCATCTGTAGCCGTGTCTTGAGAGGTTCTGTCCGGTCAGCGACAACTCCCCCGCAGCAAGCCGCAGCCGCACCGAAGATCAGCGCAAGTAGTGGAGGATCCCGGACATTGATGGCTGCCTTTGTGAGCTCCCCACCCCTGCCATGTCTCCTCTTCCTCCTCCACTTTGTCCCGTCCCATCCATATTGTCTCGCAGCGCCTTCACACTCATCCTTGCTCTGCTTCTTCCCGGGTGCCTGGGCCTAATGCCTCGTCATCGTGGAGCAAGCTGGCAGTTTGAGCAAAAGCCGCAACGCGCCGAAGCGCCCGCCTAGCTATCAAAGCTTCGGACAAGGACAACTACTACTACCACCACCTCAGGGCCCAGCTCAGTCAGCTAGCAACATAACACACACACACACACACACGCACACACCACCAACCCCGAACAGCTACCTTGTACGCTTTGGCTCCTTCAACGCATCAGCCACGTCATAACCCCCAGCCGGCCACCTTCTCCTCCTCCGCCTGCACTTCACCCTCTTGACCTCACTCTTGCCTACACTCTTGTCTTGCCTACATTCTGCTTTCATCCGATGGCCTTCGCCCTGCCCACATCTTTTCTTCACCAGCGTCGCTAACTGACGGCTGCATCGGCTGCTGCTACTGTTGCTTGTTGTCTCGCATTCGTTATACCTTCATCCCGGCAGCGACGCTAATCTCCCATCCATCCTACAGGATACGCCCTGGCTAGTCCACATGTCGACCCCGAAAGCCCACCGCGGCCCCGACGCCGATTCGGCCAACGATCCCTCCCATGCCGACTCCGGCCTCGACGGTGCCTTCTCCGGTGCGCCACCCACATATGCGACCTTCTCCCCCGTTACGCTCTCCGCAAACACCCCGAGCCGGTCCTCCCGACGTTCGACCATCATCGTCCATCAGAAGTCACCCTTGCTGCTGGCCACTCCACCGCAAATCACTCGTGCATTAGCATACTCCCATCCCTTTCTCCTTCCGTTGAACAAGCTTGCCGGCCTGTTGACATGGACCACCGATGATCCCTGGGAGAGCTTCCTTCTGCTGGCCTCATTCTGGGCCGTCGTTCTCTATGGCGATATTGTCGTGCGCATGGCCGGCCCTATCGTCGTCGTCTTAGCTTTGATACTGGGCATGTACGGTCGCCGTTTCAGCCCCTTAAGCAGTAGCGGCTGGACAGAGCCGGCTTCTAAGGAGTCGGGCGGCACGCAGAATGCTGGAGCAGCGGCCGGGGCGAAGGGTCAAAAGACTACTCCCAAGGGCAATGGAACCGGCGGCGCTGCCAAAGGCCACCACCGGGGCGAGTCGGAGATAACAAACACAAAACATCAAAAGACCCTGGACGAGATTGTCGAGACGCTGAAGGAGTTCACCGGCCGGTGTAATGTTCTACTCGAGCCACTCCTTGAGCTGACAGACTTCTTGAGCACACAGCGCACCCCGACGTCAGCAACAACGAGACCGGCGCTGACGACACTGTTCGTGCGCATTCTGTTCTGCACGCCCTTCTGGATGCTGTTGACGCTACCGCCCTTGAGGATCATTACGACGCGAAGAGTGGCCCTGTTGTTCGGCACGTTGGCCCTTACGTGGCATGCGAGAGCCACGCGTGTTGCCCGAACGCTCCTCTGGCGCAGCGCGACGGTTCGCAAGACGGCTGCTTTGGTGACTGGGCTCACTTTTGAAAAGCCCGTCAAGGCTGTTCCGGTAGACGTTTTCACGAACGGTAACGGCGGAAAGGTCGTGACAAAACGCCCAGTGACATCGGAACTGACCAAGGCGTTGCAAAAGCAGTCGCATCGGCACAGCAACAACGCCACAAGCAAGGACGCCGGTGTCAAGTTTACCTTTATTATTTATGAGAACCAGCGACGGTGGGTCGGTCTCGGTTGGACGCAGAGCATGTTCGCCTACGAGCGGTCGGCTTGGACCGACGAGCACAACAACCCCGTTCCGTCGCGTGACACCTTTGAACTACCCGAAGTCGAGGATGGAAGCAACATGCGCTGGCGGTGGGTTGAAGGCAGCAAGTGGAGGGTTGACGGTGTTCCCGACGACGGGAGTGAGCCTGTGGACTATGACGGCGACGCTGGAAAGAACGGGTGGATCTACTACGACAACAAGGTAAGTTGTATATGCGCGAGCACCTGAACTCAGAGCTGACAAGGACATTTTCAAGTGGCAAAATGGCCGTCGCGGTGTAGATGGATGGGGGCGGTGGACCCGCCGGAGGAAATGGTATCGCGATGCCGAGCTGGTCGAAGTCTCAGAGGACGAGATAGCACACGAACTTGATGCGTCACAGGCGCCACCACAGCCGGGGTCTCCCGCGGGTAGCCCCCCGGGACCTGCGTTAACGACGCAGAGATACAGCACCGTTGAGGAGAAGATGTTCTCCCCCACACAATCAGCGCCGGACCTGACGGCGCATGATAGGGATGCGGAGCGGGAAAAAGACGATACCGCATCGACGTTGTCTACGAGCTCCGGCGGCCGGTCATTCTTCAAAGCGCCTTCACTCAGGAGGAAGGTTACAGACAAGAGCATCGGCAGCAAGGCCGACAGGGAACAAGATCGCAGCCGGAGGGCGAGCGAGGCGAAGAGCGAAGAGGAAGCCGCGGCACTAGGGGTCAATCTCAACCTTGCACTACAGGGCAAAGACGGCGGGCAATGGGGCATTGGCGACGAGGCTCGTATGAGCTTGGAGTAAGGCGTATCCCGCGCCCCGGTGAGGATGCGATGACTTTTTCTCTCTATTTTGTCGGAATAGGACCGGGCACGGATGGGCATTTGCGGCGTTGTCGGCTGTAGAGTATGACGAGTCCGGGCTGCTATTTTTATGATTTGGGGTTTACGATATAAGCGTGTATAACATAATTGCATACCCTGATTGTCATGTGTGTTGTGCTTCGTTTGACAATTTTCGGGAAAAAGTCACGGGAACTTATGCTTGAGCCACACAGTTTTGAGCCACAGTGAGATTTTATCACAGGCACCCACGTTGCGGCGAACCAGTAATCATGCCGAACGAAGAACGAAGACAATCCTGGTGTGTTGCGCAGCTGAGCTATGAGACACCGCCGTTTAGTCTGATGATGAGGGGGAAAGGGGGGTCGGGGTGAGATGTTCAGGTGCGACGGGGCGGTGATGCAAGTCGGGTCATGTGGCTTTGCGCTGCGGGCATCCGATTGCATGGTCCCCAGACAGATTATGAAAAAAATGCCATATTACTACTCCGTTGACTACCTTCAGTAATCATTTGACTTTCTTTTTCTTGTCTTCTTCCCCCTTCCTCTCAATCCGAATTGTAACGATTTAAGATTCTCGGTCAAGCCAAAGATAGGAAGTACATCCCCGTCCCGATTATTCTTACAGGACAAAAGGGAAAAAAACAAAAGAAAAGAAAGGGGGAAGAATGGAAACGGTTTCGCGCCTGGCGCTGATGGCCGTCCTCTCGCGCGCCGGGTCTCCCGCGCACGAAAAAGCGACGTGGAACGGGTCGGACGGGTACCTGCCCATCATCACCGTGCAAGACTACGACACGGAAGCGGCGGCGGCGGCGGCGGGAAAAGCGGGGCGGAAGACAACAACGACGACGGAGCGGGGCGGAGACGGCGTCGGGGCGTGGAGCGGCGGCGAAGTGGCGTTTTCGGCGCTTTTGGGGGCGCAGTGCCTTTTTGTCGTCTTTGTCGAGGGGTGGATTGTGTGGATGGGTCAGGCAGGTGATTTTGAGCTTTGGAATTGGTATGTTTTTGTCCCTGTTTTTTTTTTTTGGGGGGGGGGGGGGGGGGGGGGGGGTAACACGACTTGAGGGTTTGAAGGTTTTGAAGGGGGTTAGATGCTGGGAGATGGAAGGCTGACGTGGAGTCATCTAGGTTATGCGAGTTTGCTTCTCCTGGCCTACTCGTGCTTTTTAGCGTCTCGTTCTCCGCGATGCTGCTGCATGCCGTTAGGGTGCAGACGCGGCTTGCTGATCTGGCGTTCCAGGCGGCGGGCTTGATCATGGCCACGTTTTGCGCGGTGATGGTGTGTGCTGGCGCGAGCGGCGGGGCGAGGGGGATCGGGCTGGCGGTCGTCGTTGGTGGAGTTGTCGTCATGTGGTGAGTCTGGTTGTTTTTTGAGAAGTGGGGGGATGCTTGGTGAAGCTGACTTGACTGTGTTAGGTTCTCGTTCTTTGCTGGGTTTTGGTGGGCTGTTTTGCGTCTGCACCAGGAACAGAGGGGCCAGAGGGAGGTGAGAAAGGGCAAGACTCGTGAGAGGGGTTATGGGACTACGTCTGGGGGTTTGGCGATGGAGGACGAGACTTTTGAGGGGTTAGTGGGCGATCTTTCGTGATGGGTTTCGTGACGGAAGCATGCTTGCTAGGTTTGAAACTCTTGATTAAGACCATCTGGGAAGGGAGGCTACGATGTTTGCATTCAGCATTGCATTGGATCGGTTGGAGTTTGGGTCCAACGTTATATTGTTTTGGAGCTGGTGTGAGTATCAATGACCTAGGTATTTATGGCAAAGTGGTTGAAATTACTCATACTTCACCACTGATAGAAGGCATAGCAGAGCAGAGTGAAACCTGAGACTCAAAACCAATGGCCATGGATAGAACGGCGCGGGTTATGTGGTCTTAAACGAACGCCAAAGTGCCAGGTCGTCACAGAAAAGCATCGAGAACCCGGGAAAGGGAGAGGCAAACTGTGATGCCCGATGTTATGCTCAGCCTATGCTAACATGAGACGTCGCCCGTAGGCCTCGTGCGCCATCATGTTCAGTCTGATGAATATCTGGAGCTTCGATTCGCGTGATGGCGTGTTCGATGATTTCAGAGAGACATTTTAGAAGACAATTTCCTCTCCGTCGAGGAAGTAGGAGAAACACACACGGACGGGATCTTTTCAGGTGTCAAGCCCCGGTGAAGTAAGACTAGTTTAGAGATGTAATCAAACAAAGACACTTTAAAGTAAAGCCAATGACAGCTCTATTGGAAGTGTACCTGGTTTTTCTTCTTTTGGGATTCGCCAGAACCAACACTCTCAAAGTAGTTAGTGTGACGGCTTGGAACTATCTGATCGACTGCCTCAAGGCAACCGGTACATGACATGTGGTGTACTAGCCCATGATTCTCTGATAATACGATTTTGGTCAAATGATTAGCGCCATCTGGTTATTGTTTGGAAAAGTACGGGCTCAAAATGGTTCAGTATGTACCTGTTGCCTTGTGGCAGTCGATGGGATACTGGAAAGAGCACAAGAAATAACCGCAAGGCATGATTGGTAGCTCGCTAGTCTGCTCATGATTTCTAAGTGTGTCGAGTTCAGGGAAAGCCAGTCAAAGTCAGAAACTAGTCACTACTTCAATAAGTTCTTGATTTCAGGGCTCAAAAAAGCATTTCTGATGAAAGGCTTATCTGCTTCCTGTCTATAGACGATGATATTTGCATACACGGAGCTAGAATTGCCTTGTTACCTCGGTGTAAAACATCACGGCTATTTCCTAGATCCATCCGCGTGCATAGGTAAGCAAGATAATATATTCAGCGTCAACGTCTAGACAGCACCCGTATTCGGCTGGCATCACCTAATTAGCTCCTTGAGTCTGGGGTATTTCGGCCATGGGCTGATGTGGCCTAACAGAGGCTGAAAAGGTGGACCTTCGGTTGGCCCTCTCAAGCGCCTTCTCTGTTAGGTAAGGCCGCGCTGGAGGGGCAACAACCGCTTCGAGGGATTAACCGTCTTGGCAGTTGGAGCATGGGTGTGGTTGACACTCACAACAGCCACACGAATACATATTAGTTAACCCCCATCCGCCCGTCTCCAATGACCCCTCGAAAATTACTCTATACCCTCCAACGATCTCTTCATTTCTCATTTATACACCCATTTAGAAGCAGACATTATGGATATGTCAAGTGCCCAGGTGTTGTCAGACCTGCCCCAACTTCTGAGGGACTACAAAAACGATCGCTTCAAACACCTCGCTTTCTCCATGGTCAAGACCGGCTTTCATAAGTGGGGCTTTGTTGTCTATCGCTGCACCTACGACGATGACGACCTTTGGAACCGCTACCTCGCGCAGCTCAAAGATAATTGCCGCTATCACCTCGAAAAATACCGTGTTGATAAGCTCTTGGAACAGTACCTTGACTGGGTTGTTGTTGAGAACAGAGATACGCTAGACAATGCCTCTAGGCCGACGATAAGGCAACATTTCCAAAAATGGGTCTCCTCTCAACGAGCCGTCGCCTGGGAAGACGAACATCCCGGCATTTCTGACCTTCCTCGCTTCAAATACTGCTTGTATGTCGACAAGAAGTGCCTTGACACTCTGGAGCCCTCACAGCGAGACGTTCATCCCAGATTTAGAGAGGCAGGGACACCACTGGTCGTCGCAATCATTGATAGGCAATGGACGCCGAACCGCAGGGGCAAAGACAACCCTATGGATGAAGGGGGGTTTCCCCCAATTGATGGCAGCGACCGCAGATACGTCGGTTGGAGGTGGCAAAATTCGATCTACCTGTCAATGCTGTACAGCGGACTTTGGTGGTGTGATTTGGATGACGAAATCAGCTATAAGAGACCGCCTGCCATCAATCCTGTGGGGAGGGAATCAATGCCCGAGTGAATGCGAAGGAAAGCTTGTCTCGTTGCACAAGACAGGCTGATGATAGCGATTTGGAGGAACAGGGGCAGTATCCGGTTTAGTCTTCATAAAAGGTAAGCGGGGCATGTAAAAGCGTTTTATCTATTCTTTTCTCATATTTACTGAACCGGTTAATGGCACTGTCGGCATGGCAGCTTCTTTCAGTACCTTATCTTGGGGTGGTGGTGGCGGCGGCTTGATTTTGCTCATGCTAGACGTCAGTTTTCACACTCGACTTCTAGTTCTAGCAGCATGGAGGTACCTGTCCTATGCTTTCCACCAGGACGAGCTCGTCAACAATCTCTGGGATGTGTCTGCCACCTCTGGGAAACCTATTTACTCCATTCACACATTGGGTTCACCAAAATAAGCAGACCGTCATACTTGAACTTACACATAGCAATCGGGCAATAGCCTAGACGGCAAAAAAGCCACACAGCGCCTCCCAGTCTCCATCGACATCAACTGAAAATACGCGCAGGTGGGTTGGAGGGTGTCGCAATACGTCCGATCAAGTGGTGCTGTGTCTATCCGTAATAGTCCTCCAGGCAGGCACCATAGAGGTAAATAAAGTTCCAGAGTCCAATATATTTCGAGCTGAACCCCTTTTCAGGGTAGTAACTACCTGGAACCTCGGGCGGTAGCTTGACCTGAGCACTCATGGCCTTACAGAAACACGCTGTTGGTAGGCAGTAATCCAAGGAGCATGTGGCGCGGGTAAACAGCTTCAAAGTCCGGAGTGCGGTCACCCCAAATGCAAACCTCATTTTCAAGTGATGGTATGTTCATAGGCCTCTGGGAATTTGAAGTCAACCTACCTCCCGCCCAGGCATTATAGCCGGTCATGCAGTATTAAACGGGTGGTATTATAACACAAAAGAGCAAACATACGTTTGGGACTTTCGAAACAAGACAGCTTGAGAACAGTGTTGATAGAAACATCAAGTACCTATTCATACTTATTTCTGTCGTGGAATACCTGTACTCTCAGTGCCACCCATGTCGACCCCTTCTTCATTCATTCATGATTTGCGTCATACAATATTGATCGCTTGGCTTCGTGGGAACCTACAGTGAGCACCCCTTCCCCCCATTTTCCTCGAGTAGGGGCTCCTACATAATGATTTTCGCTCAAGGGTTATGGGAACTGCGTGCATTGTGAGTTAGAAGCACCGCCCAGCCTCTTAATGGGCTGAGTCGTCTCACCCATAAGAGTAGGTACTTGGCACCAGAGATAAGCAGGATCACGATCGTCACGACGATGTCGGATTGGCTCGCCCTAGGCTCTACGCGAACACACAGTCCTGTTCTAGCAGAGCTTTGGAAACGCAGCAGAGATCAAACTGAACGCACATAACTCAAGCTCTCAAGAGCTCAAGGTATCACCGGACTCTTGTCTTCCGCTTAATTTCCGCGTTGTTCCTCAAGGCGCGCCTTCCTTGCCGAGGAACCTTTTTCATGTCTGTTGGAGCCGGGGTGCTCGAGGATCAGACAGGGGTATTCACGTCTGTAAAGCTAGCGCAGACATGTCCTGAAGTGGAAGTGGATATCTGTCGAGTCGCCTTGGTCAGAAGGGAGTCCGCGCACATATGAATTACGGAGCATTGCTTGACATCAATAGCTTAATGTAGGCTAAAAAGACACAGTGGCAAGGTCGGCCTGTTTGTGGTCTCTACCGAAAGTTGAACTGTCATCTTTTGTATGTGCCCCTTAGTAGCTGTAAGCCTGTCACTGTTTGTTCCGGAGTTCCCTGCGTGTGCATGGTGAAGCTTTCCTCGAGTTAGCCAGATACTGGTTGTGCTGTGATGACCGCTCAGTCAGGCGGCCCTGCCATTTTTTAGATAACCTCTGGGTCTAAAAATAGCCAGGATGACATCTTTCATGAATAAACTACAAATTGAAAAAGAAAATTGTTCGATAATTCGTCATAGAAACGTTGGCTAGACAACGGACACCAGTTCTTTCTTGAAAATCCGTTGGTATTCCATCTGCACGGGACACAAGGCACCTGGGCACTAACTGTTCATTGCAGCCACTCACACATGCGAGACGAACTGTTTATGCTGCATATTATGGGTGGCGAATGGCTAGGGTCTTAAAGAGGAAGCTGGTTTAGAAGTCTACCGTTCAAAACGAGCGGCGCAGCCAGGCACCAACGTCACCTGTTGACCACCCAGCATGTCAGTCAGAAAAGGGGCCGGTCCAATTTCAAACCCGAATTGACGTCTTGGCTGCAGACGACTGATAAAGTGGGTAACCAACAAACTGGCAAAGCTACGCGCTTGAAATTGCACCACCATAAGGATATCAAATGACTTGTTGCAATTCATCAGACAATTTCCCCATACGTTAGTTTCTTGAGGCATCAAATTTATTGGAGTTCTTGTGCCCTACTTCATTCTGGCCATCTCAAACTTCGAAAACACACATCGGTTGTTTTACACCACCTTTGGGTTCCAGTTCCTCCAATTTCTCAACCATCCACCACTATGAAAGCGACGGCTATAATCGGTCTCGCCTCACTGACTCTCGCTCTAGCTCAGCAGTTTCCTCGCCATATCACCTCCTATGAATCGTTGGGACTGAGTTCAAAGTGCTTCGAGGCACTCAACACCACGGTGGATTGTTCAGGTCGTTTGGGCTGGCACGTTAGGTCCGAGTATGTTCGAAAGCGAAATACCCTCTTATTTCCTCATCCATCCGCTCACCAAATCCCTATCAGGTCTCCCAGAATCAACATTCTTGATGCCGATGGAATCGATGCCATCTGCACCGAAGGCTGTAAACAATCTTTGATGAACCTGAGATCCAAGATTCAAAATGATTGTGATGCAGTCGAAGACGTCCTTGATCATAACCTATTTCTCTACCCAGGTCTAAGCGCACCCTCGAAGAGCTAGCATTACTTTTAACTGGCGCAAATTTCTGACTGAAAGACACAGCGACATATATTCTGGACCGCTATATCTATGCCTACGACATGTCTTGCTACAAAAACAGGCAATACTCCCTTCACTGCTATCAAGTCAACATTTACCTGTCTAACACTCTCATAGAAAAACGGGGCAATGGTGCGATCAAGTACTTGACGAATGGAGGAACACTACGGATGATGTGCCTCACGACTGCGACGACTGCATTCTAGGGCCAATGGAGATTGCGGCCAACTCTCCCCTCGGCCACACAGAGGCTCTAGCCGCCGACTTTCAGTCGGCTGTGTCCAGTTGTGGAGCGACAGACTACGTATATGCGAGCCCGGCACAGTACATTATGAACCCGACTGCGGCTTTGTTCGAAGCCGAGACTACCGTGAGAGCCGCAACCAAGAGCTGGTCCGCTCAACGCATGTCGTCGGACTGCAGCGATACTTATCGCGTCCGAGAAAACGACACATGCACCTCCATAGCTGCGACCCTGAGTGTACCAAGCAGGGGTCTCGTCGAGGCGAACGAAAGACTCGATGATTGGTGCGGCGGCCTCGAAGTTGGTCAGGACCTTTGCCTGCCCGAGAAATGCAATGTTCATTTTCTTACAATCACGGATTCTTGTGACTCACTTTTCGCGACATATGGACTTAGCCAAGAGAATCTGTACAAATGGAATTCCAAGCTTTTCATAGAGTGTAGCCACTTGAAAGATTTCCGTGGTCAGTATATTTGTGTCGGGTAAGTTTACTCTTCGTCCAGTTAATGAAAAGAACTATTTGGTAGTTTATTAACAACGCATCTCTTGTATAGACAGCCGGGTAGTCTGTCAAAAGTTGCGACTGTTCCAAGCAACTCCACGTCCAATTCCCAAGGATCAACCTTGTTGAAGTCCGCATTCAGAAGCACCGATACCTTCACTGGGCAAGTGATGTCTTCGTCCCAGCTAACTTCAACAACTGAGAGTGCCGAGTCATTGGTTTCAGCGACCAAGTCGACTAGCTACCCAGCAAGTACAACGCAACTCACCACGCCGACAGCCGATACGAACAACAGCGACTGAGACTGTAGAATGGAGTTCATCTCGGCCAACTGGACAGTGCTCAGATTGGCGATTTTCTTTGGAAACATAATCTTACTCTTTCTTAAAAGTGCGAGAGGAACCGTCTTCACTTGGTATTGCACTATGTGAGGGCTTTCATTGTTTTAGGGTGTACTTAAGTATTGCCGTGTTTAGGAACACGTCTTCTTCTGTAGCCACATGCTATTGGAGCACAATTAGTGCCACTGCAACTTCAGAAACAACAGCAATTTTTCGGCATGTCCATGATCATCGACCTTTACGTACTGTTAAATACATATTGTCAAGGCCTGGGACTAAGCGATGCTTCTTGGCAGATGAAGTCCGCTTAGCAGTGTGGGGCAATCGAGGACCCCATTGCTGAACTGTGAATAAGGTTCAGAATAGAGCTACGGTACAAGTATCCGCAAGTATCTACCTTGTAAATTGACCCAGCCACAGGATCGCCCCTCCTTGACCCCTGGCCCGTGTGCTGACAGCCCTGTAGACCCCTGGCACCAGCCACTCGACATCCGTCATTCGCGAAATTCAAGTTTCCCATCCTGGCACGGTAAGGTAGCAACTGAAAACCGGCATCGCCAGACCAAGCATTTTCTCCTCCTTCGTCATCAGGGTTGTTTTCCCTGTTCAGAGAGAACCCCTGACGGTCGATCGCCAACAAGGCACCAGCCCCGCGCCATTCGCCTTTCCCATTCCCATTTCCTGCTTTTGACCCCTCGCATCGCCCACTGCTTCTTCAACTGAAAAGTCGCACATTGTCATGTGGAACCACCATCGTACGTAGTCGAGAGATCCAGCCATTCTTTGCCCACCACAACTTGTATACCGAACGACACGAATGCAACAAGACTCCGGAGCGACGACACACCGGAAAATACTTTCTAAGAATGACCGACGAGGAACATGCGATCCAGCGCCCAGCGCAAACCTTTCAAACACCTGAATGGGAAAACCCCTTCTAAAAAGCGGCGTTCTCTTCTTGAGCGATTTAAACCTACGGCTGCCTCACATCACCAAAACTCTTATGGAGGTGATGGCTACGCCAAAGAGGCGCATCCCAATCAATCCTTCTCCTTTGCACCAACTGCAACTGCGGCCGCTACGACGACCGCTCCAAAAACCCATACCTCTCTTCGAGCCCGCTTCGACGCTCTCTTACCACCGCACAAAACTTACCTCGGCCTTTCCCGCAAGCGATTTCTCCTCTTCGTCGTACTACCCCTTGCAATTCTTATCCTCTTTGTTCTACCTCTAGCGCTGGGCCTTGGCCTCTCCAAGCGCGGTGGCAAGCAAGATCTGCCTCTGCCGAACAACAAGGACACCCACACCGGTGATCTGACCTACTACGACGTGGGGCTGGGGGCGTGCGGCAAGACAAACAGCAACGACGACTTCATCGTGTCCGTCTCGCACTACCTGTGGGATGATGTGCAGGAGGGTGGCAACCCGAACACCAACTTGCTGTGCGGAAAGAAGATTCGGATCAGACGCGAGGGCGAGGGCTCTGTGGACGTCACGGTCGTGGACCGGTGTACTGGCTGCAAGCCCACTGATTTAGACATGAGTCCTGCTGCATTTCAGCGGCTGGCCGATAAGGCTGAGGGTAGGGTGACTGGTACGTGGAGTTGGCTGGACTGAGAGGGGTTGAAAGACATGGCATATCCCGCCGGACGGGTTGCCCGTACATGACGAACAACGATATTGAATTTTGCCATTGAAAATACCTGAATACCCTTTTTTTTTCTTGTTCTAGATACCACTATTCCTAAAGAAGAACTGAAATACAATGCCTTCAAATACACTAAACTAAAACGATACGTTGTCATAGTAATGTTGTTTCCGTTATAGGTCGAAGCTAAAACTTAAAGTTCATGTATCGAAGTTCGTCAGAATCGACTTAGTGTCAAAGCCAATGATCATGGAATAGTGACCGGAGTCGAGTGGTCGATGGTTCTGGCCCTCTTTAGCGACAATCAGTCATGGGGCTCATTCGGGCCGCTCACTCTCTATCCACCTCCCTAATGAGGCTAAATTAACCACGGTTATCGTTAGCAGTGGATTAAAATGCGACTTTCCCGTTGCCGATTTCCTGTGGCGCTATTTTTGGGTACCTAGAATGAGAGTCTGCTGCGGGTTTAACTGAGCTGCTGAGTAAGGCCCCTGGCATCGAATGAACTTCATATCATGCGGAATAATAGCTTTTGGTTTCTACCTGCTTATGCCTATGATGGGATCTAACGGCATATACTGATGTAAATAAATCTGATATTTGAAATTTTGGGAAAGAGAAGCACACTTTTTCCACCTCGTCGTAGTCGTGTAGGTTCCTTTCTGATCTTCTTTGTTGCTCAGGAGTGAATGCGGTGTACATGAGATGACTGTGGGATAATGATAATGGATCACCGATGACCACTACGTGACTTTGTTCATGTACGACATTGCTGGATGACTTATCTATCAGTTCGCCGTCTTCCCTTCTAACTCGAACTTGCAGAACCCTATCGACGAACACCGGGATTTCTAAACAGGTTCAAAAGAAAGCACTTGCCTTTAGTGATGTGGGAGAGAAATAAGCCATGTGGGAAGTGGTTACTTTCGTCGGTGACTTTGGGTGTCAAAAATGGAGAAAATCCCCAGCGACGACACACTTTCTACTCTCAGTGAACGAGTAACATTTGTGGAAGAGTGTCTCGTCAAATATCTTGTATACAAGAAACCCTGAAAAGGCTTACCACTACCAACTCTGTCTACCTAAATGCTGTAATATTTGCGAAAGGGAAGTGAGAACAGCTGCCACACCCATTGCCAAAATGATCCGGCCATGCAACCCCTGTATATCAGTCCTTGTGCATAAAATCAACAAATAAAATAAGGTCACCGAGACGACGATAAGATTAGGAAGAATTCTCAAGACTTGTTGATGTCGGGCTGGGAAGACTCATGAGGTCGTTCTGAGACAGCAAAGTCTGGCTCGGGCATTTCGAAAGACATAACGGCAGGGTTCAAAGCTGCAGCATGATCAGATGTTTGCGAAGCTGCAAGTCCACAATCGTTAGTCTGTTCCTTGGCGATGTCTTCGTCTTTATCCTCTAGAGCTAACGGTGCAAGGTCGAGGGAAACGCGCTGCGAGGGACTACTCTTTCCAGGGCTTCCAAAGAGATCATTCCAGATTGCGTTGTTGATCTCTGCCGTATTCGGGGCGTAGTTAGGTGAACCAAACTCTTGCTGCAATTCGTTCAACCGCCGCTCTAGCTCTTCCTTTGCCCGAGACTCTTCGTCCGCATCGGGAGATTCAAAAATATCCGACTCACATGGACATACGTCCCAAGGACCAGCTGGTCGGCCGTTGTGGAAGAGTTTCCAGTGGAGGTAGTCCATCTTACCATTGTCGCCTGAATGCTCCATTGCGAAACTAGAAACTTGAGCTCGCTCACGGGAGTACTCGGCATACTCGGGTAGTGGTTGTTTCGAGGCTTCATTGACAGCAGCGGAAAGCGTCAAGTTGGGAACAAATATTTCACCTTTGAATTTAGCCTCGCTGCTGTGTTCCAACTGAGGGATTCGGACTCGAAGAGATGGGCCGCGCTTGGCCGGGGCGGTGGTGGGGACGTATGTGTCGGGGTTAGGGAAAGACATGTTGCTTCCTCTCTTAATCAACTGTTTAACTGCTTATTAGCGTGACTGTGTTTTCTTTCAATCTGTGAAGGAGAAGAAGAAGAAGACGATTGTTGACTAATGTTGCTATTGCTTGGTCTGTTGTGGTAAGAAAGTCAGTTGCTCATTTGACGGACCATATCCTTACATATATACACCATAGAAGTATAGCTGACGCTGCCTTTGTTCAAATGAATATTGATCTATTCATAATCTTCAATGTTGTTCAAACTCCTATGATATCAATGGTGGAAGTGGTTGACCAGAATAAATTGTTTTCTTTGTCAGGGGCAGCCGGCCGTTCAATTGGGAACAGTTTGTATAGTTTTGATCACTGATGCAACACGAAAGAGCATTTACCCTCTTCACAAAGGGCGCTCTTTAACGCATTATTGGTGAAAGAGCGATGACACTTTGTCAAACGTGTCGAGAGAAGGATTGCTAAGCCCGCTGCGGGAGAACAATCAACAATAGCCTCGCAACACATGTACACCAAGGCCACAGCATTTGTCACAATTAAACTACCCAACCCAGCATTTGGCCCGTATCATGCCTTTCAGATCACATAACTAGTTCACTGCAACAGGCTTCTCGGTACTATGAATTTCAAAGTAATTCTAAGAGAATTGTAATAAACTTGGTAGCTGCCTCCATCCGTTATCGGGAAAAATGCCTGTGTTTTGAAAGGACATTGTTGGGGTGTGAAATATCGAGTTGTTGACTGCGAGCCCGCGTCATTTTTTTCTAAACCCAAATATCCAATTTTACGGAGTTTCGGTCAGAATGCATAAATCGAGAGCCCAGCACCCTTTGCGTCTACAGTGGGATATTTCTTAGCTAGACATATTAACCTTCTTCGACGATCTTCCCTGTATGGATCATTTGGGTAATGGACAGCTAGTGGCCCATTTAGCTGCCAATTCGGGTAACCAACAGGGTACGGAGCTAGAAGTGGCCTCCGAAACGATCCGTGAACAATAATGCCCCATGACCAATGGGATTCATCGTTAGTAATTAATTCTGCCTCATCGGTCCCAACACATCTCAATCCACCATGCCCGGCTAATGCTTTTGCCCTCGATCTTATAAAATACAAGAACCACTGTCGAACACTATCAACTTCAAGGCAGCACACAATCAACCAAAAATACCATGACTTGTCCTTCACGCACTTATCCCCTTCGTCAACCAAAGAACCACAAACCTCCCATCCCGCGATGGCAACTGGTCCTACCTGAAGATGTCGACCACCTCTTCACAGCTTACGTCGGCGTGCAGCCTCATTCTGATGTAAGTGAGGGTTCCGAAGCTGTCAAAGAAGCAATTGCAAGCATCCAAGCATGGCTTGACAGCGATAGCGACCGGCCTTTGGCAAATGAATGCTTCAATCATCTTGATGGAGATGATGCTCCGAATACTACTCTCTGGGTATGCTACTGGATTGATGAAGCCAAAGGCAAGCGCAGCTTGCAGCGACTTGGTATTAGATCTGTTTATTCTCGACTGTCTCCCAGTCAACAGAGCTCGCTGGGTCTATGGACGGAGAGCTTCGTGACACCAATTTCACGGCTGGAGACCAACTACTCTGGTCTTGACTATCTGCCCGGTCTGGCCAAGCTACCAGACACGAATACGGCGGAGCACAAGCTCTCAGCCTATTGGGGTGCTGCAAGAGACCGAATTCCGGACTCCGCTCATGACCTCTTCGAGCAAGACGATGCAGCTCAGAAATCCAGGCCGAATACTGTGCCAAAAGGCCTGGGGCAATATTTGACAGGGACTAATTACGACAATATGGTGCATATTCGGTCTGGTCAGTTCTGGGAAAACTGCGGACCAGAGGAGACGGATTCATACGAAAACAATCTCGAGCCAACGCTACGAGGAGGGTTGGCGTACCTATGGAATAACCGCGAGGAAGGCGGTGCCATTGGGCTCAGATACCTTGGCAACCGTGACGATACAGGTCAAACGAAAAAAGAGACTTGTGGTGCCGGATTCTTTACTAGTCTACACACTCTAGAAGAGTGGGCTAAAAGACATCGCTCGCATCTTGCTATATACCTTGGTGCTATCAAGCATGCGAAGACATTTGGCGAGGAGAGAAAGTTTCGGACGTGGCATGAAGTCTCGGTACTCAAGAGGGGCGAGGCTTCCTTCGAGTATGTCAACTGCCTACCGACGACTGGGGTAATTCAATTTGTATCTCTGGAACTTGTATCCAAATTGGGTTAACTGCCAATAAAACCACTTTCTTTTTGAAAATGTTCTGGCGGCAATTTGCATGAACATTTTTCACCATGCCGGCACCATACATGTGCAAAGCTTTTACGTAAAATGTTCAGCACCTTTTGATCCCATGCCATGTGTTCCAAGCCCTCTGGTAAATTGAGCTGAAAGGGCGTCAGCTTGTCTGCATCTAGCACCTCAAGCTCGTCTGAGCCGGCGGAAGGCCGGCGGAAACCAAGCATGCCTTCCGCCGAAGTGGGTACTCCGGCGGCAATGCCGCCTTCATTCGCTTGGCACATCCACCTTCTGCTCCAACGACTTATCGGAGTAATCTGCTGTCAGAGTGGATCTGACGCGTAGACTAGCCGGCCTTTTTCCTCTTAAATCCTAAAACTGATGCTACTTGCGGAAAATGTACTGGGCTTATTTATTGTATGAAATGTTTAGCCAATACTGAAGGGATGTAAAACAGTTGTGTTGTGTTTCATGTTAGCCAACGCTATTGTAGGAGAGACATGAAACAAATCTAATATTTTCTGCATTTGGTTGGAATCTACAAGTCTGGCACAATGGGGGACTGATTATGTGCAATTTCGATAAGTACAGTATTGCATTCAGCTCTTCTGACTTGTTTAGGTCATAGGCTCTTGCCGATTCCGCAGCCCAAACCAACCACATTCAGAATCTAGCATCGCGTCAAATCCATCGTAAAACATTCTACCAGTGTTAATAAAAAGCCCAGTTGTTGAGGAAGGTGACGGAGGATCCTTCATAACGTATCCTAGGGGCTCCATGCCTTGAGGATCCCCCGTGACAGTAACTGTGTAGTTGGCAATAGGATTCTTCTCATCTGGCACTAATACCTCCACTACGCTTCCAGGCACCAGAACCTTTGGGTTATTCTTGATTAATCGGGATGGCTCTGTCTTCGTCTTTGACTGAATATCTTGGTGTACTGTAACGTATGATCGGTTGATACCTGTGTCGAAAAGTGCCTTGCCATGATTGTAGGGGGAGCCATTTATACGGGTCGCCATGTTTGCCATGGCCCAGTCGGGGGCCTTTGATCCTGCTCTCACATCCAACTTTGTTTTCCGGAACTGAGCCGCTAGATCTTTCGTAAGGCCGACGTGTATCCCATTCTGAGTGATGATATAGCCCTGGTGAATATCTTTCACCTCGCTTCCTCTGATCTTACCGACATTAACAAATGGATTCTTATCGGGCGATGCCTGTGGCTGTTGCACGCTGCCTCTGCCAAAGCCGACGCCAAGATAGTGTGTACTGTTCGGCCATTTGACGACGTTTTGTTTTTCTTCTTCTGGGCAATACCCAAGTTTTCCATAAGCTAGGCAAGTGCTTGACTCATTTACGGCTAGAATCGGAATGTGGCTGACAACTTGTTGGCGTTGCCCCTGCTCATCCCTCTCAGCAAGATAGAACGTGACATCGGCATCAATCCAATAACCAGTCCACAGCCTCCCGCTCGAAGAGAGGTACTCGCTTCCTGGTCGCGATTTTTCGAACTTAGTTGCGTCTGAAAATCCGAGTAAACCACCGCCAATCATGACACCGGTTGAACCGGTATCCATGGCAGCACGGCCAATGTATTTGGGCTTGTTCCATTCCGTCGTAATGGAGAGGTCGAAAGCAGGTGAGTAGGTAAGGATTGGAAAGGGGGCATTGACGAATGGGATGAAAGCATTGTTAGATTCGCTTGCTTCAGGGTATGTTGGTGCCTGAGTATCGGAACAATTGGAATTGTCGGCCGCGAAATACAAATGAGCAGTAAGCGCCAAACAAACAAGGAGAAGAATTTTCGCGCCTCTCCTGCGATTTGTTGACATTTCTGAAGTTATTTGAAACAGATTTTGAAGGCAGTGGTCATCAACGATTCATTTTTTATGAAGTATGCTGAAAGCGAAGCTAATAACCGTTTGAGGACGAGGTCACGGCTTACGGAAGCAAATAACAATAGTAATCAGGCAGCTTAGCTGAACTTTAAAATATGAAACAGCCTAGCCATATACTTCGTAACGATCCGTACTGTAATCGACTCAATCAGCAAACGCTACAGGTACAATCTTGTTAGATATGGTAGGAAGCTTAATAGCATACAGCGTGGTAGCCTAGCTTGAGAATGTTGCTAATGATGTTAATCAGCAATAAGATTTCTTGTTAAGTAGAGATTCTGCTAAAGCTTCAAAATCAAGTAGAAATTAAACTTTAGGGAATCAGCCAAAGTCACATGTATGGCAATGAGGTCCACTAAAATTGGCCGTTTTTGCAGATTTCCCAATTCCCCCCCTTCTTGTTACCCAATTCAGCCCTTGGCGCCGGAAATTGCCTGATTTAAACGAATTTGTCTATGCAGAAGGTGTAAGCTCAACGTTTGGAGCTTACGAGGAGTACTTCGGAACCTGACTGGCGGGTGGACATGCCGACACTTCCGTGCCTTGCGCACAATACGAGAGGAAAATAAATCTCAAGAGACTAGCGTTTTCTTATGGTTTCTCAATACTAATTTCGTGCGTCTTTTGCTAACAGAGATCGAAAAATACAAAATTAACAAACAAATATGCCAGTAATTTCACCTGCACTGTGAAGCTTTCGTAAAGCAGGATAAATGCGGAAGACTGGCCCTTTAGCAAATCGACACATTGAACAAATGGAAAATATCTGATTATCAGGATGGGCTCGAATATTCATCAAAAGAATAGGTAGTCTCCAGCTTTTCAAGGAGAAGTGCGGTCGATAGACCTACTGTAATATAGATACATCCTTTCCCAAAACCACACCGTCTGCTAAATGGGTGGTCTTTGCAAGGCGGCCATATGCTACGTTATGGTTCTAAGTCAAGGGTAATATTATCCAAGGGAACCATATCCCATATCGTTAACTGGCGGCAACTTCGCATCAGACGGGAAACTGGACAGGAAGTGGGTTAGAACGCCAGACAACCCGGTCGACGAGGTTTTCAAGTTGGGCACATGGCTTCAATAACAATTATATGGAGCAAATACTGGGAAGTTAACACATTCGTAAACAGCCCTTTAAAAACAATTTTTGTTTTTCTAGTCGCGGGCTACGTCACGTACAGCATCAACTAGGAACGAAACAGTTTGTATTCTTTAAGTGAGCGAGGGTCGCCAAAGAACTCGGTCGCCGTTCCGCGTCTATCACGTAACCACGCGTCTGGGTGCCGCAGATTAGGTCAGGAATTCCAAAACTATAACCATAGGTTCTTAGATAGCCGGGTCAGACATGTTTAGTAACGAAATTTAGCGGCTGGAACTTTAGAACACGCAAGTCATCTGCATGAGTTCTATTGTCAGGATCTACCATTATAATCGATTTTGTGAGAAGTTTCTTTCACATACGACCATACCCATTGGAAAACTCGGGATCCCGTCCGCTCTCCCATAGATAAGCCAATGAGGGCCGGATTAGTAGTTGGGTCGGTGACGACCAGCGAATACCTGGTGTTGTATGTTTTTTGCTTCAGTGGCCTTCAAATGAAGTCGTGCACAGTTGCAAACCAAAAGTCAGCGGGTACACAAGCATGAGGGTGGTCATGCTGGTTGTTATGGAAGTTTGTCGATTCTACCAAGAAGAGAGGCCTGGGCCATGTAGTGTAGATTAACCATGCTGCTACCTGTGAAAGATAGTCAAATTATGGAGTTTCTATTACAGCCTGATGTTCATAACGGAAATGTAGATTAAGAGGCAGGTCACTTTTGATCTACGGTAACCACAGTGGACTCAGCCGAGATCCTACCTTAACATGGATCTTGTGAGTCGTGGCAACTTATACCGTGTAGAAACAATGAACCGTGAGTACTAATCAATCTTGACCCATATATCACAGGGCTCGATAGGTTCTAAAATCCTAGATTCTGGCACTGGTTAGGAAGCCACAGTAGGTTGTGTCACTCATGAAGAACTTAAGTAATAGGGCTTCTTTGCTCATGACTGTGACAAAATAGTAGAAAAGATTGTGTACTAAAAATATGGTGATGTAATATCTACTGCAGGTCCATCAGCAGAACACTTCGGAACCGCACCGTGTTATCCAGCATGTGCTTCATAGCCTTTTCCACATCTTTTAAGCCGAACCGCTCAACAACGCATCTGACATCATGCTCCCTAGCGAATTCGATAGCATCTTCGCAGTCCACTGCATGTCCACCAGGCCATCCATGCACTGACACGGCCTTCGAGATGAGACCCACGCTATTGAGTTCCACAGGTCCTACCGGCGCTAGAACGCAAAGCTTCTCTCCCGCCCGAAGTCCGCCTGTAAGTGGACTGATTGCCTTCGGATTGGGTGCAGTTACGAGGATCAGTGAAGCGCCACCGAGCTGCTGCAAACATTTAACTGCATCCTTGGCGCTGGTGTCAATAAAGTCGTGAGCGCCAAGCTCACGGGCAAAATCCTCCTTGTCGGCGCTGGGGCTGAGGACAATAACCTTATATCCCATCTTACTGGCGTCCTGAACATCAAGGGGGCCAAGGCCGCCGAGACCCTTGAATGGCGACAAGGCTTCCTGGCTCTGCGCCCATCCATGTGTATTCCATTGAACACAGTGATGCCAGCATATAGAAGTGGCGCGACGAGAGCTGGATCTATATCCTTGGGGATGCGCACGACAGCCTCGGAACGAAGCACCACGTACTCTCCATAACCACCATCTTGAGAGACACCGTTGGCGGTGCCGTTCCAGCAAAGCTGAAATAGGCCAGCATAATATTGGCGGCAAGTGTTATCGTGTCCTGGAAATGTCAGCATTCGGCGGCTACAAGTGCAGCAGGGCCTAGCTCACCACCATGCCAGGCTCCGCCAACACGTTGTCCTACAAATACTCTTGCAACGCCTTCATCGACTGCAACAACATCACCCACTATATCGTGACCGGGAACACAGGGGAAGTGGTGAGTGCCGAACTGGCCACTTTGCAATCCCGCATCAGAATGACATACGCCGCAAGCAGTACCTTTACCATCACTTGTCCTGGGCCTGGCTGTTTCTGTTCCAGCTCGATAAGCTCAAGTGGAAGGCCAGGGCCTTCGACGATGGCAGCCTTGTAGTACTTGGGTAGAGACCGTGCCATAATTTAGGATAGTAGATAACTAGTAGGATGCAATGGTGTGCAATGATACGAGTGAACTATAAGGGAGCTTGCTTAAATAAATGGGAATCCCCGGTTACTCTTCAGTGGTGATGCTTCTTCAACGGCCTGGGGATCATGGTGGCTTGGCGGAGATAGCGGATTTGGTACGTATTTTTATGATTAAGTCTTCGACATATTCTGGTGTCTTCCGGACATGAAGCTTGCCAGGGCGGAATGATGCAAAGGATTGAGTTACCGGTCTCCGAGTTGTTCAAGTGGGGTGTGTTATTCCGTCCGCAATAATGGTTGTGCCACTTGCGATCAAAGCTTTTCACGAACATTGCAGGGATTACGAGATTTTCTTTGCCATTACTATGATACCACCAGTTCCTGCGGAGTGTTTCACTGATTTGGCTCAGGAGAAAACATGACTACTGACAAATGTGGTAGATATATGCGTTGGCCATTACATTAACCCCATGAAATGTGCTGACCCAAACACCCATTCATCCAGTTCAGAAAAAACGGGGGTCTCTAGTCCAGGCATATCGGCTGTTCCACTCTCCTGCACCGATATAGTTATAGAATCTCGTCTAGAGTGTTGAACGATGTCATTAAGGGACCTTAATGACTCCGAAAGTGATCTATGGACGATCTCCTTATCTACATGTAAGGCTGCGAGGTCATATAGAGCCTGGGAAATTCTATACAAGTTTTATGCTAATAATAATCTTCTAGCTGATCCTTCCAATAACGTAGTAAAAACCTGTAGTCGAGCGAGGTCTTCCTGATAGTGAGTATGGAGAATATTATAGAATAAGATGATAAAAGGGGAAAATGGTATATAGAGAACTCTCCTATTGCGCGAAGAAGGATTAGACGGGTTTGATAATTACTAGTGTTTTTGAGGGACTAAAATATAGTATACTAGTTAATATACATGGCTCTGAGACCTTTTTTATCTTTGGTAATTTGACAGTATTGCTCATAGGCTTCTAATGCAGCCCTTACGTAAGCCAGATAATCTAGTGTTATATCATAGGATAATGATCTTGCGGTTTTAGCCCTGCAAATAAGTATTATAGTTGTAAAATATGTAACCCGGTCGGAGGATATTAATATGTCTTCTATGCGTGTCCGTTAGGGTATTGGATCTGCTATTTTGGACAACTATTTTTAATATATGTTAGCTGGGAATTATTCCATCGTATTTGATCACGAATCAAGTGTTTACTTTAATTTCCCTCTTTGCACCTGGCAACTACTCCTGATCATTCCAAAAGAACACAGTTTAAGTCCGTCGTTAATGGTAATGAAAGTTTGCTCTCTGATTTGGCAATCGCAACTTGTAAATACTAGGTTCTTTTCAAGGTGTGGTTGGCCTTGTCGTTCGCCTTAGTGTGGACATATATTAGCGCAGGCCTAAGGTCTCGGATGTGCTCCGTACCTTGCGTTTTTGTACAACTTACGTATGGGAGTCATCTTTAAGCTAGATCAGAAATTGGACATGAGATCTTTCAAGACTATATTCACTGCCTTGTTTGCAGCATCAGCTGAAATTAGTTTTTCAAACCTGGCTAGTGCAAAGGAAGTGTTTGTCGTCTCTTACAGCAATCCATCCGGGTCTTTATTGACATACAGAGGCGGTATTTCTTGGTTTGATCCTATCAACTTACCCTTGTTTCATTGACAATATCGCCGTTGGTTCTTTATACGTTTTTCAGCCTAAAAGCAATAAGAAGGCTCGAAGCACCAAGGATGTCTTACTTCTGTCCGATATATTTGGCATCATGCTGCTACAAAACAGACTGTATGTCACAACGATGGCCATATTTTCGCTGTATCGTAGCCAAGAAATTTCAGGTTGGTTGATAGCTTTGCAAGTGCAGAATACACAGCGGCAGTACCAGATCTCTTTTACGAAGAGCCCGCTCCACTAGATTTCAACACCACCGGCTTTAACATCAACAACTTCTTTTCGATTCATCAACCTAACTTGACCGAACCTGTTATCGACCGAGCTATAACATACATGAGGGATGAATTAAAGATAAAACAAATTGCTGCAGCCAGTAAGCTTATTGTTCTAGGGTTGAAGCTTGTCGCTAATGGAACGATTGAAAAGCAAACGACGATTTGTTCCCTTCAAACGAAAAGCTCGAGACTGAGTCTATCCTTTCAGAGAGCGGGCAACCATTCATGTCGGTTTTATATAGTGGCACAGATCACGGGTTCGCTGTTCATGCAAATCTATCGGATCCCCAGCAGAAAGTAGCAAAGGAAGAGACATTTATTTAAGCTGTACGATTCTTCAAAACGTGGATACAAAATGGTTTAACAAAAGCTGATAGCGGATTGTGTTTGGAACTCTATAGTCTCAAATAGATTGATCTTCCAATACTATGATCACGCTTGCGAATTCTCTTCTGGCTTTCTTAACTAGTTTCTCCCAAAGACGCCCGGGCTTTATCTATTTTACATTCAGCCAGAAGTCAGCCTCAATACCCTATGGCTTACCTGTCTCATTAAGAACACATCCAGTTCGCCTTGGGTATGGCTCAAGACAAAATCGTGGTCACCGCTTAAGAATTTTCTGTGCACATGATCCAAGCTTATGAGCGGCGGTAAACCGTACCGTTCGTAACTATAAAGACTCATGACTTTATCTTCATAGCCAAGCGATACTAAATTCTTCCAGGTTATATGCTGATCTGTAAAAGCACCGTAGCGGCCACAGCTGACGAGGCGGGTTTTGACATCGCTAGCCGTTCATTTCGATCTTAATCATGATAGTTGGTTCGTTTACGTAAAAAAAGCAAGCCATTAAGACCAAGGTAGTCCGAAATATCCACAAAAGGTAAAGGCGTAGCCACTTCAGTGACTAGATAGTAAATTTGATGATGACTCCTCGACGGGGAATTGAACCCCGGTCCCCTGCGAACATTCGATTTCTCGATTGACAAGCAGATATCCTCACCACTAGACTATCGGGGATGTTTTGGTTGAAAACTGCTGCAACAATATTCATTATGATTGTATGCAGCTGACCTCCTATCTCCCAGTCAAAACTTCAACTTGCAATTTCCTGCAATTGACTTTTCCACATTGCAATGTACGGTAGTTTTTCGGTCGGCTTAGAGCCATTTACTGTGCCGCCTCAATGCCTTTTTTAACCAGAACAATGCGCTGTGAGGTTATCGAGACAAAATGCTTTAATTGAGCCTTCGACCAAAAACTCTGGTTGGAACCCCTTGTGAATGCGCCTTGACTAGGTATCCTACACTACCGAATTTTTACAGGCTGAGCTTTTGCGACAGCCTTATCAATCGTGTTGTCACATTCGAACGAACAGAGCGCAATCAATCCAACATTGCGCCCCTCTACAGGAAGTCTAGAACGCTTGCACCGCAGAAGGGCTCAATTTCCTTGATTTCAAAAATGTCGAGAACAATAGCACGCGCCAGGAGTTTACCGATATTGAGGCTATTCGAAAGACTCACCTCGACACAGTTGAAACTACGAGTAACACAGGTGAATCTAGCGAGCCTGGTAACTCCGGCGACAGCGAAATTTGTGTTGTAGTTGCATTAGTGCACCGTCAATTAGACTTCGAAGTTGGTATATTCGATCATTTGGTACGATCGTTTTCGGGGTGCCCAAATGGGGAAATGTACTGAGCTACTTACCTTAGTATGTATGGAAGAGCTTTGCACATTTCTCTCAATATAGATTTGTTCCTAGGTACTGAAATAGAACCACTAGAGTGTGCCGCATCGCCACACTATTCTTTCAAACTTACCAGTTTGGTACTAATCATTGTTCCTGTCTCCATACTCTACGTAGATGAACCCTTCTACCTCTTCTAATGGACTACCACTACAGAGATATTAGTCTACTTGCCTTTGATACCAATTTCTCAACAGTAAATGTTCAACAGCAGATGTAAACAATACAATTGATTTGGGATGCGCTAGAGTGACCAGGGTGAGCAGCTAGATGGGACTTCTGTCACTCGCGTGCCAGCATAAGCGCCGCATTTCAATTGCCCAGCACAAATCAGTGTGTGTGCACATAGAATTCAGCAACTAATTTTACTGCTATTGCGTGGTTAACGCACGAATTGAGGATAGGAGAATCTTTTGTTGAAGCCTACTTTTGCAAAGAAGCCTCGCTTAGGTAGCCAGCGTCGGAAAAGCGGCAAGCAGGATGCATATGGCTCAATTGGCGATTGGATGCTGTCACAAGAAGATCTAGGCCCAGCATCGGGTGCATTTTAAGGTTACGGGCAATCCCACAACTGCATTAGTCCGCCAATTTCGCCCGACGATAGTCTGGAGATGCTAGCCCGCAGCTCTGGGCGTGCGACCTTTCGCCCCTTTATCCATCGAAGGATGACAACCCCTACAACCAAGTCGAAATCTGAGTACAGACACTCTATCAAATGTTGTTAACACAATCATGTCTATACATATGTTGACAAGAATTCAAGGTAGCCAATCAATCTACAACAACAAGTAAGCGCCAGACACTGCCCGTCTAACTTGGCAATAAAAACGTCCGCAACTGACAGTGACTTGAGTATAAAATCCTCACACATTTCCTCCTCCTTCTCTCTAAATAATCACTCTTTGTCTCACAGAATTCACTCTCATACAACTTTCAGATTACTTTATTCTCCCTCTTCAAACCTGTGCCATCTCTTCCTCGCAAAAATGAAGTCTTCCGCTGTCATGGTTGCCACCTTTCTGGGTCTTGCCAACGCCGTCAATATCCAGATCTGCAAGCACCAGACTATGAGGACCTGCGTGACGATGAATGTCATCGGGTGTAGTAAGTTTGCAATTCATAGCCACTTGTTCGACTTTAAGCAAATCTCTGACATGGTTTAGCAAACTTCCCATCGAGCATGAACGACCAAGTTAGTTCACTTAACACGGGAAACACCGAGTGCACCTTCTACGAGTAAGTTTCCATCGCTTTTCGAGTTGTTCACAGCCCAGACGCGCTGGGCCTGGCTTCTCCTCTCTACATCCCCGTCAAAATTTGTTGTCATCTCTAACGAGCATGGTGCTACGAACAGACACGGCAGCTGCGAGGGTGGCTCCTGGACTACCAGGGGACGACAGAATACGGTCCCCAGCAAGTTTAACGACAAGTTCACCTCTGTTCGCTGCTAGATCGCCAAACAATTTGTTGCTGGTTCTTATATGGCATAAACTCCGATGGGGCACACTGGTGTTGGAAGGTCATTGACTGCGTTCGTTCCTAAAACAGCTACGGATTTATCCGGTAGACTTCACACTCATTATGCTAGTCAAAATACTCAAATTGGCCTCAACCCATGATTCATCATGTGACAGACAATACCGGCAGCTTTACTTTTGCACGTGTATACGTGAAATAGCGTAGATGTGGGAGATTGGCTTTGTTAGATACGGTGCTGTTTGATTATTCAGGAAAAATCTCGACTAAGAGGTTTGAGACGAATCATGGCACTTTTTGATCAAACAACCAGGCGCAGTCCCACAGACATAAGTCAGTAGTATATTTTCTCTGTTCTGTGATTGTAGATGCGGCACAGATTAGATTTTCTTTCACGGAGACCATGCAAGTATAAGCGAATGGGTTATTTCTAGCGGCAAAGAATGAACTACATCATTGGCTCTTGAAGGTATTATTGATGGCCCTGGAGTATTAAAGGCCCACATTCCTCTGTCCCATAGACCTTGATGACGAGGGAACCACATCAGACTCAACAATGATCAAGATGTAGCCGTCGCGGAACAGACATAACATGAGTGGCCAGAATTAGCTCCTAGACTTTCATGGCAGCATCCCATCCATAACTACTGGAATTGCGGCGACGCGCACACCATGCATCATTGTGCTTTCTTCAAACTGAGCTGCCAGAGGAAGGTTGCTGGCCTTGCTGTCGGTTTGGACGGGGCGGAGGCACAGCTTTAACCGCCTGTATAGTTTGATGATACGTCTATAGGCTAACACAGGGAAACGCTTTGATTGGCTCCGAGCGCGGAGCGCAGGAAACTCTTGGCCCTGCGGAACACATTCCCATATGTCGCTAACCTTAGCGACAATTGTCGCTTGCACTAAGCTGCCACCTTCCGTTCTCAGTTAGGTGATGGAACTTGCAGATCAAGTGTCAGAAATACACCAAGAGAATTCGATCGGGGTACTGGGAAATAAGCCATTCTTTCTAACATACGTATACTTGTCTTTCTGAAGGACCAGGCGTCCTGATGATGCTTGAGACCCACAAAATGGTAGTGGCCAAAGCAGAGGAGACGTAATCGTCTTCACCATAACCCCGCCGTCTGGTGGGTTAAAGTAGTGACTCCTTTCCAGATGGCATTCTGTTACGTGTGTCTATGGAGAGTTTCGTTTCTATTCTGGTATAAATCAAGGGTAGTTTTAAGCATGCAAAGTTCATCCCACATAGCTACGCGGCGGCGACTCCGCTTTAAAGGAAAAACGGGACGGGAAGTGGGTTCGAAACACAGGTTCGTCCGAATAAAGCCAGGGTAACGCGGTTTGCCAAGCGAGGCGCATGGCCGATTGCGCAGCAGGAGTATTCTTCATTCTCTTTGTTCGAACCTCACGGTCGGAAGTGAGTTGACATTATGCCAGAGGCTGGTGTGAATAAGAGTCTTATATAACTTCGGGCTGTTCACTATTAGAATTTGGCTTCTCTCAATCAGCAGTAGCAGTGTTAGCCTCCCGTCAACAAGTATTCCATTTCTCTCTTTATAACCACTTCGTCATATTCGTTACAAGTTTGTTGCAATGACCATTATGTTTCGCTCTTTAGTTTCCCTTCTTGCGGCTTCTGGTGTCGTTGCCGCAGCGTCGTGGAATACCACCTGCACGACCAAAACACAACGGAAAGCATGGTGAGAGCATTATGCTTCCGTCGTAGCCAAGAAAATTGACTGATTGAAAACAGGAATAACATGACGGATACTGAGAAGAAGTCCTACATCGACGCTGAGCTCTGTTTAATGTCCACATCTTCCAAAACCGGTATCGAAGGAGCCCTCAACCGTTGGGATGAACTCGACTGGGCACATATTGTTCAGTCTAATGTTATCCATAACACGGTATGACTTTCATTAATATTCAAGATGTAATGCGAGAGATCTCTAACAAAAGAAATACAGGGATCTTTTCTCCCCTGGCACCGTTACTTTATGCGAGTCCACGAATACCTCTTGCAATCCGAATGTGGTTATGAAGGCGGCCAGCCATACTGGAATGAAGTCCTTGATATGGACGCTCTTAACCAGTTTGTTGTTTTTGACCCTGATACCGGTTTTGGCGGCGAAGGAGGCGATTGTGTGACGGACGGACCCTTCGTCAACTTGACGCTGCACATCAACGCCACCTCCAACTACGCCAATGACTGCCTAACGCGATCTTTCAACTCCAGGGGCTTCCAAACTGGCCAGCAGCAGTACATCGACGAGTGCTTTGCCTCAGAAAACTACACTGCTGCCTTTGAATGCTATCAAGTGAATCCTCATACAGCAGGCCACTCTGCAGTTGGTGGTACTGTAAGTGATACATTTTGCCTGGACCTTGCTTCCTTGAGACGTCAATTGCTGATGATAGGTACATTGCAGATGCTCGATGTTGTTGGCAGCCCTGGAGACCCACTCTTCTTCCTTCACCACACCAACTTGGACCGTCTTTGGTGGGAGTGGCAGCAGGCCAACCTTACTTCTCGTTTGACGGACATGGGGGGGCGTAATATTCCCCTGGACAGCTACCTTGCGCAAAACGGCATGGAATACCCTAGCGCTGCTCTTCTTGACTATGACGGCGACTCTGGTAACGAGACCACCTTGAACCACAACCTTTGGATGGTTGGTATCATGCCCAACGCCACGATTGGAGAGGTTATGGACCTTGGCGGTGATGTGATCTGCGCTGAGTACGTCTAAAGTGCCTCAAGAAGTTTGACAAACCAACCCCCTTTTGTTTCCCGATTCGCGTTTCTTGTACATAGTACCGGCACTTGCATGATAGAGACGTGCAAGGTTAGACCAAAGTTTGTTTGTTTCTAGAATCTAGTGGTCGATTGGCGAGATCGGTGCTCATCAATCCTTGTTTATTCCGTCGGTCCATAGCGGTTGTTAAAGCAACTAACGGTACCAAGTGAGAGTACATGGCATAGACATATTGTGACCATGAATTTGAAGTTTAGTCTTAGTTGAGTTCAAGACGATGATGGTGACCAAATGAGTAAAAGAGCTTGTCTCGTTCTTTGACTTAAGGTGGCTAAACCAGGATGTCCAACTTTAAAGTCTACATAACATGCCATCATCTTAAGTCACAAATGTCACATGCTTGATCGCGAGGAAGGTGTGACGAATGCCGTTAGGGCGTGGTATTCATTCATTCTAACGTAAATCAATGTCCAGTGTCTTTGGTTTTGACACCCTGCCAAGGGATTCGAGCTACCAGCAAAACTGCTGATAAAGGCCTTTGACGGAATTAACCAATTCGACTTATGGACGACGGTGGTTGGGTATCATGTCTTTGGAAGCCGGTCGTATGATAACTTTCTTTTCCATCTCTTATCCCTCTTCAATTTCGTTCTGGCCTTCCAGAGGCATGTTCGGGGGTTCACATTTGTACTGAGCCAAGTCCCCGTAACTGTAAAGGCATCGAGTTGAAGCCGTTCCACACTGAAACAAGGTCTGACGTCGCAGCATCAGGTGGACACCTGCGACAACGACTTCAAAACCAAGAGGGGTTTTAGCGGGAAAAGAAAAAAGAAAGAAAAAAACACTTCTAGTGTCATGTATGCCCCTTCGATATGCCTCTTTCCCTGGAAAAGATAACATCGAAGGAATAATAACGCGGCAGATCTCTGTGTCCGCCGCATTGGGCCAAGTAATTCATGCCGCGTATCTTGCTTCCGTATGCGCGAGTAGATCGTTATAGGTGTTTATGCCATGACAGCAAAGGTTACAAGAAGACCAGCCAACCAGGCGACCGAGTTGGAAGGCAAGTTCGAGTCAGCAGCGCCCTTTGAGGATCCAGTTGCGGCGGCATATCCGAGCTCGCTGTAAACACTAGTTGCCTGCTCGTTGCTGAGGGTAGCCTTGCAGGGCTCTGCGTCGTGTGTAGCTGTCGCGGTGACGCCACAGACGCTGGTAGCCTCAGAATTGTAGGTTGTCGTCGAGGCATAGCTGAGGATACCGACCGGCTCCGGGCAGGTCTTGGTGAAAGTAGGCTCGGAGCCGTCCTTCTCGACCGAGAAGTCGAAGCTTCCGTTGCTGATGCGCGGGTTCAGATTGAACTCGCTGTAAAAGGGTTGCTCAGTGATCTCGCATTGCGCACCCATACCAAAAACCCAGGCAAAAGTGTAGTCGCCGGGAGCAAGGTGGCCGGTGTAGCCGACTTCAAGGTGGGGATTGTTACCGAACTCGGTGTTGTTCAGAATGGTAGCTCCAAGAGAGCCGTGGGCGGCAGTGCGAAGATAAGAGTTCTTGTTCCTCGAATAGATATCCCATACGAAACCGTAACCGTAGTGATAGGCGACGTCTGGGTTCTGAATGTTGAGGAGAACGGGGTAGCCCTTTGATGCCTCGCCGTATTTTCCGTCCTTGCGAGGGAAGATAAGATCGAGCTCGATAGCCTGGTCAGGGATGTCGGCGCTGGCAAGTTGAGAAAAGGTAGATAAAAGAGTGGCGCCGAGGCACCAGAACCTTTGAGACAACATTGTTGATCTGTTGATCTGTTGATCGTTGCAAAGCTTGGTGAAGAGTCCTATGATCAACTGTAAAGGTTGGATTTTGCCCCCAAAAAAACGCTGATCCGGAGGGCGCACATCGTGGGGTGCGGAGATTTAAAGAAGTATTGAAGTTTCAATCTTGGCCGTGAAGGCGTCAGCAAAACACCAATTTCCGATTATGACCCTGGCCCACTGCGGTCTTTTTTCCCTCTATGTAAAACGTCGCTAATCATCGTCACTGCATTAGTTCCTTTTCAATTTCCGTCGAAACTCGACAAGCAGCCAACCGAAATGTGCAAGTGGGGGCCGTCCACCAATGGTGGCACGAGGCATTTTGTCTTTATCAACGTCTTATTTGTTTTTCTCATTTAAGCTTCTTAACAGCAATCCTACGGCTTCCAAGTTTTTTTTCTCATCAACTCATTAAAGATTACACCGTTTTGCCTTGGTCTCCACCCGTTGCCCCTTCATGCTTCCTCCTGCAGCTTCTTCTCCTCAAGACCCCCAGTGCTTACTTCGCACACATACGTCTTGAACTTGCGGGCCGGCACCTTATTGCTGAACATTTCCTGGATTTCAGCATAATTGCGACCCTTCATCTCGGGGAAGTAGAAGTAGAGCCAGGCGCACATTGGCAGAGACAGGCCAAAGAAAATGAAGCAGATTTTGCCCCCCAAGTTGGCTTGATCCGTGTTGATGAGGTAGGGCATCACCTGTTGCACCAAACAAGATGCCGCCGTCGAGCACATAATGTTGATACTGTAGGTTTTTTGCCGGAGTTGCACACTTTTTTTTCCCCATTTCGTTAGCAAACCATGTCCATGTGAGAAAGCTTTTGCGGGTCTCCCAGTTTGTTATGGCCCACAACCCGGTTTTCCGGTCTCACCCTCTCGCCAACACATGGTCGTTAGGGTAAAACCGTTGGCCTGGTTCGGGAGGCTCATCTTGGGATCATGAAGTCTGTGCGGCTTACCTAGCAGTTTCTCCACCAACAGAATAAGCAACGGCACCCAGAGTTGCCTGGTACAAGTAGCCCCAGATAACCATGAAAGCGACTGTCGCCGAAAGAGAGGCCGCGGTGCCGATGGTGCTGATGCCTCCGATAAGGAGTAGGAGAGCAGTCATGACAAATACACCGCCTACAATCAGAGGACGTCGTCCGTATCGATCGACCAACGGCCATGATGTCATGTTACCGACAAGTTGAATGGCATACGCCGCTTGGGCAATGGCCAATGGGTTGTTGACGCCTGCGAGACGGAAGTAGTAGCTGTGAAATGTCAGTTATTAACTCAGGGGGTTCTATTTTACTGCGATAATAGTTCTTACGTCAAATATCCGCTGACAAAATTCACACCTGACTTGGGATTAGCCTTTGATTCCATAATCTTATATTAACAAGGATGAAAAACAACATACCAATGAACTGCTGGGACAGGTAGACCATGACGATGATGAGGGTTCGGCGACCGTTCGTGCCCCTGAAACAGTCAAGCCAGCGGCTAGACTCTTGCTCTTTCTTGGCTTCCTGCTCCTTTGCAATTGCAATTGTCGCTACAGCCATGGCAGCATCAACGTCGAACTTGGGTCCGTTGAATCGTCGGAAAGACTTCGCAGCGTCCTCCCGGCGACCCTTGATAAGAAGCCAACTAGGAGATTCAGGAAGGAACGGCAGACCAAGGAGAAGCAGGCCAGGAGGAATAAGCTGAGTGATAAGAGGGATCCTCCAAGACAGGTCATTGTGGTAGTGGTCGCTTCCCAAGACCGTCACAGAGTTAAGCCACTGGCCAATGGTGATCATGGTGTTGACCAGCACCAGGCACACACCACGCATTTTGACCGGGGCCAATTCGGCGACAAAAACAGGGCCCAGAGAATGGCCCAATCCGAACCCAAACGTAGCAACAGTCTTGCCGCCAAAGAGCATGAGCACGGTTGTGCTGAAGTATTGAAGGATGATGCCGCCGCAGCAGATGATACAAGCAATAATGATAGTCCGTTTGCGACCGATGTAATCGCTGATAATACCCGTTGCGAAAGCTGAGACGAAGATACCGATGGTGCCGCCGGCGTTGAGAATCTGCTGGTCTTTGGCTGCGACGACCCATTTTCCATTGACCTCGTGGCCGAACCGTTGCGCGAAAGGGGTGACGGCAAGAAGCTTTCCGATGGTGGTGACCTCGTAACCGAAATTGATGGGCAAAAGATAAATCAAGAGGCCTGTGGGTATTTAAAGTCAGTAAGGTTATGGCTATGTTCGATTAGTTCAGATGAACTGACAGAATCCCAAGACACGCTTGTTATCCCAGAAGTCGGCAAACCTGAGTTTGTCGTTGACCTCCGTCTGCGGCAGTGCGGCCGTAGCCGCAGAGGTCATGTCTTCGACAGTCTCGGAACGTTGTTTGTCGTCATGCTGAACCGTCGGCTCAGTCTTGGTGTCCGCCATGATGTGCTTGTTGTATGCGATATGAGCCTCCGATGACTTTCCCCTCTGGCGGTCTCAATGCCAATTTTCTGGGACCGTGTGGGATCAACCAGAGTCTTATAGTCTGGGGAAGTTCGCGTCGTGTTGGGACCAGATTCCAGGGGCTATTGCGACGTTGGCTTTTTCCCCATGGGTGACTGGCGAAGTCTCCGCTCTCCGCAGTTTCCACGTGGAGATGACATCCCTCGAGCGCCAGGTTACTGTATGAGCAATGCTAAAGACTGCCCCCTTTGGTATGATCAGGTTTTTTGAGGAGGCATGACTCGGAGGCTAGAATTGCGGGGGAGAGGCCTGCGCTTCCACTTTAGCGCTGTTCAACCGGATCATCTTGCAGGCTTTTTTTATGCGGAGGTCGTACCGGAAGCAAACACGCAGTGGCATGCGGGAGACGAAGATTGGCTATGCATGTCCCGTATGGTGGGCCGGGTCCGAAAATCATTCGGCATCACTACGGATGCCCCCAAGAAACGACTGTCATGGGTTACAGGAATACAACCAGAATTAGACCCCAGACTTTTTCAGATGTCGTTTTCGGCTCATTCCTCGCCACTAGAAGCGTGACGGTAACGCCAACTGCCTGTTACAGTAAAATTTAGCCTCCAGATTTTCGCCTGTTGGTTGTTCTTCAAACAGATTTGGCAGTATTTGCCCCTCCGAGTTCCGTATTCCGGATTCCGGCTCCACATGACCCCGGACACCTCCGCACATTACCTCGGATTTGGCAATACCCCAGATATTGGGGCCACCAATCTTGGTGTGAATTCGGTGGTGCTGACATGAGAGTTCCGTCACGCCGGGGTCACCTCGCAGTATCGTTCGGCTTCATGTTAAGACATCCGTCAGTGCTACCCTCCTAGCACAACCCATTTATCCACACGATCAGACCATGTTAACGATTCACATGTTTCCAAGGAAAAAAAAAGAACAAAACTAAAAGCTTAGGAGCTGTTGTTCGCAGGAAAGGCCATTTAAGGAGTAATTACGCAGCCAACGAAGTAAAACTAAATGGGTGGTGATTAGATCTGTTATGGTATGATTTACCAAACAAAATTCAGTCGTAGTGCATAAGACTGTTCTGTAGCCATACTTTCAGCCCAAGATACTGTTCGAGGAAAGAAGGTATCTCAAAGGCTACATACCTCGGCATATATCTCCTTCAAGAGCAACAAAATTGTAGTCCAGGAGCGCACAGTCACATCCGACTCGGGTGTGCGTTATGTCTGTGGAAGTGGAACATTGAGGCTGATATTACTAAATCATGTATCCCCGGTAATTCTCAGTATCTCCAGGACAACTCAACTAGACAATCACAGCCGCGCCACTATTGTCTTGGGATCTCCATTCAAATTACACGAAAGACCAAGACCCGCGAGCATTCCGTGCAATCTCTTGGCGCGATAGACTTCCCTTGTCAAGAAGATGCAGGATGGGCACGCACCCGCTATAGGTCCTTAATATCCAAGTAACCCTAATGCATTACGAACAGTTTGCGGCTCACTCTCGGCAGTGGCGCGGGTCAGTTCGCATATCTGGGCCCTGCAAGCGCACTACATTCTGATGTCCACTTGCTTTCACCCCAGCATATATCCCGCCATGTTGCCTTCAAGCCCACACCTAACGTAACCACCAAACGTGGTGTTTCTGCAAGGGACGCGAGTGTCAGACTCATTATCAAGAGCAGATGGTTTCTTGGCATTTCGGAGTGAAGCTGGGCAGGAAAGTGGCACGGGCTGTTCCGGTGCTTTTTCCTGCCCCTTCGACAAGGAGTTAAGCCTTCATAGTCCAGGATGAGGGTTTTCATCATGTGGGATTAGTTAACAGTCAAAACCTTACAAAGGGTCAAGCATAAACTGGGTATATTTTCATTTTTTCAAACCCTATTCAGTTTTATTGCCATTTTTCATGTCCTCCAGTGCTATTTTATTTCAGCATCGCGCCATGCATAGCTAGGCCATTCTGTTTATTTAAGAATCACGTCTTTCCCATGTGTTGGACCAGTTGAAGGAGCTACAGCAGTATTTGATCTGGGTATGTTTCTCATCAGGGATTTTTAATTCTTAATTTCTTTTACTTTGCAACAGAACGCTTTTGGATACGAGGGTGATCACTATCAAAGTCCAACTGTGATCATCTTTCTAAAGCTACTACAACTTGTTGCCCAACGTACATTATCTTAGAACAGCGTACCCTTCGTCTGTTGCTTGTCACTCAGGCGGTGATTCTTCATCAACGCAACCCAAAGTACAGAGCCGACTAACGCCACCAACGACGCAATAATCATTACCTTTTGCGTCTCGCCGTAGGCGCGGATAATTGCATCTCTCTCAGGAGTTCCAACCGGGTAACTCAGCTGAGTCGCAAGATCACCATAGATGGTGAGAGCTTGGTCTTTGAGTTCATCAGGCAGGTAGCTTTCCAACTTGGAGGGCATCAAGTTAGTCCAAATAGCACCGCTAATAGACTGGCCGATGGCACCGCCGACACTCGTAACCAGTGCCAGAAGAGCGAGGCCAACGGCAACGTCACGGTGAGCAACAGATGCCATGATTGCAATCTGTTCGACCAGGACAATGGTGCCTCCGGCGAAGGCCCCAAGAACTTCGCACATGATGACGAGACCGACATGGGTGTCGGGCATGCGGAACTTGATCATCAAACCGGTCGAAAGCATCTGGAGAGGAATCGATGCCCATCCTAACCATTTGTATCGGTCGGAAAATCGCATGAGACTGGAAGATATTTATCAGCGTATGTAACTCGACAGCGAGATGGTTTTAACTCACAGTCCGACAGGAATTGCCCATGCACAGGACACGATGTTGTAGATGTTGGTGATGAAACCGGCTCTCGAGACGCTAAGATCGTAGACAACCTGCAGATAAGACGAGAATTGGACCTTGTAGCAGCTTCATAATGGTTAGTTTGAGCGTTATTTGTCGAGTGATCTTGCTTGACTTACTAAAAGCTGATCCACATATTTCCTCCGAGCAAGCACGATACTAAGACTGTCCTGTTCTGGAATAACTCCCACGGAATAAACGTCTTGGGCGCAATGTACTTCTCGTAAAAAGGAAACGCGATGAGGCACAAACCGCCCAAAATGATCATCGCAATGATCCTTGGTTCAGCCCACATGTGCGCTTGGTAGCCGGCGATGCTGAAAGGTAGCAGAAAGAGAGAAAATCCGGCAACAGCAATGAGAATTCCGGCGACATCGAATTCAATTACCCAGTATTTCACAGACTCCCAGAGGGTGCGGTTGGTCTCTGGCTTCACATAGAGACCCAGCTTCTTGGCTCGGCTCAGCTGAAGTGTGAAGATGACGATGAGGGGTGCGCACATGACAGGGATGATGATCGTGAAGGCGCCATATCCCCATCTCCAGGTGCTACCGTCGAGGAACGCTTGGGCGGCGGCAGGTCCGGCAAAGGTGTTTGAAATGTAGGGAGTCGAAGTGAAGCCAAACAAAATCATTCGGTTCTTGAGCGTCGAGGTGTCGGCCATGAAGACGTTGAGCACGTATCCGATGCCGTTCATACCTGTCCAGAAGAAGGTTTGGCCAGCAGCGTAGGTCTCGACGTTGTTGCAAGTGGCCATGAGAATCAGTGCTGCTTTTGCGTTAGCCCTGTCCAAAGAAGTCGTTGCGTTGAAACCATACAAATGACGACACATCCTAGCATGATGCAAAGGCCTTGGGTTCTACCGATAATGTCGATGACACGCGCGAGGGGCAGCTTGCTGACTCCTGCCACGATGTTCGAGATGATGCCGGTCGCGGCCATCAAGCCGTGAAGGCCGAAGTCACTAACAGCATATGGCAGTAGGGAGCTGGAGATTTGCTGTTGCAGGGAGTCGGTGAAGAAAATGAGCCAGATACTGTGCGGAAGTTAGTGCCTTGACTTGAACCTCTCCTTGTAAAGTTGCTGCTTACAAAATGTAGGCGACAATAAGCCATGGCTTAGTCCATGTCTTGGTCAATGCCTCAATTTTCTCAACACCAGCAAGGCCACCGGTATTCGGGTCGACGTAGGGAGCAGGCTTCTCGTCGACAACTTCGTGGTCCTTGTCATCGACTTGGTCGGGGGCGCGACCCTCAGAGACGATTTCTGGGGCGCCAGTCGTTTCGTTTGGGAGACCCATTTTGTGTTGTTGGAAACCCACTCGAGCAATTAAGCTGGGCAGATCCAGGCGTCCGATCGGGTTGACCGTTTATATTGGCGATGGGTTCTAGAGGAGTAAATTACACAAAATGTAACGGGATCGAAATGGTTCTTATATTCTTCCAGGAACTTTGAATCGCCAAGGGATGACATGCATGCAGAAATGGGCCGACCGCATGACTGTTTGCCATTGAACGCGCCCGATCCCATGTTAAGGGCTCAAGCCGATGATCTTGGTCGTGGAATGTCACATTGACCGACGAAAGGTTACATGGCTCTCGGGCGGTTTCGGCCTGTGTACGAATGAGATACCAAAGAAAGCTGGGTCACCGATTTGCTAGTGGTTCGTGTGGATTTTGGGGCCTAGATTGATAAGATCAAAATTTTCGTGGCAGTCGATCGGTGTGATTGGGGGATGAATCCCTGGCCAATGTTTCTCGTGGAGAACGGGTTCATTAAGTGCCAAATCGCATTCGTATCAGTCGCCGCCCGATTCAAAGGGTGTATGGCTCTCCGTTGGACAATGGCCCAATGACGGATAAGAAGTGACATGGGTAGGCTGAGTCGGGCCGCACGATGTCCGACGGCATCCAGAACATCAAGAGCGAAAGTTGGGAACAAGAGAGAGAACAGGAAGTGCTCCAGTAGGATGGCGTAGAGCCTTGTGAGGCTCCAATAAAACCAATTCAACAACAGGGAACAGCATGCATTGCCAACATCCTTGGTGTCTTGGCATGGCAAATGGCTCAATGTGACTGAAGGTGACTGAAGGTGTAGACTCTCCGTTGACGTTGGAATGTTCATTGCTCATCTTATCAGATTGATAAAACCTTTCCGGCAATCCACGTTCACTTGTAAGGGATAGGAAGAAATGCCACCCAGCTTATCAGATATGAGGCATTGCCAGTATTCGTAACAAAAGCAAATGGCCATCCAAGTTAGCAGATTACCAGAAACACTAGTAGGAAGTTTTGTATCCTCTACACCGACCTGGTGAGAAATTGTTACAGCCAGCCTAGTCCAGGTTGGTTAAGAAATGCAACGCGCCCCACCCAGTTGATTGGTTTCCTGCTCCGCCCCCAAAAGTAACCGTGGGTCCGGAGTACCCTCCGTGTTCTGAGGCATGGCTTATCGGAGAACTCGGTGTATCCAGGGAGATCTAGTAGAGACCCTGCTTCTTCGTAGGTCATTCAGAATGCTCAATAACGAGGGGATTGTTCTAGGCTTGGCATCCGGATAAACGTAGCGTTTACCACAACAAAAAGTTTTCGAATTACTCCTTGATGGTCTCGACCAAGCCCGTCAAGCCCTGTCACCATCCTAGCTCACATACAGCTAGGTACTCTTACAATGTAAAGAAAGCATCCCACCTAATCCCCTAGAAGTTGTGTCATGAACGAAACTTTTCTCCTACCTTTAAACTTTAGAATCTGTATGTCATTGGGGACGATGAATACCAAATTACTGGGATGATATACTGTGTAGACCTAGCCAATTGAAACACCAGACTTTTAGCAAAAATTGTGCGGAACTGTTGTCTGTACCATCATGTTTTCCCCAGTCATGAGCCAAGCTTCCTCCAGCATCCGGACTTCTGGGTTGCATGGTATTGTGTTAGGGGTTGCGGGCCACCTGAAGAAGACTTTGGTGTAGTGGGGAGAGAGACCCATTTGCTCCGGTGGGATGGATCAGCTCCCTTGTCCGCGCACAGCTTACCGTAGATAGCTTTTCCGAAGTCCATGTGAATTCCTGTTTTTCTTCACCCGTGGTTCAAAGGGTACGAACGGGAGGTCACTTCGTAAGCTAGCAGCTCGGGCAATCGTAGTCACTGATCAAACTATTTCTCAGCAGCTGCCGAGCTTTGGGCAGCTACGAGGCAGTGGCGAAAAGCAATTAATTGAGGAAACAAATAGTGAGCACCGGTGGCAAGATCCTAGACATTTGCTGGCGGTAATGTAGAAACGTGGTAGGCTCTACCATTTTTGAAGAGTTGGCTAGATGCCCAAAGTTCCCAGACTGTGATTTCGCTAGGTCATCTGACAAACTGGATAAAATGACTCAAATGTCATTGAATCAACTGGAGAGCTTACAAGGCTCGAGAAGAGATTTGAAAAGAATTCTTTGTATATTTCAGAACTGCCTTGCTCTGGCGAACCTAGAAGCCATCTAGGTAGTGAACAGCCCATGTATTACTGCTCAATGTCATGCGATTGGCAACAAGACCGCAAACCAACCACCCCCACGAACCGAATGTGCCACTCTGGTAGGCAACGTGGCAATCAAGAAGAGAACCCAAGCTACTAGATCAGTGCCGGTGTGTGCACTGCCTCTTCGATCATGCTAGGCACTGAACAAGACCTTTGGCATGGGGAACAGAGCATCATGGACGAGGCGAATTTTTCAAAGCAGGCTAGTACCAACTGTATGCTTGGAAGCACACCTATTGTGCCCGCCTCCCGCGGACTGCGTTTCGATCGGGGTGTCTGCTCTACTTTTCGAGTCACGAGTGGCAAATGCTTGAGGGCATGATTCGTGCCTCATTTGCGACGCTATCTTATCAATCAAAACTGGAGAGTATGGGTCATTCTTATAATGTAGGTGGAAAAGCTGGTGCTGGTTACGTTACCTGTTCTCATTCGTTCCCGAGAATAGAGTTACCCGATTAAATAGCATGTCGCTTGACGATGCATGTGTCCTTTATTGCTTCTGTACACGACAAACGCTCCAGTTTTTTGTTGAGACTGAGCCGTTTTTGCGCTTCCAGTAAGGCATGACTACCTTGGGAGAGGCAGCGCATTAGGTCTTGGCAACGATGACATCGCCCCTTCACTACTCTTTGTACAGTGCTTTGTGTTGATGAGGTAAAAAATGCACGATTGCGTTGGGATAGAATGGTGAGATATCAGGTTCTTGTAATGATCCACAGCTCATAGCGCATGATTTGGTGGGAGAGTATTCTACAATTGCTTGTCAAGGCCGTAAATTATCTTAGCTGTCGTCTTCTTCATGCCATAACAACCTAAAAACAAGTTCTGGTATGTAAATTGTCACATTATCACCTGTCAATTCTCCTGTTTCAGATCCTTTCGAGTGCTAGACAGCTTCATTGCCCAGAAATGGACGTTCATGAGCAATATCTAATACACTTGCTCTCATTGGAGTCTCAGTTAGTGCTGCTTTAGTTGGCGAGTGCTTCATCGCTCATAATGGCCAAATCACTGGACCACGGCACTGAAGGGGAGGAAAGTATTTAGTCTTCCTAAATGTTCCGCCAGTCCCAATGACGTTCTCTTAGTGCATCGCTCGAAGTACGTACTAGAACGTCACTCAATTTGCAAAAGATCATCTTATAACGTTCACGCTTGTTGACTCTTCCCATTAGATTTGCATTGGGTGTCGGCAACGTGGTCATCCGAACACTACCCCCAAGTGGCGCGGCAGCTGCATCCGCTCTCTCCTGGGATTTATGTGTTCGTCAGATCTTTGCCCCCATACAGCTGGCATGCAGAAATGCCAGAGGCATGGGTCATTGATTAGGCGAACGGGTTGGCAACATTCCGGAGAGCGGATCGTTGGTTTGGGGAACGCATCTCAAATCCTGGGGGCACCACGGATGTTACCTGCCAATAGCAGAAAGCCTAATTCTAATAACGCCAATTACTGTCCCAACTTGGACGTTGATGTCCACGGATCGGAGCTGTCCCGGCGCTAGTGCCTGGCAGCCCAAAGCTTGGAACCGGCGGACAAACAACTAGTGTAATGTCTTGTTGCGATCATCGTTTCCTGTTCAGCAGCCGCTAGGAACGTCTGTTTAGATGTCAGGTGAATGCCAACTGGCGGCTTCAAAAGCTTTAGCGGACAGTCTCGAGGTGAGAATGTGCTTGATAGATAATGTTCATCAAGACTCAAAAGGCATTTAAACTTGCCAATCCCTCCTTTACGAGTATAAAATTTGCAGAACAAACATTTCATTGTGCATAGTCAACTCCTTCTTTATTGAAAGCACACCGATTATCTATCACAATGCATTACAAGACCGCCGCAGTCACTTTGGCTCTCCTGGGCAACGCTGTTGCTCAGCGCCCAACCGATACGCCCATTTGCGACTACTACACAACAGCCCTACTGAAGGATAACTCAGCGCAGAACCAGTACACCCTGCTGACTCTCCTTGTCAACACTGTCGTTATCGGAAACTGTAAGTAATCAGCATCCTCTCCCAGAAGCAGATGGCTTACTTTACCCACAATATAGATACTACTCCCAATGTTGGAGTAAAGGTTCCTGGTATCCTGGCACCAGGTGTCTACAATAACGCAAACGTCAATTTATTGCCGTACTTCAATGGCGAACTGAAATCTTCCAATCGTGGTGGTAGCTCAGGCGTTTCCGTCAACTTTTTGGACGGCGGCGGTGCAGCCCCATTGATGAAGAACATGGCGGCCAACGACGAAAAGTCAAAGCAATAGTGAGTCGCTAGGCATGCCCTTCTATATGTTCATTGCCTGACTATTCAACTCCCAGTTTCCTCCTAACTCACCTATACCAATTCTTCGGTGCGCTCTTGGGTTGCTCCAAGTATGGAATGGCAGGCTTCCCCAGCTACAACGGACAGGCCTCCATGTACCAGGTTCACAAGTTCATGGCCTTGGACGAAAACGAACTGGGATACTTCATCCAACAAGTTGCCCTTGCTGGTGCCTCCTTTGGAGTCGCTCAAGACGACCTTAAGGCCGTTGGCACGTCCCTTTCTAATCTCTTTGGCTTGCGCTGCAGCCCGCCTGCTACTGCTATTCCTGCACAGGGCCCTCAACTCCAAGCCATTTGCATCGAAAACAGCTGTCCCGCATCGCCTGACGCTGTTTGCGCTAGCTACGAGCCTGTCGTGGCACCTAAGAATGCGACTGGGGAAGGGATGAATGCTACTAGCTCAGTCACTGGGCCAGCTGCTACATCTATGACGACTGCAACTGGCACGATGAGACCGACTACCGTCCCAACAGGTGGAGCTGCGACTCAGGTTGTCAGTCTTTCCACCCTTTTTGGAATCATTGCTCTGCTGCTGTAAGGTTGGATGACAAAATGAACACAAGTCTTGGAGACGTCTTGTGATATCCTATTGAGTGTCGGTATTAATAATCATCGCTCGATAATGAATTCTTTATGACAAAGCCGTACAGTTTGTCCAACCTTGCGTTGAGATGCCTGCTAGTTTCCTCTTTGATCTGACCACAAAAGCAGCCGCTATGGGAGAAGACGCTTTCACCTAGGCTCGTTTGTAAATAGCAAGATGCCTCAGATACATTCATTAATTGAAACAAAAGAAAATATCAATCGCTCGCGAAATGAGCATGGACCAGGGCAATATGCATGGTTATTTGTCCATTCCTTTAGTAGCATTCCTCTCTAGTATACTTCCCTAAACAACCTCATCATATCACTGCCTAGGAAATAGTGAGACCCAAATAGCGTGTATTCTCGTCAAGATGTTTCTGAATCGAAGAAAGTTTATTTTAGAGGCATGCGCAGTATTAGCGAGGCATTTGAGATCTCGCTTGATATTGCAGTTCACTTGAATCAGGTAACTATCACCTCGGGCGTGTTTGCAGTAAAGGAGTTATTCGGGTGATACCTTACTCTACAGGACTACTATCCCAATGCATACACGGCCAATGAATACGAAAAGGTGTCCCGTGGATAATCAATTACTGCAATTGCAACCATTGTCACAGACTGAGTAATTCATCCGGCTCCCACCGGTAGACCGGCGGGGTATTCAACCCCAAACGCCGACGGTGAATGCGAGGCCGAGCCGTCTATGGTTGTACACCCCCGAAGTGTTTCATCGGATCCCATTATCCAGTGGATGCTGCCGCTTGACTCAACGGATGGTCAATGCGGCTACGGGCGAAGTGCGAAGCGGCTGGCTTTACTACTGTCCGACTGGCCACGCGTGTCCTGGCCTGACTGGTTGACGTCACGAGTAGCACGACTCCTCCCGCTTGTAAAGCCCGACCGAGATGGACCTCGGACTGCGGAGCAGATACATCGCCGAATCGACCTAGCTGTGTAACGACGTTACCATCTGCACCGGCTCGTTGTAGATCACACAGAGAATTAGCCATTGGCCTTTGAGCTGCACCCCTCTTCATTTTATAATTTTGTATAATAGTTGATGACCCCGGTTGTTTTCTCGTAAAATTTTCTTTGGTCCTAGAATTCGATTAAACTCTTGTTAAACTTTTCCCATTCTATTCTGTTACATTGCCTTTATTCTCACACATGTCCTCCCACGTCTCTCTCAAAGTCCTCATCGTCGGTGGCGGTATCGGCGGGCCTGCACTCGCGTTCTGGCTGGCGCAACTCGGACACGATGTGACCATCGTTGAGCGTAACTCATGTCTACGTGCTCAGGGTCAACAGATCGACATCCGTGGTCAAGGCGTATCCGTCATACGTCTTATGGGTCTTGAGCCCGAGATCCGGGCTAGAGGCGTTGATGAAGCCGGCATTCGGTTCGTCGATCACAATGGCAAAATCCAGGCGGCATTTGGAGCCAACAAGACCGGCGTCGGCAGACAGAGTTTCACGTCAGAATTTGAAATCATGCGCAGCGACCTCGTTCGCCTCCTCTTCGAAAGAACAGAAGAACTCGGCGTTAAGTACATCTTCGGTAATAGTGTCGTGGCTTTTGAGCAAGACACCGAATCGGTCACCGTGAGCTTGTCCGACGGCACCACGGACAAGTTTGATCTCCTCGTAGGAGCCGATGGCCAGAGTTCCAGAACTCGGCGACTCATGCTTGGTTCTGGGGAGGAAGACCCGTTCTTCCCTTTGGACCTGCACACGGCGCTCTTTACCGTACCGAGAGAAAAGTCTGATGTCAATTGGGCCACCGTCTGCCTTGCTCCTAAGCAGCGGATGATGATGACGAGAAACGATAATCCTGAAACCACACAAGTGTACCTGGGATTCGCTCCTCAAGATCAAGAGACTGACAGGCTGCTTCGACAGTCACAGAAGGGTCGTGACATCGGAGAGCAGAAGCGCTTATGGATTGAGCTCTTCAAGGACGCAGGCTGGCAGGTGCCCCGGTTTACTAAGAGCCTAGAGGCTGGCGGTGTATCGGACGACTTCTACCAGTACCAGATTGGGCAGGTAAAAATGGACAAGTGGTACAAGAACCGCGTGGTTCTCCTCGGCGATGCGGGCTATGGACCTAGCCCTTTGACTGGCTCTGGCACCACATTGGCGTTTGTGGGTGCGTATGTTTTGGCTGGCGAGATTTCAGAGCACTGCGCTGGATCCAAGGGAAAGATGGGCGTATCAGCTGCCCTTAAAGCTTATGACAGCTCTTTGCGACCTTTTGTGAAAACGGTGCAGGATATCAAGTTCAAGCCTACTGCGTTATATCCCAAGTCAGCCTGGGGTGTATCGTTTGTGAATACCATTTTGTGGCTGGTTGCAATTTTTCGAATTGACAAGCTTTTCCTTAGGCTTCAGTCGGATAATGTTGAAGGATGGAATCTTCCTGACTATCCTGCATTGCCGGTAAAAGAGGGGAAGAGCGATACTGAAACTGATTGAAGATCAAGAAGAATTCGAATTGTTCGGCGTAAGGCACATGTATGTTCTCTATTAGTTTTCTTTTATCAAACTTGGTCAACTCAGGTCACCAAACTAGACGTTCGGGCTATTTCTCACGTCACTATGATTCGTCTAGAAGTGATCCGAACCGAACTAGTGAATAACTCTGTTTACGAACCCAAGACCAGCTACGTGATAGGAAGGAAGTTCAGGCAAACTTTCGCCTCAGTAGGCTTCACACAATGTAGCTTATTTCATATGCACACTCACATCTAAATGTTGTCTGGTCAAAGTTAACCAGTCCAGATGTCTAGGACAAGCGTAGGAACTCTGAGTGCCAGTTGAAGAGGTTGATTAGGTGTTAGTGGTTCTTCTTCAACCTAATCCACTCAAAACAAGAAGAATGCCAGCACAACATCAAAAAGCAAGTGTGGGACTTGAACCCAACCCGATTTGAACGGATAACCTTTCGATGACATCCGAACTGGAGTCGAACGCGCTACCGTTGCGCCATAGGTCCTTGGGAGACATCGTGACAAATGGAGCTTAGACATCCTGCAGGGAATGCTGCGGTGCAATAGTGGAGACAACAGGGGGAATAACTGCCGCCTCTTCCTGAGGGTGTGGTCAAGGCGACCATTGGGGGGGGGGGATAACCTGACCAATTACCCATTTATTTAAATGAATTATGGGTCTATCTAGCCAATTTTATGATTGGCTGTATTGAGGTGAAGTGGGTCCACCTGACCATGGAATTTTTAATCGGTCAGGTGCACGGACCAGTTACTAATTGCGTCCTCCCTCTTCCTGACTTTGTAAATGTTAACTCTGGGGTCAGTTACCGTCTAGGCTACAATCCATGCTTCAATTTAAAAGCTTGAGCAAGAACCATTTAGCCGTCCGATACGAATGAAACTTTTGATTTTCATCAGGATACCATGGAATGAGAAACTCATGAAAAGAATCCCACTCGCTTGCTCTCCCAAGCGCTGGACGTCTCGTATCAATCTATTAGCGAGGCGGTTCAGACTGAATTGACTTAACTAGTGATAAAATCTAATCAAATCAGTGAAAGAAAGCCAGCAGCAAACAACATCCTGTAATTTTTAATCAGTTCTCGACCTCGGGTAGGTAACCCTTCGCCCGGAAAGCCCTCTCCAGAATCTCTCGAATGACATTTTCCTTTCGAAGATTGTATTGCATCACGGTCTCACCCAACCCGACACTGATACCCGCAGCCTCCATCTTCGTCTTCGCGTATAGCTCCCTGTCGGCCTCATTTGACGTAAGCCACTCCTTCATGATCTGATGCCTTACCAGCTCCGCCGTCCCGGGCTTGAAGACGTGCAGGTTGCAGAAGTAAGGCTCATGCATCGCGAAGAAGCGGTGTTCGTGCCACCCGCGCTCGCGGGTGAGAAACTGGAAGCCAGCAGCCTCCAAAGCGGGCGCATAATCGTCCTCGTCCGTCGGGTCAGGGACGGTGAGATCGATGTCTATGACGTCTTTGGCAGGGAGGTTCGGGATAGAGGTTGAGCCGACATGGGAGATGCTCAGGGCTTTGGGGCCTAGGGCGGCAGATATGCGAGACTTGAGGTCTTCAAATTGCTGAGGCCACGCGGGGTTGGGAGGCTCAATAGCTAGTGGTTGTTTTGCTTTGCGCACCGCAATACGCTCGAGTATAGTCGGGTCGAATTCATAGTGTTTTAGAATGTCTTCAATTGGGCAAGCCAAATCGTCTGTATACTTGGAGGCGGAAGACATTGATTTGAAGATTTGAAAAGCAGCAACAGGGCATCAAAGGTTCATTCAAAGATTATGAAGAGAGGTCCTCTAATTAGGAGTCTAAATGAACGCCTAACGATATCTATCAATGTAAGTGTTTTTGTTTCTAGTTAAAGTTCAGGGGTAAATGACATTTGCCAAGTTTGACCGCCGCCGGCGTGAGTCATCCGGTCACCGGGTGGCTTGCAGCACCTGCAGGTGTCCAAATTCCTCTGTATGGAATAGTGCGATGCATCTGCGGCGGGCACATGTTTCCAATCATGGGTCTTCCAAGTCAACAAATTTGTATGCCCAATAAGCACACCATATGAAGGTGAGTCCACAAAAGAAAAAACTGACGAGGTAAAACGCGGCAGCCTAGATACGTCAGCTATGCATTTGGCGATGCAAATAATCATGTGTTGTTGCTGTATGCCATTCAGCTATTCGAGCCTCGTCATTCTTGCGTTTGCGACCAAGAAACGAAAACAACAGTAAGATTTTGAAAGCGGGAGGCTCGAATAGCCAGGTATACAGCATCATTTAAATAGGTTGACGGGAAGACTCACCTTGCCAGCACCTCCCCAACCTTGGCCGTCATAAAGAGGCGTACAAACATATACCGTTAAGCCTCCAAGGAAGCAAAGCGCTGAGTAGGCCATCAACATCATAGGCGCCTGCCACGTAAAAATCATGTTCCAGCGGATTTCGACGAGCGGCATCTCCTTGGGAAACCAACCCCCCTTCTCACGCAACTTAATCTCGCGGATCTGGGGGATCGGCGGCACCTCCTCCAGTGGCGAGTGCACAGGCTCGACGTTTCTGCTGCGGCGAATGTAGAGAATCATGGCGAGCTCCTTATCGACGTTGCGCGGTTTTGGCGAGCGGTGTATCGTTTGGAAAATGAACTGCTCCGAGGAGGCGAGGAGGATGGAGAAGAGCGAGAGGGAGATGCTGGCATACCAGAAGGCGGGAGTGAGCCAGTGCAGGGAATCGGGTGCCGGCCAGGAGAAGGTGCCTATGACAGCGGCAGAAATGAGGGTGCTCTAAGAAATGTTAGTTGTAATATTGATTCTGGAGCGCCATGTATCGTACGGCGACTTGGACGAGTTGAAACTCGCTCAGCTTGCGATCCCGCCACCTCTTGAGCTCGGCTGAGATTTCTGCATCGCTTTCACGGTTTTCAACACTCTTGGCAATGGACAGAATGGGGCGAAGCGTATTCTGTTGATAGAACCGGTTGTACGGCAGTGTAAGGATGTCAGTGGCGACATGGGCAATCTTCCCGCTCACCGTCACGGCAACGATCTAGATTAGAGCGTGAATAAGTGCATCAATCGGAGAGCGCTGCGGCAAGGTTCAATCATACTGCAAGTTTGAGTTTGGTGCCTCCAGTTGGGACTCCACGGAGACGTTCATCTGTTTCGCCCTTTTCGATTTCTTCGACCTGTCTCTCAGCCATCGTTGACTGATTCTAATAATCTACGTCTTTCAGCCATGCTGGCCAAGGACAATTTATATACAAATGACATCTTTCTGTAGGCAGTGAATGGTCATCCAAGTCGTGTGGTGTGCATTTAATAGCAGATGACATTTGGTTGCCCGTGACCGCGAGTTCCCCCACCCAACAGGTGATGCCCCCTCCCACACCGTGTCTCAGTTGCTCTAAAATCGCCATGGCCAACACAAGTAGCGTCAAATGACCTATGGTGGCCTCAGTTGAGATCATAGCCTAGGTCAAATGGTTTTGAGCTTATTCGATAGCCGGCGCCTGCGAAACAATATGCAAGTCATAGCCGCGTGGCTGTGGCGGATGGGTAAGCTAGGCTGCTCTAGCTCCCGCTTGGATCTAGGTCGGCCTGGTTTGCTTCTCTCTGTTCCTGACAATCGCAATTCCTGTCTTGTCTGTCCTCGAGATTAGAAGAAATGTGTTGAGACATCCTTGCCTCGCTTTCCTTGTTTAGAAAGACAAAGCGTGACCATAGCGTTCAGCCTTTGTTGATCTCGGCTTGGAACTTGACAACCCACTCGGAAAACTCATCCTTCTCACCGCTCCATGGTGTTTTGAGTAACTCGGAAAGAGCGACGATCTCGTTAAAGCAGAGACTCATAACGCGATCAATCTCCTCCGGTGAGAGCTCGTAGAAAGCACCCGCTAGCTCATCGAACATGTGTGGCAGTTTTCTGAGGATGCGCATAGACTCATCCAGACGCTGAGGAATATCTGATTTATCGGCAGGCAAAGAGGGCAGAGTCTTGAAGCGTCGCTTGACAATAGCCTGGTAGAGAAGGGTAGTCAACCTCAGTCGCTTCAGGCATGATTCGAGACGGTCACGGATCTTGTCGGGGTCGTCGCGAGGAATCGTCTGTTGGTTACCCATCATATCGTCGATCATCTCCTGCGTCGAGGGCATCATGGAGCCCAATGCGGAGTCGTGGTCCAAGTCGTCAGCATCGCTTTCCTCGTCGTCTTCAGGTTCCTCATCACCCCATTCCTTGAGCTCCTCCATCACATCTTTCAACGTCGCCCTAAATTCCTCAACCTTTTTGACAAAGCAGCTGCCAATCCCTCCCTTGGAAAATTGCATAACTTCATCACAGGCAGACCAGATAACTCCCGTAGCAGCCATGCTTCCCTTGCCTGTTGCCGTAGTGGAGCCGTTCTTCTGGGCTACTGAAAGAATCTTGCCGTCTCTGGGGATCTTCTCGATGAGTCCTCGAAGTTCTTTCAAGACTATATAACACTTCCATGACAGATCCTTGCGGAAGGTCGCAGTGTATCGCTCGGCGTCACATGACTGGGCGGCCGTTGCGATGCCTGGGATAGGACCAGAGACAAGTTCGCGTAGGACCTTGATGATAGCCGAAGGTGTAAAGGGTTCGTTGATAATCAACACGGAGATCTTGGTCGAATGCGCCTTGATTAGAGAAGCAGAATCATGCGCAAGAGAAAGAGCATCAACTGGTGTGGTCGAGGAAGCACTAGGCTGCTGTGCAGCATCTTTGCCAGCGTTGATAGTGGTGAGAACGGTCTCGAGCTGTTGCAAGAGAGCGATGGCCGTGTCTGAAAGTGAGTTTAGAGCAGCAGGCGTATTGGCGTTAGAGGAAGCCATTATGAATTCACGATCGTCCCGTGGAGAAAAGGATACCCGGACGAGAACGGTGACTCAAGTCGTCAGCTTTTGCGAGTATGGCAAAAATCACAATGGAGGAATAAAAAACATTTTGCCCCGCGATTTGGAGGGGTAAGGTACGTACCTTACAGTTTCCTCGCCATGCCTTCCGTCCTTCCTCCCGTCTGACAGCGCTCAGTGCCCTTTCCCCAACTTGCTTCTTGGCTGCCCAATGACGCTGGTGGAGCACCCGACCTTGTGACCCATATTTCACGTGACCGTTCCTGGAACAGCAACAGCTACAGCCACCAGTAGCTCCGACTCCCCTGTCAAGCCTCTGGAGCCATTGAACCCACCTAAAGCGTTTTGGGTGAGCTGGAAGTTCCACGGCAGCAGCGTACCTCCCTCGTACCTCGACCTCCAGACTGCCACCTGGACTGGATCTGGCCAGCTTCACCACAACACTTTCTACCTGTTCCAACAAATTCGACCTCACGCGTGAATGACGACTGCGAGGTCCTGCCTATCTTAAAGATGCGTCAAAGCTATGGCATGGTGCTTTTGAGCACCTTCGTGTCGGCTGCTGCCCCGGTCGCTGCAACTAGCTTGCCTAGAGGAGTTGGCCCCGAGTGTGAGTTCAATCAAAACAGCAACGCCGCTTGGAACTGAGATTGCCTTTAAGCTTAAATGCAAGGTCAAAGAATCCACGTTGGTTTCTTGTACTTGAGCTGGTTCCTTGCCGTTGTTGCTTTCGATCTCTAACAACACACACCGAATCTTTGCTAATATGTTTCCTCCTAGTTGCCAAGTTCTTCGAGTCCAAGGAGTCCTTCTCTTGTATCACCCAACCCGAGACTAAGCTGAACATCAATCAAGTCAATGACAATACATGCGACTGCCCAGACGGTTCCGATGAGCCTGGCACTTCTGCTTGTGCCCACCTCGACCCCCTCTCTCCCCCCCAGCCATTCGTTGGCTCCCCGACAGGCACAACCAACACTACCACTGCCTTGCCCGGCTTCTGGTGCGCCAATGTTGGACATATCGGCGCATATGTCCCTTTTATGTACGTCAACGATGGCCACTGCGACTACGAAATCTGCTGCGACGGATCTGAGGAGTACAGCAAGGTCGGCGGCGTCAAGTGCGAGAACAAGTGCAACGAAATCGGCAAGGAATACCGCCGCGTCGAGGCTGAGCGCAAGGGTGCTATTGACAGGGCCGTCAAAAAACGCAAGACCTTGACCAAGGAGTCTAGAGAGCTTCGACGCCGTGTCCAAGCCAAGGTCACAAGCCTGAAGGAGGAGGTCAAGGGCCTGGAGGCCAAGAAGGATGAGCTTGAACAGAAGCTCCATGAGACCGAGCGTTCTGAACGGGGCAAGGTTGTTAGAGGCGAGGGGTCTGGAGGAAAGCTCGGCAACCTGCTCAACCTAGCCAAGAACCGGGTTGCAGAGTTACGTGAGACTCTTGAAGATGTCGTCGCCCAGCGTGATCAACTCCGCAACAAAGTCACCGAGCTTGAAGGTATTCTCAGCCGATTTAAGGAGGAGTACAACCCCAACTTCAACGACGAAGGTGTCAAGCGAGCCGTTAAGGGATGGGAGGACTATGCTGCCAACTCTGCAACCGAGACCAAATCAGAAGACCTTGAGGCGGATATCAAGGACGTTCTTGTCGAGGACAATGAGAGCACTGGCATTAACTGGAAGGAGTTCGAGGAAGACGAGGCCACTGACACTGACATCCGTAAGTTGAGTTTCTGACACAAGCATTGAATGGCAACTAACTAAATGCCCAGTCTACAACTTCGAGGCCTACCTGCCTGAGCCCGTTCGCGATTTTATCCACGGCAAGCTCAACGCCGTTCGCGTCTGGCTCATTGAGAACGGCCTTATGGCCGATAATGTTAAGCCCGGTGTCGAGTCTCGTCTGATTACAGCTGCCCGCGACGCATTCAACGCTGCGAACAACGACCTGAACGAGAAGCGCCGCCAACTCGAGAACGAGGAGAAGGACCTTGAAAAGGACTATGGCGTTGACGACATCTTCCGTGTCCTCAGTCACAAATGTGTGAGCACCGAGGCCGGCGAGTACGAGTATGAGCTTTGCTGGATGGACAAGACCAACCAGAAATCCAAGAAGGGACATGGCAGCACCAACATGGGCAACTTTGTTCGCATCGACAAGGAGATGGCAGATGAGGAAGAGCGCACCGACGGCAAGAGTCTTGGCAAGGGTCTTCGCATGGTCCTGCGCTACGAGAATGGCCAAGGCTGCTGGAACGGTCCTCAGCGACGTACAGACGTTTGGTTGGCTTGCAGCGAGAAAGAGGAGCTGTGGAAGGTTTCTGAGTCAGAGAAGTGTGTATACAAGATGGAGGTCGGCACGCCTGCCGCCTGTGATGAACTGCTTGAGCCTCCTGAGCCCAAGTCCAAGGACGAGTTGTAAGAACAAGACGCTCGCTTTTGAGTGTACAAAAAGAATAGCATCGGGTCTGCTTAGCTTGGCGTCTGGTCGTCTGCCTTAGACCTAGTAAAGGGTTGCATTAGGGATGGTCAAACCAAGTTTTTTCTTTTTCTTTTTGGCGTGTGCGACGATGCCTGGTTGTAGATGAAGAACAAAGTGCCTGGGGTATCAATTTAGAAATTTTATACAATCTTGGACTGTGGGTTGCACAAAGCTACGCTTTTGATGCGATTTTCCTCCGTTTGCTGAGTTCTTCTTGCTCAGCCATGACCTTGGCCGTCAATGATGCAGCCATTGGGTTGTTGATACCGCTTATTCTGCCAGCGGATGCCTCCTTTTTTGTAGCCTTTGCATCGTCCGTTGCCCTTCTTTTCTCCGGAGCATCGCCGTTTCTGTCCTCCTTGGAATCCCCCTCCGCCTTGCGCTTCTTCTTGCCACCAGCCTTCTTGTCCTTCTTCAAACTGTGCGTAAGACCAGATGCGATAAGATCGTCCATCCTCTGTACCAACTTCTTCATGTCGCCCTCCTCAGATGGCAAAATTGGCACAACATTTTCGCTCGTAAATGGTTCGCTGCATTCAGGACATGATGATTCTTGAATCTCTTTAATAGCCACTTCGGCAAAGACGTGGCCACACGGTACGAGGTATACAGCCTTGACTCCAGGGCCAAGCTCCTTCAGAGAAATGGGACAGGCCCAGATGGCCTTCTTCGACGGCGGAGTGTACTGGTGGAACTTGAGCTTGACGATGTCGCGCAGCGACTTGATACCCGTCGAGCTGAATGTGAGCTCTGGGGATTCAGGGGTTGTCGGTGGCGAAGCAGTGGTGTCATCGGAGGGCAAAAGTGACTTGAGGATGGTTTCGTAGTTGTACAGGCGACCGCGCCAGTCCGAAACGACATTCTCCTTGTCAAGCGGTTCGTTCGTGAGGGCGTCGTGTGTCCAGGCATGACCCAGGGATTCCAAAGCATTTGCCTTCAGCTCGCTAACAGTCAGGGCGCGGGCGGCTTCCTTGACGAGTTCGCGGCGTTTGGGGATAGAGCCTCCGTCGTTACCCATGATGGTGGTGGTAGTGGGCAGTCGGCAGTCGGCTAAAGGGAAAACTCGTGTACTGATGATGAGACAGAAACCGAAAGTTTGAGAATGCCTTGGGTAGAATAGGAATGACCCCAAAGGATGATCGAATCCTAAAAGAAAAAAGTGGACTGGGTAGAAGGAAGCAGCAAAGTGGTTTAAGTTAGGATTTAGTTTCAATGTGCAAGGTGGCGGAGAGGTATGCGGCCGGATACAGTCTCGTCGCGTTGCCACGTTCAGTGCCTTATCTTATCAGACCAACGGGTGGAAGGTCAATTAGGATTTAGAGCTGCAGGGGTAGCCAACCGCACTTGAGGTCAGCAGGCGCAGGTGAGGGTAAGAGGCGCTTGCCTCCTCCACAGCCGCAGAAGCTCCTCGGTTTAGGAATGGGATGCCACAGTGGGGCTGACCATGTGTACAGTGCGGAACTGAAGTGCTTTCTATCATAGTGACGGCTGTTGAGACAGTGTGTTCTTAATAAAAGACAGTGTACATGGGTACATTCTCCCACTTACGGTTGCTCCCACGGTTGGTCTTCCATTCCAGCAGGTCCCAAGTGTCGCACTTTCCGTCACTGGAGACTGACCTGTTTCTGGTCTGGTTCAAACATCTTTCAGCCTCGTCTCCCATCCTGGGCCTTGCAATCACCTCTTCTGCTGCTTATTCCAGTAACACTTTGTTCATTTAATACCCCTCCTCCGCGACACGCAGTGAATTTCTGTAGCTGCGCCGACTGTTACTCCTCTTTCACCTTCACCACAACGCCGAGCCTGACACTCTCGAACTCCAACAATCACTCGTGCTCTAGTATCTACCATTCCCTTCAAACGATACACACCTCTTCCCGACCGACAGTCGATGTTTTTCCCATTCTGATTCACGAACGCTCGGGTGCGCCAGCCACTGAGCCATGGCGACCCAACAGCAGATCGCTCTTGAGAGACTTGACAATCTCGTCAGGGACCTGAGATCACGGTTCGTCCCCTCCTAGTGCATCTTCCGTGGGAGGCCAGACTCTACTCTTTATCCAGCCACTGACATATCCACCTCTCAGGACCTCAGATGAGACTCGAAAGCGGGCGGCTCTCCAGCTTAGAGATTTGGTGCTCGTCTGCCATCGGGGTAAGCTACAATGAACTTCAATCTTCCCCCTCTTTCGCGACCGTATAGCTGACCTCTTGCCTTCTGCAGACCTTCCTCTCGACCAGTTCAACACGATATACAGCCAAGTCAACAACAAAATCACACAGTTGATATCACACGGAAATGATTCATCCGAACGACTGGGCGGCGTCTACGCCCTCGACGCTCTCGTCGACGTCGAAGTATCGGAGCAGTCAACCAAGATGTTTGCCCGCTTCAACCAAAACCTGAAAACTATTCTCCGCGGCAAGGACATCAACCCCATGCAGGCTGCAGCCATTGCTTTGGGGAAAATGTGTCGGCCAGGCGGTTCTATGATAAGCGAACTGGTCGAATCCGAGACCCAAATGGCCCTCGAATGGCTGCAGAGCGAACGAGTAGAGGAGCGTCGGTACAGTGCCGCACTTGTTCTTCGCGAACTGGCAAGGCAGGCGCCTACGTTGATGTACAATTATGTCGGCCTGGTGTTGGACCTCATCTGGAACAGCTTGAGAGACAACCGTCAGCTCATTCGCGCCACATCCGCCGAAACTGTTGCTGCCTGCTTTCGCATCATTAGGGAACGCGACCAGGAGTTGAAGCAGACGTGGATGGAGAAGGCCTACGCCGAACTCATGCGCGGCCTACAGCATGGCACAGTCGAGTACATCCATGCTTCGCTTCTCATGCTCAAAGAGCTCCTGGAGCAAGGCGGCATGTTCATGCAGGAGCACTATCCGGAAGCCTGCGAAATCGTCCTTCGCTACAAGGACCATCGCGACGTCACCATTCGCAAGACTGTCGTCCTCCTCATTCCCGATCTTGCAAGCTACTCACCCGCTGAGTTTGACCGGAGCTACCTCCATAAGTTCATGGTCTATTTGTCTGGCATGCTGAAGAAGGACAAGGAGAGAAACGACGCATTCTTGGCTATTGGTAACATCGCCAACTCGGTTAAGAGTGCTATCGCTCCCTACCTCGATGGGGTCATGACACACGTCAGAGAAGGTCTCAGCCTTGCAGCTCGCAAACGCGGCTCAGTCGACGCAGTATTCGAGTGCATAAGCCGTCTCGCTGTTGCTGTCGGCCAGACACTGAGCAAGTATATGGAGGCGCTGCTTGACCCTATTTTTGAATGCGACCTCACTCCCAAATTGACACAGGCCCTCGTCGATATGGCCTTCTACATCCCACCTGCCAAGGACACCATCCAGAATCGGTTGCTTGATATGCTCAGCATGGTTTTGTGTGGTGAGCCTTTTAAGCCTCTGGGAGCCCCTCACCCCAACACTCTCACAGCTGTCCCCGCTGTTCCCAAGGACTCCAAAGACCCCATGGCATACGAGCACCGCAAGGCCGAAGTCAAACTTGCCCTCAATACCCTTGGCAGCTTCGACTTTACCGGACATGTCCTCAACGAGTTTGTGCGAGATGTCGCTGTGAAGTATGTCGAGGATGAAGACCCTGAGACAAGAGAGGCCGCAGCCCTCACATGTTGCCAGCTTTATGTGCGCGACCCCATCGTCAACCAGACCAGTTACCACGCACTCCAGGTTGTCGGTGATGTTATCGAAAGACTGTTGACTGTGGGCGTGTCGGATCCTGAACCGAATATTAGACGGACTGTTCTTGCCGCCCTCGATGAACGCTTCGATAGGCATTTAGCCAAGGCAGAGAACATTCGCACTTTGTTCTTTGCTCTCAATGACGAGATCTTTGCCATTCGGGAGGTTGCAATTTCGATTATTGGCCGTCTTGCTAGATATAACCCGGCATACGTCATTCCCTCCCTCCGGAAAACTCTCATCCAGCTCCTGACCGAGCTTGAATTCTCAGACGTGGCAAGGAACAAGGAAGAGAGTGCGAAGCTCCTCAGCCTGTTAGTCCAAAATGCACAGGGTCTGGTCAAGCCATATGTGGACCCGATGATGTCCGTTCTGTTACCGAAGGCGAATGACCCGAGCGCTTCTGTGGCCGCGACCATTTTGAGAGCCATTGGAGAACTTGCTTCAGTCGGCGGCGAGGAGGTCCTGCCCTACAAAGACCGTCTGATGCCTCTCATCATTGAGGCTTTGCAAGATCAAAGCTCAAACAACAAACGGGAGGCGGCACTTCATGCTCTCGGTCAGCTGGCGAGTAACTCTGGATACGTGATAGAACCATATCTGGAGTACCCTCAGCTGCTGGAACTCCTCCAAAGCATTATCCGTACGGAAGGCCAGCGCGGCCCCTTACGACAGGAGACCATCAAGCTGATGGGCATCCTGGGTGCTTTGGACCCTTACAAGTATCAGCAGGTTGAGCAACGTCGACCAGATGCGCAGCGCCGTGTCGAGAGCACACAGATGACAGATATCTCACTCATGATGACCGGTTTGACGCCATCCAGCAAAGAGTACTTTCCTACCGTTGTCATCAACGCGCTCTTGCAGATCCTCAAAGACAACTCCCTCTCGAGCCACCACGCATCTGTTATTGAGGCAATCATGAACATCTTCCGTACTCTCGGCCTGGAGTGTGTTTCCTTCCTCGACCGTATCATTCCTGCCTTCCTTGGCGTTATCCGCGCTGCAGACAAGACGCGCCTCGATTCGTACTTTAGCCAGCTTGCCACCTTGGTGTCCATTGTGCGGCAGCATATTCGCAACTTTCTCCCCGAAATTGTCGAGATTTGCCAAGAGTTCTGGCACACCACCAGCACGCTCCAGTCAACGATTATGAGTCTTGTGGAGGCCATCTCGCGATCCTTGGAGGGCGAGTTCAAGATCTACTTGGCAGGCCTGCTGCCTCTCATGCTAGGTGTGCTCGAAAAGGATACAACAACAAGGCGCCTGCCATCCGAGAAAGTTCTGCACGCATTCCTGGTTTTCGGATCTAGCGCCGAGGAATACATGCACTTGATCATCCCTGTTATCGTCAGGACGTTCGAGAAGCAAGGGCAACCCTCTCCACTCCGCAAGCAGGCGATCGAGACTATTGGCAAGATCACTTACCAGGTGAATCTCAACGATTACGCGGCCAAAATCATCCATCCCCTCACTCGTATTCTGGCCAGTGGTGATATTAACTTGAGGATTGCCGCTCTCGACACGCTATGTGCCTTGATACAGCAGCTCGGAAAAGATTATCTCCACTTCATGGGTACTGTCAACAAGGTTCTGACGCAACATCAGATCCAGCATCAGAACTACGACCTGCTTGTAAACAAGCTGCAGAAGGGCGAGGTACTTCCGCAGGACCTTGGAGCCGGCGACCGTTTCATCGATCGGATCGACGACCAGGCAGCTTTTGCTGATCTTGGCGCAAAGAAGCTGGAGATGAACGCCATCCACCTCAAGCAAGCATGGGATACGAAGGGCAAGTCAACCAAGGAGGATTGGCAGGAATGGCTTCGTAGGTTTTCCACCACGCTGCTCACCGAGTCGCCGAACCACGCGCTTCGTGCGTGCGCTGCCCTAGCCAGCTCGTACTTGCCGCTCGCGCGTGAGCTGTTTAACTCGGCATTTGTCTCTTGCTGGAGCGAGCTCTACGAGCAATTCCAAGATGAGCTGATCCAGAACATTGAGAGCGCCATCAAATCCGAGAACGTGCCTCCTGACCTGCTTGGTCTTCTGCTCAACCTCGCCGAGTTTATGGAACACGACGATAAGGCTCTGCCTATTGACATCAGAGTTCTCGGTCGCGAAGCGGCCCGGTGCCATGCATATGCGAAGGCACTTCATTACAAGGAACTGGAATTTTTGCAGGACCAAAGCAGCGGGGCCGTTGAAGCTCTTATCGTGATCAACAACCAACTCCAGCAGTCCGATGCAGCCATTGGTATTCTCCGCAAAGCACAGCTTTACCGAGAGGGAATTCAACTTAGAGAGACATGGTTCGAGAAGCTGGAGAGATGGGAAGAAGCTCTTGCCTTCTACACAAAAAGAGAGAAGGAGGTCCCGGAAGACAAGCCTGTGCCCGTCGATATCATCATGGGCAAGATGCGTTGTCTGCACGCTCTCGGCGAGTGGGAGGCGCTGGCTGGCCTCGCGAGCAACACCTGGGCCAACTCTTCACCCGACGTGCAGCGTCTTATTGCTCCGCTCGCAACTGCTGCAGCATGGGGCTTGGGCAAGTGGGATTCAATGGACAGCTACTTACAGTCTATGAAGCGCTACTCAACTGATCGATCGTTCTTCGGCGCTATCCTCGCCCTGCACCGGAACCAGTTTAGAGAAGCCTTGAACTGCGTGCAGCAAGCTCGGGAAGGCTTAGACACTGAATTGAGTGCCCTCGTTAGCGAGTCGTACAATCGCGCGTACCAGGTCGTGGTTAGAGTTCAGATGCTGGCGGAACTCGAGGAGCTCATTGTCTACAAGCAAACCGACGATAAGAAGAAGGCCACCATGCGCCGCACTTGGGAGACGAGACTCAAGGGATGCCAACGTAACGTCGAGGTGTGGCAAAGAATGCTGCGCCTCCGTGCCTTGGTCATCACGCCGACAGAGAACATGCACATGTGGATTAAATTTGCTAATCTCTGCCGCAAGTCTGGTCGTATGGGACTTGCTGAGAAGTCCTTGAAGCAGCTTATCGGCGTGGAGGCTCCTTTGGAAACTTTGATTCCCTACTGGAATGAGCGGCCACAGCAGCCCAACGCCGGCCTGGCCAGGAATATTCCCTCCCAAATCATCTATGCCATGCTCAAGTACGAGTGGGAGGTTGGCCAGCAACCCGCGTTCCGCACTTCTGGCATTTCTGAGAGGACTCTCTACTGTCTGCGCAAGTTTACTAATGACTCGGCACACCGGTACGAGGCAACCAAGGCTCATCTCACAGCGCAGGCTCCTAACGGCATGGACTTGACGAGTGATTACGGCTTCCCGCACCAGATCGACCCCAGCTTGATGAACCCGCAGACACAGAAGGCCCTGCACGATCAGACGGTTCTCCTGGCCAAGTGCTACCTACGCCAGGGCGAGTGGCTCATTGCCTTGAACAAAGAAAACTGGCAATACGAGCATGTTCAGGACATTCTCACCTCGTACTCGCAGGCTACCAAGTACAACCCGCGGTGGTACAAGGCATGGCACGCCTGGGCTTTGGCCAATTTCGAGATTGTTCAGGCACTATCTGCTAGGGGCGAATGGACTGATCACATGGTCATTGAGCACGTTGTTCCAGCTGTCCGCGGCTTCTTCAAGTCTATTGCGTTGTCTGCCGGCAGCTCCCTCCAGGACACTCTCCGTCTTCTTACTCTTTGGTTCACCCATGGTGCCAGTGCCGATGTCAACGCGGCTGTTACTGAGGGATTCACCAACGTCAGCGTCGACACATGGCTGGAGGTTATTCCTCAACTCATTGCGCGCATCAACCAGCCGATGCGCCGCGTACAGCAATCGATCCATAGTCTCCTAGCTGACGTTGGTCGAGCCCACCCGCAGGCTCTTGTCTACCCGTTGACGGTAGCCATGAAGTCATCGCAAAACACTCGTCGTTCGCGATCCGCTGCTCAGATTATGGATAGTATGCGTCAACACAGCGCCAATCTTGTTTCTCAAGCCGACATTGTTAGCCACGAACTTATCAGGGTTGCGGTTCTTTGGCACGAGCAATGGCATGAAGGACTCGAGGAAGCATCTCGACTCTACTTCGGCGACCATAACATCGAGGGCATGTTTGCCACTCTTGAGCCACTTCACGATCAGCTCGAGCGTGGACCTGAAACTCTGCGCGAGATTTCCTTCACTCAGGCCTTCGGTAGAGACCTCACCGAAGCCCGTGAGTGGTGCAGACAATACGAGGCCAGTCGAGACGTCAACGACCTCAACCAAGCTTGGGATCTTTACTATCAGGTGTTCCGGCGCATCTCGCGACAGCTACCACAGCTTACTACGCTCGAGTTGCCTTACTGTTCGCCGAAGTTGCTTGCCGCCAAGGATCTCGACCTGGCGGTGCCTGGAACCTACCGCAGTGGCCAACCCATCGTCCGTATCATGGAGTTTGACGGTACCTTTACGGTTATTAACAGTAAGCAACGGCCCCGAAAACTCAACATTAGTGGCAGTGACGGCGTGTCATACGCCTTCTTGCTCAAGGGCCATGAGGATATCCGCCAGGACGAACGAGTTATGCAGTTGTTCGGTCTGTGCAACACCTTGTTGGCGAACGATTCGGAGTGTTACAAGCGCCATCTCAACATTCAGCGGTATCCTGCGATCCCGCTTTCGCAGAACTCTGGTCTGCTGGGATGGGTGCCCAACAGTGACACTCTTCACGTCCTGATCCGGGAATACCGCGAAAGCAGAAAGATTCTCCTTAATATAGAGCATCGCATCATGCTTCAAATGGCGCCCGATTATGATAACCTCACTCTCATGCAGAAGGTCGAGGTCTTTGGCTATGCGCTTGATAACACCACCGGTCAAGACTTGTATCGTGTTCTGTGGCTCAAGAGCAAGAGTTCAGAGGCCTGGTTGGAGCGACGCACCAACTACACGCGTTCCCTGGGTGTCATGTCAATGGTCGGCTACATCCTCGGTCTCGGCGATCGCCACCCATCCAACCTTATGCTTGATCGTGTGACTGGCAAAATCATCCACATCGATTTTGGTGACTGTTTCGAAGTTGCAATGAAGCGCGAGAAATACCCTGAACGAGTGCCGTTCCGACTCACTCGTATGCTCACTTACGCCATGGAAGTGAGCAACATTGAGGGCAGCTTCCGTATTACCTGTGAGCATGTTATGAGAGTATTGCGAGACAACAAGGACAGTCTCATGGCTGTCTTGGAAGCGGTATGTACAATGTTGAATAATTCAAAGTGCTTGGCTAAACAGTTATACAGTTTATTCATGATCCTCTCCTGACCTGGCGCCTTACGAATGCTGCCAGCCCGGCCGGGCCGAATTTCCGATCTGAGAGAGAGCAATCCATTACGGGCCCGCAAGGCGCGCGCGCTCGCCGCCCATCGGTCCTTGACGCAGATGTGGCGCCCTCAGAGCTCCTCGCTGCCGATCCTGGCATGCCAAGCGGGCCGGTTGCGCGATCCCGTTCGCGGACCAACTCTTCGATGGCGCATGAAGGCAGTGTTGTTAACGGTAACACCGGCCAAGACCCTGCCGAGATCCAGAACGCGAGGGCCGTCGAGGTGTTGGATCGCGTCTCTCAGAAATTGACAGGCAAGGACTTCAAACCGAATGAAGAACTTGATGTTATCAACCAGGTTAACAAGCTCATCACGGAGGCCACAAAGTTGGAGAACCTGTGTCAGCATTACATTGGATGGTGCAGCTTCTGGTAAACTAAGCAGAACGGGACGAGTATAGGTGGTGGCGGTACGAGATGATGAACGGAGTCAGCAAGTAAGCGTGAGCTGATTAGGATTCAGGGGGTTTTTCGTTTAGATGGCAGACCGTGGTGGCGTTGGCGGCATCTTCCATTGCATGTGTGAGTACTCTTTCCTGGCATGTACGTCAGGCTTCTTTCTCTTTTTTTGTCAAAATGTATACCAGATCAAGGTCGGGAAGACAAGTGGTTCATTGGTGGTTCTTGGGTCGCACAAGGTCTCACCTGTGTACTTCAGGGCATGGCGAGGCGTCATGGTAGACAGAAAATTGAGCTCTGTAATTATTCAAACGGTTCGCAGTAATGCATGGTGATCTAAGAAAAGTGAAAGTCTATGTACATATGCAACTTTGGGCCAGACTCTTTACCGAGTCGTTCCCATTGTCAAAGGCTTGTTAGGCCTTGACTTTGTTCAGAGTCACGCCAAATGGCCTTGGCGATATGCTCTTGGAAGCACCATCCTCTCCAATAGAAATAACGAAGTCATCAAAGGCAAGGTAGTTGTAAGTACTGCGGTCGATAAGGCCCCAGGTCTGGCATCCGGCTTGAGGAAAGAACACGTCGTTGACAATCTCCTCGTTGTCATGGTTCTTGTAAACAGCGCGCCACGACCAGCTGCCGCCATACTTGATGTTTGTCGGGTAAATTCTTGCGGAGACGTTGTGGGCTTTCATGTCGGCTGAGGCGCTGTAGTTGGGGATGTTGGGGAGGACGTCGATGCCGCGGACCTTCCAGTCGGTGAGAGACAGGCCGGGGCCGTCGTCGACGGACAGTGTGACTGTCGAGTTCGTCTCGGGATCGGCGTAGGTTCCGGCGAACGCGGCCTCGGCGGCTTCCTTGTTCGCCTGTTCGAGGGCGGGGATCAAGGCGGAGATGACGGGGGAGATGAGCCTCGTAGGGAAGGAGAACTGCTTAGAAGCCGGGCCGCCGGTGAGGACGGAGATGGTCACGTCGTAGTCCGGGATGAGGACGACGACGTTGGAGTAGAGGCCCAGGTCGCCGGTTTTGGTGTAGACGTGGATGGGTACGCCGTAGGGGAGGAGCGTAGTGGAGGAGAGGATTTCCCAGGGGGCGCCGATGGAGTAGCCTGCCGCGTTGGTGAAACCGCGCGGCTTGAGCCATGACTTGGAGTCGATGGAGAGTTTGTTGGAGAGGACTGCCGTGCCGAAGGTGAGCATGTCGCGCGTGTTTGTGTAGATGCCGCCGGCGCTGGATGTGTGTGTTAGTGCTACCTCACGCATCCAGTTTTTTGCTTTGTGCGGGATGGAGTGAAGACTTACGAAGCGAAAACTCCTAGATCGCCACCCCAAGTGGGCTCGCTCTTGGGGATAAAACCCCAGGCGTCCGAGTCAGGTCCGGTAATGGAGGTGTTGCTTAGACCTAGAGGCTTGAGGATAGTCTCCGTGATGACGTTATTGTAGGTTTTGTTGGTGGCGGCCTCGACGATGAGACCGAGCAGGGAGATACCGATGTTGGAGTAGACGGGCATGGTATGCGGGCGGAACACAAGGGGCTTCTTGTTGACGGCGTCAAGAAGGTCTAAGCAGATATTGTCAGGGCATGAAACTTCGTGTATACATGGTAGACTACGCACCGTCAGTCGTGCAGGCTTTCGTTCCCTGCAGACCAGAGCACTTGGGACGTGTATCGTTGGCGACTGAGGGAAGGCCCATGGCTTTCCAGGGGAATTTCTCGAAGATGGCCAAATCGGTCGCAACTGGTCTTGTCAGCTCTGCTGCTTTGGTATGAGAAAATGGGAACTTACTATCGCCTCCAATGCCAGAAACGTGAGATGCTAGGTCTTCGACGGTAATCTGGTCCCAGGGTATGAGGTTAAATGTGGCACCATCCTCGGTCTTGAGGTCCTCTTTCTTCAGCCGAGGTAGGTACTTGGTGACGGGATCGCTGCCCTTGATATTACAGTTTTGAAGGGCGGCGAGCACGGTGAAGAGCTTGGTAATGCTGCCGCCACGGAAAACGGTATCAATTGTGACTTCCTTTGTGCTGCTGGCCTCGGCGATGGCCGGGGTGTGATAGAACTCGAAAAGAGGAGCGTCTTCGTGAATGGACTTGATACCGATGGCGATACCAGTACTGTTGAGGGCATCTGCGGATGTGAAGTTTACTAGAGACTCCTTGACCTTCAAAAGGGTCTCTTTTACAATTGTCGATGAGCTAGGGGAGTTCGTGGAGGGAAGGGTTTGGCCTTGGGGAGGGCACGGGTTGGCTGCTTGGGTTCCAGCCAGGAGAGCCGTGATGGCCACGAGTGACGCTTTGGAAAGCATGCTGAATGGCAAATCAAGAAGAAAGTGGCTACTTGAGTGATGAGATGAATCTTAAAATTTTGGAAAGAAGAGATAGTTCAAGATATCCTGAGAAGGAAGGACTGTGAGTGACCAAGATAGCTATTCTTATTCACATTCCAGGCGGACGTTGGCGTATAAATATCATTCTCGGAAGGATAGTTGATGGCGATGAACCATCTCCATTCTTTCGATTGAACTTGTCGATTGTAGGCATCCATAACCGTGAAGGTGGACTTTGACAGTGACCTACAAGCTAAGCCACTAGACGGTTACGTGAATCAGGTCGTTGCGGCTCTTCAAGACCGACATCACCAATCGCATCGAGTTTGCAAACTGCACAAGGCGTGATCCACTCTCAGTCCATGTCTTTAGGAGCAGCCTGGAAAATTCCATCAGCATCGGTTTTAGTCCGATGTGTTGGCGAATTAAGGTTAATTCTAGCAGCAGCTGTATCCTGTACAGCCTCCTTCATAACGGATCCCTCTGGGCAGCTGGAACCAAGCTGAAAGGACATGACGTCCTGGCTATGGTTGGATGTGGCAGTGAAGGATCATCTTATGTGGAGGCGCCATCAAACATCCAAGTAAAAATAATCCTTGGGGTAGCGTAATTGATCTATTGCTAAATGGGTTGAGGTTTTTGATAGCTTGGAACCTGGCAGTGTCTGTTACCTACCTTAGTGAGTGTACTTAGATTTGGGACAAGATCTGGAGCTTGGACCTCATTCATTGCGCCCCACACGTAAGCTGCGGGGATGACCCATCAAAGAGGACTGATTGGTTCGCTCGCAGTAAGTGCGAGCATAGAGATAGCCAATAGAAGTGACGGAATGCTAACAATTTTAGAACAGGCAAAGACACCCATTTAAAACCCTCCTTTTTTTGGTTATTTGGGTTACATTTCTTTGCATAAGGAATATGCCAATGGATGACTTCCCTTAGAATAAGCAGCATATCTGCGCACTGGTTCGCTTCATGATTGGCTGGTTATACGTCTGCTACATCATCCACGGCACACGGCAGGGCTGAGAGTAAACACCCCCGACCACTCCAACCATGTCGATGGGGTCAACACTAGGCAGAGAGATTTTCTCCCCTCTCGTTCAACCATTCAATGACATGATAAACCATTCTATACTGAATTATGGATCGGTATAGCTGCGACACTGATCTACTCCATATGTAGCTTACGAGAGTTGTACAGTTGAGGCACAGTTCCTTCTTGGCTACCCGGGGGGGCGAAGCTGTTTAAGTGGTCAATTCCCACTTCCTTCATTGAGGGGGAAGCAATTTCCAGCTGGGAATCCTGCTCATCTCAGAATCTCAAAGCTCAAAGCCTCTTTCTCAAGGACACACCGTCTTGTTATATTAACTAACGGCGACAAGCAACATCACAGGCTTAACCCCTCGTGGATGTACCGCGCCCCCTGGGTCAGCCTCTAGCGCGAAATATTAGAGACCCCTGGCTTGATTGCTCGCCTCGGACTGCCACCTCGGACTTCTCAATGGCTCACCACCAGAGTCATCCTTTCACGAGCGCCGACTCTATGCAGAGCCACCTACGTCGACTAGCGTCCAACAACGCGCATTCCGCTTCAGCAGCTCCCAGATCTACATCTACCCAACCTCAGACAGTTCCCACAATGATGGACCAACAAATGACGGTCCCCAGTGATGCCCCAAAGGGGTCTTTGCACCCTCCAGCTCCATCTTCAGGTCGGAAAGGGTCCAAAAAGGTTCGGACTGGATGCATCACTTGCAAGTTGAGTCCGACCTCTCCTAAGCCCACTTTGTGCAAATCTGCATGCATTTGTATCTTGACTTGCTTCTGACAACTGACGCTGCGGCAGAATTCGCAAGGTAAAGTGTGACGAGGCCAGGCCTGTCTGTGTCCGCTGCACCAAAACCGGTAGGAAATGCGACGGGTACCTTTCCCCTCGGCAGTCGTCCAACAGAAACGGCAGCGGCAGGGCTATTTCCAGCTCGGAAGTCATCCGTTTAAGTCCTCCCTTGTCGCCTTTCGCCGACTGGGTTGGTGGAGTTCGTGAGCAGCACGCCTTTGATTTTTACCGTAGCTTCTCAGCCCCCTCCATCTTCAGCGATGACAGCAGCAGCTCGACGCTGTGGAAGAAGCTGGTTCCTCACTTTTGTCATGCTGAGCCCGCCATCCGCCATGCCGTGTTGGCCATCAGTAGCCTTCACGAGTCGCTCTCGCTAGCCAAGCCCGTCAACACCGAGTCGAATGAGGTTCCGGCAACCGAGAGATGGGGCGGGGTGCCTTCCAACACATTTGCTGCGGAGCAGTACGGAAAGGCGCTGAAATCTTTGCAGGAGTGGAAGCCAACCGATTCGACAGCCATTACAGTGCCCCTGTTGGCCTGTCTGCTATTCATCTGCATTGAGTTCATGCTAGGCGACGAAGATGCCTCGCAAATCCATATAAATCAGGGCCGGCTCATTCTTTCCCAAATCGGCTCCGGAATGCAGAGCGGTGATGTGGACGTCATCAAGAAGCACTTTGTACCCATCTACAGCCGACTGAGCTTGGCTTCTTTCCTATTTGGAAGTAATCCTGCCGAGATACCCTCCAATCTGCGCTCCAGCTCCGCGACAAACCTATACTTTGTGTCAGTTGAAGAGGCCGAGGTCGCGCTGTACGAGCTCATCGATGAAGGGCTACGGTTAAGCAAAAAGGCCAAGGTGGCGGTGTACTCGCGACCGAGAGATGATCCGATACTGCAGTCGCTTCAACGGCAACAGGAGGAATATCTCGCGAAGCTCAATCGGTGGCATGTCGCCTTCACTATTGTTGCGGCATTGCACGATACGAAACGATCTGGGAAGATATGCTTGGTCTACTACCACACTGCAAAGATCTATGTCAGCACCGCGCTGTCGCCCTTTGAGACGGCATATGACGACCATATATCCTCTTTCACCGCCATCATCAGTCTTTCAGCTGAAATTCTTCAGTATTGCAGGAAGTCTGCCGAAAATTCCTTAATTGCGTCTATGCCAGTACCGAGGTTCATCTTCGATACAGAGATCATCCCACCGCTTTATTACACCATCGTTAGGTGCAGGCATCCGATGCTGAGGCGTACAGCAGCGGAGCTTCTGAGCCAAGACGCTATCGCAAACCGGAGAGAGAACTTATGGGACGCGCACATGTCGGCAGAGGTTGGCAAACGGATCATGGCCATCGAGGAGAACTCGGTACATCGCGAAGCAACAGACCTTGAAACGACGAATTGGGATACGACATTTCAGAACAGCCTCGAAGATTCCGTCAACCTCTATCCTACATCTGAACTGGCAAGTGAAGTTAGCGTGCCGTACATGCAATACCCACAAATTCCAAAAGCCATGAATCACCAGTCAAACATGGCGCATGAGTTAGCGAAGGACTTTGCACAGAGCAGGCAGGATACGCCCGGGTCTGTATCTACCGGAACATCGACAGTATCATCGGGTAGTGAAAACAGCTGGGCCTCAAGTCGCCTCGAGCCACCGTTTGATCTACCCGAGTATGCGAGGGTGAAGAACACACTGATAGACCACGAGTCGTTACGTGGCAGCTGGATAACCATTTTTATGGACCCTGAGGAGGCAGGTGCACAGCATTGGAAGATTACAAAAGAGTTTGTAAAAGTGCGGTGATGCAAAGGAAACGCTGACTTTTTTTTTTTTTCGGTGATGTTACAACTTGTTCTTCGTTAAAGTTGGGTGTTGGGGCAAAGCGATCGGCGAGTCTCACCTGCAAATAGAGAACCTACACTAAAACTTTTATCTGATAATTCTGTCAGTGCCAAGTTATGCTTTTCCTCCTATGTACCTCCTTCTAGGTTGGCTGAACCGCCGACCCGGAACCGGAGCTTCACAGTCTGAATCTTTGAGAGTATTTAATGGTAATAAATGACATGAGACTTCTTTCTTCACATGGAGATAAGTCTTTGTTTCACCATTGATAACCGGCTAATGCTCTTGTATCAAAGCAGACTGTGCACTTGTTTCTCTTAATTGTCACATATTACGCGTGTGGGTAGTTTTTCAAAATCTTGATTCGTGGCATATCGAAAGAATACAGAATATGAGAACACGCTAAACTCCACCAATGTAGGCCTGTATCTCCTATGCGTCTATTTCTCAGTGCATTGACTGGGGTATCCGATCTTTTTGTCAACAGCACCCTGTGCAAAGCAGTAGTGATATGTGTTCTTGGCCTTATCAAACGCGAAACCAACGTTTGCCTTTCCAGCAGCACCGACCTATACCATTCCTCAATCAGTACCCATATCTTACACCAAGGGAAAACAGTAGTGAGTTTTCTCCGAAAGAATAGCGACTTACCGTGTAAAGTGGGATACCAGAGAGCGTAGAGCATTTGCCCGAGGCCACATTGGCAGCAGATGGGTCACTCATGGTTCCCTTGGGGCCGACGATGGCCTCCTTCAGTTCGGCCTTTGATACAGTGGCTTCGCCGCCAGCGTCTTGCTGGCACGAGATGCTGTTGGGGAAGCCCTCAAGGGTCTGGGCAGAGGCGAAAGCGCCGAGAGCAAGGAAGAGAACGGTGCGGCCGAGCATTTTGAGAGATTGTGGTCTTGAAGAGCGAGTTTGGGTGTGAGTTTCTGACTTGGTTTTTTACTTGAACGAAAGTCGAGGTATAAAGCTGAATTTGCTGCTGTTTGAAGAGATCGATGATGTGTGTTAAATGATCCGCTACTCGTGAAGGAAGCTGCTGGTTTTATACTATTGAACGTTTCCTCGCTCATCAATTGCCGATCGATTTGGTTCACGGTCTTGGACGGACAATTTCGGGCTGGATCTGCGACGCACTATTGCGATGTAAATTGAGTATTCGCAATGCCTACAAGGGGTTGCACGCTGCCTGCGAGTCAATGTGCTACAACTAAGGACATGGGAACAGCTCAAGCGCGCGTGAGCCAATGCCGCGTTTGCCGACCAATGGCGTAGATTTTACTGTTAGCAGAAGGCCTGGAACTACAGCCATGCTCTGCGTGTTTCTGGGCAAGCGGAGCTAGCCATCGTCAGGCGCTGAATCTTGAGACGAGTCGAGGTTAAAATTGGCTGAGAAAAGCTTATCATAATAGCTGTTCGGGCGGAATTTGTCCCAATTCAACTATTGCAGTCTCCACATCTGCAGGCCCCCTCTATATATTGGAAACGTTGGAGAAAGGTTCTTCTAAATCGGCACTTCCAAGCCACACTTTGACTAAGACCCCAGAAAGCATGACTCTCTGCACCCGAAATGGCGGGTTCCTACGGCAGTCCGCAGGGCGCACTGGGTCAAAATTCAAACATTGCCTAATTAGGATGCATAAACGAGATAAGCATACACCACCCGTATAGATAGTTAAGCTTCTTATCTTTACTATGTAATTATCACAAATTTAAGCAAATTCTATGTTTCGTATACGTATATATATAGAGTTTTACGAGACCGTATAGGAGTATATTCTTAATTCTTAATAATAATATTTACTATATTTTATACGAATATGTTTTTAAGGTGCCTTAAGCAGGCTAACCTAGACTACTTCTTAGTAAAACTACTATAGAAGTAGAAGACGTATGTATTTTGTTTAATCGATTTATCCTAAGTATAAGAACTAGACAAAATCGACCTTATAAATACTAACGACTTCGAAACTCTAACAGCTACGATTTCATTACGTATACGACTTTCTAATACTACAACTAACCCGATCGAACAAGCACTTTATATACTAGATATATAGCTAGACAATAGTCTCCTTACTACTCTTATTAAAGGCTTAGAGGAGCGTATAGCTAGTATCTAGCAAACCTAGAAGAAACTAGTTCTAAACCTAACTATAGATATTTTGTTGGAACGGTAGGTAGGAATCTCGTAGATAGTACGATATCCTTATAACAGGGTATTAGAGTAAGGGAACTTGTACTTATGAAGTAGGGCTTTAATAGTAAAGAATGTATAGGCTTATATTGAAGCTGAGTTGGTTGAGGAACTAATAGCTAGCTAAGGGAGAGAATTAGGCTAGTTATATAGTAGTATAACGTCGCCTATAATAGCTAATATAGGAAGCTATAAGCTAGGTTTAGTATACGTAAGTATATACGTCAACTAGCTTATAAAGCAGCTTATAAATCAGACTAGAATCTTCTTTAACTAAATAGACTTTTAGATAAGGTTAAAGAGAGTATTCCATAGGGATCTGAATATCATATGTTTAAACTAGCAAGCAGCCATTCTTAGCTAGTTACTTTTGTAAGTCCTACTAAGTCTTAGATAAGACTAAATAGGATAAATAAGTAAAATAGAAGTATAATATACTTATACTTCTAACATATTATTATTTACCTATAGCTTATATCTTTTTATATTACGGATATAGATAGAATCTCTATTCGAATATATACTTAGGTTTAGTTTATTAAAAAGTTTATTAGGAAGTTATAGTTCTTATTAACTTCTAAGTTTACTTTATATATAGATATAATAAGTAAGGTCTTAGTAAAGTTTACGTCTAAGAAGCAATTCCTTAACTAAACCTAAAAGGCAATACCTATTACTTTAAAGAATCCTACGGATATGTATAAGTTTCGTAAGGTAGCGTACGAGGCTAAAGACCTTTTTACCTTTCTTCGCGAAGCCTTAATTACCCCTAATAAAGACGTTTATACTATCGTACTTATTTCCGAAAGTCAAGTAGATCCGCTTGTTACTAAACTATAAGTATTAAAGAAGTTACGACTAAAACAATATACGCTTAACATAGTAATAACTAGTATAATACCTTTACTTATTATTAATATATTTACGAAAGCGCTTACGCCTAAACCTCTAACTCGAATTCAAACTCGAACCGAACGAAAGCCTTCTCTTAAGGCATAAGAAGTAATAAAGCAGGAGAGAGAAGGAATAAAGTTACGCAAGCATACGCACTCGCAAGTTGAGCAGCAGGGCTATACAGACGTTATTTAGGAGGATATAACTCTTAAGGGGGGTAGCTAGGAAGATAAGGAAGAGGACGAAATAGTAGTATAATAAGAGGAAATAATCGTTTAGGCATACTCTATATACTTAAGTTTTATCTATTTCTAAACTACTATTACTTCCTGTTAGAAGTATAAGTATATTATACTTCTATTTTACTTATTTATCCTATTTAGTCTTATCTAAGACTTAGTAGGACTTACAAAAGTAACTAGCTAAGAATGGCTGCTTGCTAGTTTAAACATATGACATTCAGATCCCTATGGAATACTCTCTTTAACCTTATCTAAAAGTCTATTTAGTTAAAGAAGATTCTAGTCTGATTTATAAGCTGCTTTATAAGCTAGTTGACGTATATACTTACGTATACTAAACCTAGCTTATAGCTTCCTATATTAGCTATTATAGGCGACGTTATACTACTATATAACTAGCCTAATTCTCTCCCTTAGCTAGCTATTAGTTCCTCAACCAACTCAGCTTCAATATAAGCCTATACATTCTTTACTATTAAAGCCCTACTTCATAAGTACAAGTTCCCTTACTCTAATACCCTGTTATAAGGATATCGTACTATCTACGAGATTCCTACCTACCGTTCCAACAAAACCTAACGTAAAACTATATAATATAACGGAGTATATATCGATGCTAGCATATATCTTAAACCTAAACGGAAGTAGTTTATTATATATATCGAGTAACTATATAAAGTTTAGACCTAGCATAGTCTAACCTTTCCGCTGGTATCGGATCTCTTTTAGTCGGTTTATAACTTCCTCGGGAAAAACTATACGATATGCTTTATATAAGACCGAGTAGCTAATAATATAGCTACGTTAGCATATATATATAAAGAGGAATTCTCGGCTAAAGTCTTATATAACGCGTGCTTTATTACTTATTATAAAGGCAAGGAAGTTTATAGCTTAGTAAAATACTGCTTAAAGCTACTCGGGGGTTTGACGGCGCTATAGTTTATAGCATTTTCGAATATCTTCTAAGCCACGTTGTGAGACTGTGAAGCCTTCCGTCCGTAAGTATAAAAGAATATCTAAATCGGATAGCCTATGATCAAAGAAGAGCTGGAAGATACGTTGTAGTAAGGCGCTGGAAAATTCTGTACGGACTTCGCGGCGGAGGTTTAAGCTTTATAAGAAACGTTTAAATATTAACGGAGAGACCTAAATTTAGAATAATTCGGAAAGATATATAATTATATTAGAATAAGTCTAGCTATTCTAAAACTTTTTAGTAATAATAGATTAAAAAGGGGTAAGGTCGATACGTAGCCGGCTAGCTATAGTAAGGTATTATAATAGTCTATACGGAGATTTACGAAGGAGAACGGGAAAATATAGATATTAGTAAAGAAATACGAATTAGGTATCTTAAAAAAAACCTAAAAACGCAAGGGTACGGACAGTCCTACGCTTCTGTATAAGGGTACTAAACCTTATATAGAAGTACTTAACTTGCAAACCAAAGTTACTAACCGTAAACGCTTATATCTATCCTCCTATTCTTATAAATATACCTATCGTTTCTATATACCGGATTCCCGATTCTATACGCCTTGGTAGGTATCTATAGCATTATATAAATATATATTTACGTTATTTCTAGTTATTATACGGTCGTATAGGATTTTATAAGGTCTTGCTTAGTCGCAATAAAGCTCGATCTCGATGTTTTCGTTCTTATCTATATATAACTATAGTTAGTAAAGATATATAGACGGTACTAAATATATATAATTGTTACGACCCGTCAGATGCACTTAACAGACCCACTGGGTCGGGCGGCTACGACAGGACATATGTACGTAGGATCACGGGAACAAGGGTAAACCTCTCGGCAAGGAAGAACTACGTTACAAGTCACGTGACAATCGACCAATCAGGACAGAGTCGACAGAGTCGACGAGCGACTCTGTAGACTCCTGTAAAGGACCAATCAGAAGAGAGTCGATAGAGTCGACGAGCGACTCTATAGACTCTCCAAGACATTGGGAAACGGGACTTGTATATAGACCAGGACTTGAGCATCTGCTCAAGCCCTCTAGATAGTTCTTCAGCAATCAACTTGTGATTCATCCTCGAATGACTTTCAGCTTACCTCTCAGTATTGTGAATACTAAGAACCTCGTTACCATAGTGTAAGACTGATCACCTTACCCTAACCCTACGATCTACCAGAACGACCTCTACGAACCAGTGTTAGTCTCTTACTGCACCTTCTGTTAGCAGAACCCTACTGTCAGATAGCTGGCCGTAACACTTTGATTGCTCCTGTTCAGTAAGTTGCCCTTTGAGACTAACGAACAGTATAAGACAAGATGTCTTCGCACGGAACTACCGAAAACCCTACTCCTGGAACCTCGTCCACGTCCGAGAGACGTATTCCCCAGAATCTGGCCCAAGAGATTCAAGACCAGGAAATGAAGGAGGAATCCGATAGCGATGACGACAATGAAGAACTTAAGCGGCAACTTGAGCGGAACAACAACGAGCTCAGGGAAATGAAAAACCTGTTCAACCAGAACGTCAAAGCCCTCAAGGAGCTACAGGAACAAGCCCGCCGCACCAAAGAACTAGAGAAGGAAGTCACAACACTTCGAGCTGCCGCGAACGTCATATCAGCTCCTGTCGAAGGAAGAGAACGCCTTAAGCTCAACACCCCTACCACCTTCGACGGAACCCCTGGACAGCTCAAAGGATACTTGGTACAGATACGGACCTACCAAGCCTTCCACATCAACACGTTCCAGAACGATACCGAACGTGTCGTCCACGCCGCCACCTTCTTGAGAGGGAAGGCCCTCGCTTGGTTCGAACCCCTCCAACAAGAATGGCTGGACACCCCTATCGAGAGATACAGTCAAGAAGTGAAGGACATCTTTTTCAGCTTCAGTGGATATGTTAAAGCCCTTCAATCTCTCTTCTTAGACCCCGATGAGAAAAGACAAGCAGAAAGAGAACTGGCGAGCCTACGACAAAACAAATCAGCTACAATGTACGCCGCAGAATTTCGACGACTCGCAGCCAGACTCGACATGACCGACGAAAGCAAAGTCTTCGCTTTCTACCAGGGTCTCAAGGACGACGTCAAGGACGAAATGGCCAAAGTGGACACGCTACCTAGCTTCCTTGATTATGTCGAATACGCTATTAAGATTAACAACCGACTGTTTGAACGACGCAAGGAAAAAGGAGAAAAACGTCAAACAGCCAACTCAGGAAAGAAATACCAATGGCAACCTCAACACAAGTTCAACAACAAAAACCAGAACAACAGGAACAACAATCAGCAGAGCACCGCACATGGACAACACAGTGGACCCATGGACCTGAGCGTCGCGCAAAAAGACAAACCCAGACGCAGAGAATTCAAATGCTACAACTGCGACAAGCCAGGACACATGGCCAGACACTGCATACAGCCTAAGAAACTTACGGCAACCCCTAAGCAAGCCAACGCTGCAACCAAAATCCCTAGCCACGAAGAAAAGGGATGGACAGCCTGCTATGACAATGATTGCACTACGCACAGGCATGCAAAAGAGAATAGTGGATGGTACCCTCAAAACCCAGCAGGACGATCGGGATACGACACCACCAACATACCCAAGGCCATTGCTGTGATAGACCGATACACCGGTGGACCGGATTACACTAAGCAGCGACAAGAGCCACTCGACGACTGGGAACAAGCGAAGAAGGCCGCGGAACTCAACAACGCCTTCCAAGATGGTAGCATTGTGTACCAACCGGGACTCTTATGGGACATCCCACGCCTCGCCAACTATCGACAGACGAATGAAGTAAACACCCCGGAAAGTCTCTCAGAAGAAGAAGCCAGGAAACTCGAAGAAGAAAACGAGACAGCCATCAAACGGATACAAGACGCCATCAACTACACGATGCAAATTCGAAACAACAGCGAAGTTGGAGACACCCTCCAACACATGCGGAAAACCCGAGACCGCCGCATCGCACTACGCGGAAACACCCGAGGATAGTATCAACTCAAGTACAAAGCAACCCAATTTATCTACCAACCCTAAAACGATGGAAAGACGGAACGAACCCTCGCGGTAGCCAGCAAATACGCCCGCAAAGCCACCGAGCAATTGGATGAAATGCTGAGACAACAACAATTCAGGGACGCCAGCACCCAGACCCGAGTATACCAAGCAAAGGACAACCTAAGCCAACGATGGAGCTCACCATATACCACGGTAGCCAGCGACTCGACCTTTGAATTGCCATAAAGAACCCGCGCTACTCCTCAACCTATCTCGGAATGGGCTGAAGACGTCGTAGACGGACTACCCTCGGCGGAAGTACGTCCACAAGGAACGTCGATAGACGATACCGACCCGGAAGACGCAGAAGAAGAACACCATCTCGACAGAATGGAAAAAATTAAGGAAGTACTAGAATACAAATACATCGACCCCCAAGACGACTGCTAACAGATCGCCTTCCATGTAGAAGAATATTATAACAAAATCCCTACAACAATCACACAAACCCGGGATGAAGAAATATTCTTGGAAGACGATCCCAGGATTACGACACAGCACAGAGAACACAAGGAGATAGCATGGATCTACTGCATCTTCGATCACTGCGCCTACCATCTCTTAAAGAAAGCAGAAAACGAACTATACCCCAAAAGAAAAGAAGAACTGCGAATCCGCAGAGCCCATGAGGAACAAGAACTCTCATATTGGGAAGTACGGGGAGAACCCGGAGAATGGAAAACTAACAACAATGGAATAGCATTCCTACGACCCAGCGTCGAATACCCTCAGAAGTGTGTGAACCACTTCACGGGAGTCTGGTGGAATTGCAGGGAAGACCTATGCAAACTCCACTATATTCCAAAAAGCGAAAGTTGGAGATTCCGACAATAAGAACTAGACAAGCAAGGACAGGACGGCGAGACGCCCAGCCCACCTCGTCTAGGAATCAGAGAAAGTAACCTCGGCAGAGACCGAAAGAAGGGCGAGAAGGCCCTCTACTCAAAAAACTAGGAGAGCCGCCTTGTCCGGGACACATGGCGAGCTCCCCCAGCAAGTCCCTATATGCTACATTCGACGACGACGCATAAATGAAGATCACAGTAAACCTAGGCGGATATACCACACAGGTCCTGATAGACTCAGGAGCCCAAGGAAACTTTATCGCACCCCGAATAGTGCAACAGCGAGAAATACCATGGAATCAGAAGCAAAACCCTTACCGACTAAGGAATGTAGAAGGGAAAGAAGTCGAGTATGGCGGAGGCAGCATTGATCAGGAGACAGCGCAACTCCCTTTGCTCTACCATGGCCATCAGGAGCTTATCAGCCTCGACATCACGGAGATAGGAAACCACGACGTTATCCTCGGAATTCCATGGCTACGAAGACATAACCCACAAATCGATTGGGTTACCGGCCGAATAAAATTCAATCCAGCCTCTGAGAAGCACTCGACGAAGGCCTCATGCGGATTACTAGCAGCAACCAGAGCAAGACCACGCCTGATGCTAAGGATAAAAGACATTGGCACTAGGACGCTAGCAGCCACGACGATTGACAAAGTCACGGAAGATCCAATGTCAAAGATACCTGTTGAATACAGGGTCTATAGCAAACTCTTTGCACCAGAACTCGAGACCGGATTACCGGAACACAGCAAGTGGGATTACAAGATCGAAATTAAGGAAGGACACGAACCCACCTTTAACAAAATATACCCACTCAACCAAGAAGAAATGAAAGCCTTAGACGAATGGCTTGACGAAAATCTTGCGAAAGGATTCATCAGACCTTCGAAATCACCCGCAGGATACCCTATACTATTCGTACTAAAGAAGAACGGGAAGAAACGACTTTGTGTCGATTATCGACGACTCAACGATATTACGATCAAAGACTGTTACCCACTGCCCCTCATATCGGAACTAAGAGACCTACTCTACGAGGCCCAATGGTTCACAGCCTTGGACCTTAAAGGAGCCTACAACCTTATCCGAATTGCAGAAGGAGATGAGTGGAAAACAGCCTTCCGAACGAGAAGAGGACAGTTTGAAACGTTAGTCATGCCATTTGGACTCACCAACGCACCGGCTACATTCCAAACTATGATCAACCAAGTACTACGGGAATATCTGGACAAGTCTGTTGTTGTGTACCTCGACGACATCCTTATATTCTCCAAAACGTTGGAAGAATACAAGAAGCATGTCTACGAGATTCTCAAAGCACTCGAACAAGCGAAGCTACTTGTGGAACCAGAGAAGAGTCTGTTTTACAAACAGGAAGTAGAATTTTTAGGGTTTATAATCACGCCAGGCGTAATCAAGATGTCCCCTAACAAAATCAAGGCTGTGTAAGAATGGCCTATACTAGAAAACCCGAAGGACATACTATCCTTCTTAGGATTTGTCAACTTCTACCGAAAATTCCTCAAAGACTACTCCAAAACGATATTGCCTCTTACCGAACTTACTAAGAAAAATGCACCTTGGGAATGGATAGACAAACAACAGAAAGCGTTCCAAGAAGTCAAGGACAAGGTCACATCGGAACCCGTCATCCAGATTCCGAACCCTGAGAAGCCCTTCGAGCTCGAAACGGATGCTTCGAACGAAGCTGAAGGAGCGCAGCTAGGCCAAAGGGACGAGAACGGAGTCCTACACCCCTGTAGATTCTTTTCAAGGAAGTTCCAAGGACCTGAACTGAATTACCAGATCCATGATAAGGAACTTATGGCAATTATCGACGCATTCAAAGAATGGAGACCCCAACTATCAGGAACAAAGTACGAAGTAAAAGTATACACGGATCACAAGAATCTAGCACACTTCACCACTTCGAAAGAGCTTAACAAACGACAAATCAGATGGTCAGAATTCCTCTCAGAATTCAACTTCAGAATCATCTACAGGAAAGGATTAGAAAACGGCAGAGCAGACGCGCTCAGCCGAAGACCCGATTACAAGGACGAAGTCCCAGAAGAAACTTAGGTTATCCTCAAAAAAGATAATGGCGACCTCGTACCCGCCGCGAAACTCTTAATGATCGGCGACCGTGTCAAGACCAGCACGACTGGAAGAATGACACACGACCAGATCAGGGAGATACACAGCGCACCCGCTCACGGTCACCAAGGAGTTACGAAAACCTGGAAACGAATTAGACAACACCACGACAAGCGAGTAACAAGAAAAGACGTCGCTGACGCAATCAAGGATTGCAAAGTCTGCGCAAAAAGTAAGCCCAGCAGACACAAACCATATGGAGAATTACAACCATTGCTAGCACCACCAGCACCCTGGCACTCAATCTCTCTAGACTTTATCGTCAAACTACCAAAATCGAGAGAACTACTTACTAAAGTACAGTACGACAGTATACTAGTGGTTGTGGATAGATTCACGAAGTACGCGTATTTCATACCATACTTGGAATCAAGCACGGCAGAAGACTTAGCATACACCTTTCTCAGGATCATTGTCAGCCAACACGGCCTGCCCCAGGAAATAGTATCAGACAGAGGATCAGTCTTTACGTCCAAGTTCTGGAGATCCCTGATCTCGCAGCTCGGAGCAAAGCACAGCCTCAGCACTGCCTTCCACCCGCAGTCCGACGGACAAACGGAAAGAATCAACCAGATCCTGGAAACGTACCTAAGGAGTTATGTGAACTACGACTAGGACAACTGGGTTAAGTTGTTACCAACCGCACAGTTCGCATACAACAGTTCAATAGGAGAAAGCACGCGAGAATCACCTTTCTTCCTCAACTATGGATTTAACCCTACCGCTTATGGAGAACCCCGAACCGGCTCTGCCGCGATAAAAGCAGTAGCAGACATCAAGAAACTTAAGGAAATCCAACAAAAACTACCCCAAGAACTCGAATTCGTACGGCAAAGAATGAAGAAACACGCCGACCGACATAGGGTGAGAGGCCCACCCCTAAAAGAGGGAGGTAGCGCCTACCTCATACGGCGAAACATCAAAACGAAACGACCTAGCGACAAACTCGACTTTAAAAAACTAGGACCTTTCGAAATCACGAAGAAAATTTCCGAAGTCAACTACGAGTTGAAACTACCGGAAACAATGAAATATCACCCAGTCTTTCACGTCTCATTATTAGAACCAGCACCGGACGGTATACATACCGAAGACTGCATCATTGTGGAAACAGATGACACCGAATACGAAGTAGAACGCATTCTAGACCACCGGAGGAATGACGAAACAACAGAATACTTCATTAAGTGGAAAAACTATGGACACGAAGACGATTCGTGGGAACCAGCTAAGAACCTGGAACACGCTCAGGAAGAACTCCAACAATACTGGCACCAGAGGACGTCTCTGGACCCCAGTCGTCCAAACCGACGCCAGACCAATCCACGACGCCAATAGCACCCAGGGAATGAAGTGCACCCACAGTTTCCGAGCTAGCACTCTGCAAACCAAGAACCTCGGAACGATACTCATTCTCAACCTCCTCCACACGCCGCAAACCAGATCGAATGAGATCAGTCGCCTCACGATTGATGTCCTTGCGACGCCTTCGTAAACGACGAATCTTCGCCATAAGAGCTAACTGCTCTTCTTCAGCTTTCTCAAGCTCATCATCAATTTTTATTTTCTGTTGCCGAACCCGAATGAGGGAAGCCGCGGAAGGACCGTGAATGTCGCAAGAATGCTTATCGGCAACGCAACGCGAACAACGAGAAGAATTAACTTCGGAAACGACGCAGTCGACACCGGCAGCCGCGCAACCGGAACAAGGGACAGGCATGATGAACCCGAACAAATCGACAAGCTGGCTAAGTTCCTTATAAGCCACAGGGTTCTTTGATTTAGATTTTTGAACGCGACCTGACATGATGTCAGCATCATGAATAAACAAGGAAGCACGATTGACGACTCCCCAACCTGGGAAGCCACGACCTACTTATGTTGGCCTTGAGGACAAGACCATCGAGGGGAGACCTGATGTTACGACCCGTCAGATGCACTTAACAGACCCACTGGGTCGGGCGGCTACGACAGGACATATGTACGTAGGATCACGGGAACAAGGGTAAACCTCTCGGCAAGGAAGAACTACGTTACAAGTCACGTGACAATCGACCAATCAGGACAGAGTCGACAGAGTCGACGAGCGACTCTGTAGACTCCTGTAAAGGACCAATCAGAAGAGAGTCGATAGAGTCGACGAGCGACTCTATAGACTCTCCAAGACATTGGGAAACGGGACTTGTATATAGACCAGGACTTGAGCATCTGCTCAAGCCCTCTAGATAGTTCTTCAGCAATCAACTTGTGATTCATCCTCGAATGACTTTCAGCTTACCTCTCAGTATTGTGAATACTAAGAACCTCGTTACCATAGTGTAAGACTGATCACCTTACCCTAACCCTACGATCTACCAGAACGACCTCTACGAACCAGTGTTAGTCTCTTACTGCACCTTCTGTTAGCAGAACCCTACTGTCAGATAGCTGGCCGTAACAATAATAACGTACCGTACTTAATATTAGTAAGCTTGTCTGCGATAGAAACTAACGTATTTCTAATAAGTTGTATATGCTTAGGCTTAACGCTACGGACCGCGTTAAGAAAGTTATACTCCGTATAGGAGATATATAACTTCTTACTACTCGGGGCGGAAGTATAAATCTCTGCGGTAGGTTGCTTCGAGGGGGACGGGGCTATATAGAATAGATTAGATTTATATTTAGTTATATATAGGTTAAGACGAAACTTACTAAAGCTATAGTTAGAAACGCTAGAATTATATATATAGTTAGTATAGCTAGCATAGCCGTCTAGAATAATATAGGTATTATATAGACTATTACCTTTGATATAGTTCTTATACTAGTCCTTACCCTCGCGCGTATTTCCGTATACGTATATAAGGAAAGAGTTAGCATTCTACGCACGCTTATACTTAAGCGCTTTTTTCTAACGTCTTCCGTTCTTAACTATAAAGCAAATATCGATTAAGTTATAAGCTTATATATATAAGCAAAAGAGTAAGGTACGTACGGGGGTATAAGGAGACTATACCTCCGTTTCCTTATTATCTAGAATGTTATTAATAAGAGTATTACTAGCATAAGGAATACTATCTATAACAAGTTAGTATAATATTATAAGGGAATTATAAAAGTATATATATAGGTAAGGTAGTAGCCGGTTCCGAGAGCATAAGTATATATAGAGGGTAGCTCGGCAGGCAACTCCGTAGGAATCTTTATGTCTCCGATCTTATCCGGCACGAGCTCGGCAGCTAGCTCTATATCCTGAGCCATGATGTATAGTAGTGTAAAGTAATGTCGAGTGTCGTTCGGGATTGTAAGGATGTTGTAGGATGTTGTAGGATATTATAGGATGTTGTAAAGCTTTGCTAGAAAACTATACGTAATGTAACGGGGGCGACGCCTAGCGCCTGGGGATATGCGAATCTATATAAAAGCTAATAGTTAGTAAATGATTATATAGAAATATATAAAAGCTTAAAAAATCGGAAAAAAAAATCAAAAATAGAGAAGATAAAAGAAAACGGAAGTATAATAAAGGATAAAAACTAAATCTCTATAAAACAGTATAGAAAGCGTTATAAATTTCTATATAGTAGGGGTTATATACCTAAACTCTGCTTAGCGTAGGGAAAAGGAAGAAGTTCTAAGCCTTACTAAATTCCTATTTATTTATCGATTTAGGCGTATAGACTATATACCTAATCAACCGGAACCGGAAGATCTAACCTCCGACGGATTATTATAAAGCCTCGTAGGGGGCTATAGTTCTATATAGTAAACCCTTATTTCCTAAAAAGGCAAATACCTACCTAGAAATGTATAAAAACAAAAATCGTTTTACGCGAGATTACATATGTTTACGCTTATGGGGTGTTCCTATCACTACCTTGAATTTTGACCCAGTGCGCCCTGCGGACTGCCGTAGGTTCCCCGCAAATCGTTCCCTCGAAGTATGCTTGCTACTTCGGTAAGGCTGAATGAATTATTAGTGTTGGGTTCACATGGCAAGTCTTTCTCAACCGAGGTTAGGAGCTTCAAAATCGTGAAAAGATGCCCGTTGTTGGATTAAGTACGCAACCAAATTGGGGTCAGCTATTCAAGCTGCAGGTTGGCCAGGAAGCCACGGGCAGTCGGCTCCATGTCACGGACCTTCGGATGAGCATTCACTTTCAGGCCAGAACGGAAAGGCCAGAACGGGCCAGAAGACGGGAAGCTCTAAGATCAAATGAAATTTAGCCTCCCGGACCTGCCGAAATTTTGAATTCAGATGAGTTTGCACGTGTTGCAAAAGTTTCAGAAGACCCAAAACGTCTGCTACCAAGCAGGAGATCACCGAGCCTGTCTGTGGGTGACCTTAACGATGGAGTAAAAACGACAGCGGGAACCTATTTTCCTTCGCATTCTCACTGTTGGCATTCTTCAGTTCAAATGATTCTTCTGCGTGCGTCTGCCAAGTGATGCAGATTTAGAGACTAGTGAATCGATGTTCAGTCAGTTGAGATGAAAGACTGTACGTGTTCTCCCTTAGAAGGTTACATCACGAAAACATAAGAAAGTGTCCGGGAGATGATAATGTTGTATACTTGAAGTAAAGTGAAAAGATGGAAGTGAAACCACGTCATGCAAGAACCCATGCCACGATAATACCGCCTTTATAATAACAATTGTAGTAATATCTATATTTTCCTATATAATACGAAAAAAAGAGCCAGGTTGATACTAAAAGTAAGTACCGTGTCAGATCCATCGCTTTACCGCACCTGCTGGTACCTGACGTCACTATGTCTGGGGAAAGCAGATTACTCGCGAACTAACAAATCCGTTGAGCAAAGACATAATTACACAACACGATTTCTTTATCCTTTCAAGAACATACTAGAAGGACTATATGTAGATATAACTCTGGTATGTCAAATAGCACAGGGACACCGAACCAAATGATACCATAAACCAGCCTTCAGTGTACAAGTCCAGCACCTATGATGCTGGCTAGACCTTATCAAGTAGCTTGCTTTCGCCTACTCCTTGCCGACATCTATGGCATCCGCTTGTGAAGCTGTTTCTGAATCCCCTCTCTTGTTATCATTACCCAGATGTTTAATCACCAGCCAGGCGGGCAACAGCGACGCGCCCCAAAGTCCAAAGTTGATGTACGGACCGCCAACAAGAGCGAAAATAGGAATGGCGTTCAGCCCGTAACTAACAGCTTGCCATGCGGACTCAGTGCCACGCAGGAGCGCCGAGAGTCTTATCGTCTCCTGGGGACTCTCGGAGATCTGACCAATGATGAAGAAGGCAAAATTGTAATTCAGCTGGAAGCCCGAAACCAAGAAGATGAAGACCCCGAAGCCCCTTCCAAAACCGGGATCACTCCAGTCAAAAGTTGGCTGGGTGCGACGGTATTCGGTGACGTTGATTGTCAACCAGAGCCACCACGCACCTTGCGTCACCATAATGACAGCAAATGCCCAGCGAGCACGCTTTTTAAGGGCAATTTGATTTTGGTCAAGCCAAAGCCCCAGAAGGTTACCAGAGATGACAGCCACGATGCCAGACAGGAACGAGCCGAGAGCTCTGGCGCGAACTGAAAACCAAAGAGCAATGTAGGTGAAGAAGATGGACTCGGAGTACACGCCTTGACCGATCCAAAGAATCAAGAGAAGGAACTTAGGCTTGAGGAAGGTCCTTGTGGTAGCTTTGATCTCCTCCCATGGGTGGTCGAAGATGGTCAGCTCGACCGGCTTTCCATCGCGTCGCTGTACCTTGGATGGGTTATTCAGCAGCATCGCCGCGAATGGACCACAAGCTTGAAGGGCGATGAAGATGATGTAGACTTTGTAGGAGACCTTGCCGGCCCCGCTTCGGTCAGCATTCAGGCCAAGGTTGATTGCACCGCCTAGAATCTGACCAACTCTGGTCCATGTTAGCCAGTATGCAACCATTCGTCCTCTGTTGCGCGGTTCAGGATAAGCAATGGCGATGGCAGCTTCAGAAGCCCAGAATATGCCGGCTGAAATGCCGCAAAAGGCTGCACCGAGAATAACAAGCCATTCGACGCCATAACGGTTGTTAAGGTAGAGGCCGGCGCTGTACGGGGCGAAGCCGATAGTGCCGATAACCAGCGCACCCTTGATGCCGATGTATTTGACAATCGCAGAGGTGAGCCAGCAGGAGACCACCATAAGGCAGAAGGTGAGGGCATTTCCCGTATTTACGAGGTATGGCTCTTGAGCGCCGCCTAAAACCTGTTAGAACTGGATAGGCAATAGCTTCAGTGAGAGAGAGATTTGTTACCGGCACCAAGGGAGTTCATAGCACCCCATAGACCTGGAGCTGCGAAGCTGCAGATGCCTAGAACGGTTGCATTATAGAATGGCGATCGATACCACTTGACTGCAGATACGTTAGATTACCTGGTGAAAACAGCTCAAATGAGGTTTTTACTTGTGGTATTCTCTGGCTGTTGACTGATTTGAGCCTCATTGGGCGGAGGATTTTCCTCTGCCATCATGTTTCCTGAAAACAATACGGCTCTCTTGACACGACTCGAGCAGGTCCGCAATGCTACGACAACCTATGTCTCGAAGCTCCAAGGTCACAAAAAGAGAAGGCGAGCAATTTGCAGAAATTCCCGCTGCAGACTTTTGAGTAGCGGCATTGTTCGCACATGGCCGCCTGATAGGTGACGTTGCTCCCGGAGCACGCCATTGAGGCCCTCACTGGAAACATTGCACTCATTTCCGCCCTGGTCGCACCAAGACGCTTCCAGACCGCTGGGACTTGTGATCAACAACCGTACATAACTCCCGGTGCCGGCCTCCTCTTTTGGCAAGAGATAACAGGCCAATGTGGAGATAAGGAAGCGAGAAGCCAAGGGTGATTGAGTATTTTCTTGCATTGATGGCGTGCTTGCCAACAGGAAGATTAGTAAGCCCTCATCAATGAGATAAGAGTCCCGGATTTTAACTTCCAAACTTCAATTCACTAACTTCTCATACTCCTTTTTCATTTACCACAAAGGCAGCGCCAAAGGGTGTTTTTGGTGTCTTGTTCTGAAGGAGGTAAGAAAGTAACGTCCCGCACCCACATTTGGGCACCCCCCACATTTGGGCACCCCAAAAATCGCTCAACACCATGACTACCCCTCAACTTTAACTATTTACTACTTTTTTAACTTTTTACTAATTATAATCTAACTTTATATGCTTATTATTTATACCTATATACGCTAATATACCGAAGATGACTTGCTTAAGGCACTTAAGGCTGTTACTAGCGGCTGTAGTATAAAAAAAGCAGCTTATGATAAGGGCATACTACGAACTATACTATAAAACAGAATAAAAGGTTACTAAACAAGAGGTGTTGCTTTCGCTAGGTTACAGAGGCTATTACTAACCTAGGAAAGTCACTTGGCTGAATGGATTCGAATACAAGCTGCCCTAGGCTTTCCACCAACCTATCAACAGCTTAAGGATTTTGCTAAGAGGATTCTATAGACACGTAGAGACTTCCAGCCTCTCGGAAGAAACTAGGTTTAATCATTTATCAAGAGAAATCCATCAATCAAGGTTTAGAGAAGCAAAGCAATTGATTCCTAGCGTGTCAATAATGCCTTAACTAATATAATCACGGAATAGTTTCAAGCATCTCGCTCTACCTAAGATATAGGCAATCAAAGCACATCATCGCTATAACATGGATGAAACTGGTATTCTAGAAGGCAGAGGATCAAATGGATTAGTTCTTGGATCATCAGAAACTCGCTCTATTCGAAAGAAACAGCCTAGGTCTCAGGCTTAGACATCTCTGATTAAGTATATCTCTACAACTAGCAAGGCACTGCCTCTACTTATAATATATAAGGGGAAGACTATTTAATAATAGTAGTTTCCTCTCG